AGAATTCGAATGATGTCAATACAAACGACGCCTCAGACCGAGCAGTGCTATCTAAGGGCTTGCGAGAGATTGTGGATGCTGCCCGGGAGCGGCAGCGACTTGAGGCGAGCGACGCTGCCTCACTCCCATTCCAAACTATGATCAATAGGGATGAGACCTTTGTGGGGACTGGCAGCACTTTCTGGATCAAAGAGCTGCACGCCAGACGGAGCTGATTGAACACGGAGGCCGAAACTTTTGAAACTGGATCAAACAACGCGAGGAAAACCTGCCCAGGCGGAACACCAACATATTCACATGGAGTAGGATCGTTTCATCTGGAGGGAAGGAGATTTTCATGCGGACACGCATTGAAAAAAGACGACACGACAACGTCTTCAACGAGTACACCCCCGCTCAATGTCGATACAATGCTCTCGAGAATGAATGGGACCTGTTTGAAGAATTTGCACTGGAAGTCAAGTCGAAGAATGGTCAGGATTATGCGGGCTATGAGCATTCAGACAGTGAGGATGATGGCTTTGATCCTTTTGAAGGCTACGAGCACCTTTATGTCAGTGAAGACCAGAACGTCTCACCAACCTCTCCAGACGGAATCCCCCCCTCTGGTGCCTCTCCTGGTGCCTCCCCCGCCTCTCCTGAACCTGATGAAGTAGCAGTACCCATGGATGCTGAAACCAACCTCCTGGTTTCCCTCCGCCTTATGTACGGATTCAACCCATCCCCTACTGCTCAAACACCCCACCCTCAAGCACCCAACCTCCGGAGTTGGTCAGATGTCCTGGGTGTCATCGGGACAAAATCAGAACCTGATGTCTCAGACCGAGACAAGGTTCTAATTCGCGAGTTCATTTCATGCCTCATCGACAGCTCTTCGGGATTGCCAGCACCCTCCGACGACCTCAACGCAACATCGGATCAGCCTTTGGCAACATCCTTTGCGCTCGACACTGTGGAACGCATCAGTGAGGACCTATACGTGTTCAAGCTACCTCCTTCCCCCTCTTGCAAATGGGTCATCAGTGTTGATCGCCCCATGACTGTTCTTTACATCTGTCGACTGGTCGCCTCCGCTCCGAACATGCATACGGTGCTGACAATCGCCTACCACCTACTTGAGCACCACATACCCTTCCGCACCCTCCTTCTGCAGGCCTCCTCGGAGCCCGAACAGCTCAATCTCCCATACGCAGACAACGCCAACCGTTTTAACAAGCACCAATTCACGACAGCAGACTTCGACAGTGCTATGCTCGAGTGCCGCGCGCTGCTGGGCCGCCCGCAAGGGCGAGCTGCAATACTTCGCGGTGGCATTGTAGGGAGGATTGCAAGGGAATTCGGTAGTAAGGAGTCTGGGTTGCAAGGACCGTCCATCGAGGTCACAGTGCATCATTCGGGGTACTTTGTCCCGTCTAAACACGACAGGTATTTCTACTGGGATGACGACCTCACTGGTGAGGAGATTGCATGTTTGTGTGGGACATACTGCCTCTATACAGGAAAGGTCTGTCTTCCGTGAGTGTCTTCAATAGTGAATTGATTCCTCATATACAGGGCGTGGCGAGCAGACAACAACGGTCTCGTGGTTCCCTCCTCCGGACATTTGGGACAAGCAGGGTTATGGCTGGCCAGGATGGACGGAAACTAACAAGGAGTTTTTCCAGCAGTGGATAGCAGACATTCGCAAGGGCAATGCCAAACCCCTGTCGCGTCAAAACTGGTGGCGCAAGGTTCGTAGCATCAAGAACACGAGGTCGGTGCTTAAGAACAACAGGGAACGGGCAAAGGCATACGTCGAGTTGAACATTCATGCTATGTAGCTTTCATCTTGATTTCTTGGACACTGACATGTATTTTTTTTTGGTGCATACACAATAATGACAAGGGTTTTTTTTCCAGTTACATTGTAAGGACTATGCTACACGCTGTGATTACAGGAGGTACCTATGACCTGGTTGTAGCGGTGGCGGCGTTGATTTGACTCGAGTGAACCTATTTCACGGCAGACACCCTTCTATGAGGAGGACACGCGATCGCGTCAAAGGTAACTCTCATGATATTCAAAATTTCTTCATATAAAGCATGTGCCGGCGACATAAGTACCAAATAGATTATGTGATTCGAGCCCTTACATGGTCACTATATGTGAATTGTCTGACTAGTGGATGAGACGAGACCCACAGGATAGACCTACTACTACATGGCTGCAACATCTAAACGCCTGCTAACTAGCTGAGCCAACATCAAATATTTTAGCCATGAAGGAGCTGGTTTGGTATCTGGCAGATGGGTGGAACAAGATGCCCAGGATAGTCCAGCTGCTTCATGGATATTACATGTTGACATGTGCCAGCCAGCTGAGTTAACATTAAATATTTCAGCTGCGATGGAGCTGTTTCCTGATCTGACAGGTGGATGGGATAAGATCTTCGGCATGCTCTTCCTACTACATAGTTGTCATGTCTGAACATGTGCCAACCAGCTAACCTAACATCAAACCTTTCAGCTGCTATATAGCTGACTCCGTATCTAACCCATGTGCGTCGACGTATGCATCCAATGAAATTAGAAAATGTGACTACGAGATATCATACATTTGGCAGTGTAGTGCTCTTGGAATTAGACCCTACGTTGTGGATGAGAAGTCGAGAACGTCTTTTTTCTTGTCTTATCGTTTGCGATTACCTCCTTGGGAAGATCAGTGCAGGGTCGGCTCAAAGTTACCTCATGCACGCCGTGTGAAATCCTGGCCTTGAACCTTATGCTTCCGGCATCCGTCACAAGCGATCTTTGTCTCCTTTTCACTGCCAAAGCACTCAAGTTTTGTTCCACCTTTAACGAAGACTGTCTCCGGCCGTTGAGCGAAAAAAATCAGCGGATTGCCTCTCGACGGAATGTAACCAGTTCGGCACAAATATGGACAGGAGAGCATCGCGACAGGGTAGAAGTTCGTATCATCAGATGAAATATTCGAATGCCGGAAGTCGGGTGAAAGGATTCCTCGTGCCTCATTGGCTGTCGGGTGGGGGAATTTGAAAAAGCCGCTGATCTGAGGGCTGCATGGGGCTTAGCCTGGCTTAGCGGCAGGCGGTCCTCTCCAAGGCCATCTCTAGTGCCCAGCCCTGAGCTTCTTCCCTTTCTCTCTTCCTCCTCCCTGCTGGCCACCGTCGGCCACCGACTCTCCAGCCTGAGTCGCCGTCGCGTGCCCCTGGCCTGGCCCCGATTACCCAGCCTGCGTCAGCCGTCCACCTTCCTTCTCCTCCCACCTCATTTGTCTGGCTGCTGGTCCCCTCTCCCGCCCTCGGAATAGTGGCTTTATTTGATTGCCCAACTAATAGCCATCATAAACCCCGTGAGTCCTTTATGCTGCCTGCCTCGAAGCCTGTCAAGCTTATTTGCTTTCTTTAATGAAGCCTGGATCCAGTTGACTGGTCTTCTGCTTTATCCAGCATTATACGAGCTTTTCAAACCTGGTTAGTGTAGCTCCTTTACTCTGAGCTCGTAGCCAACCACCTCCTCTCATTCAGGGCTCAATATACAGACCACTGTTCTGCTCCCTCTTACTTGCATGCCCCACCTTCCACCATCTTTGACAGTAGTGCCCTCCTCGACGCTCTCACCATGTTGCTGAAACTGATCCCAGCCCACTCCGAGCCCACAATCCATTTTTCTTTCTCCTTCGCAGACCTGCCCAGCAACCTGTCTGCACCAGCCTCATGGACGGCTCAGCTTACCCATCTTATGCTGGAGGACCTCGAGGTGCCCACAACCATGCATTCCCTTGACAGGTCCGTGGGGATATCATGTCTCCTAGAAGAGGTGGCATTTGACATCGAGAGCGGGCAAATTCGCTGTCGATTTGTTGATGGTGCTGTCGAAGAATGGGGTTTCTTGTCGTTTGGTGGTAAAGCAGGAGAGGTCGACGGTCTAGGAGAGAGGGAAGGCCGGAAGCTGTTTGCGGCGCTGGATGGCATTATTCGCAATGTCAAGGAGAGTACGCTGGAGGATGAGCGGATAATTCGAGAGAGAGAGGAGAAGGAGAGGGAAAAGCAAAAGACGGTGGGCTTGGAGAGGTCGAGGTCGTTGACAAGCAAGACGAGCAGCAGCAAGGGGCCAAGACACAAGAAACAACGCTCGCTGTTCATGCAGCTTGTTTCATCCATTGGGTCTGTTTTCTGTCAGCTCTATTTCCTACCCTAGGCTAATTGGTAACGACTTCAGATCCATGGTAAACTTAGCATCTCCTTCGGCATCGTCACATCCATCTCTTCCTACACACCGTTCCTCTCCGTTCAGTCCTTCCTACCCGGCTCAACCCTCGCCACCACCCCATGTACCCGGCACCTCTCCTCGTGCTAGAGCCCTCCGACGAGCTGCACGTTCGGCTCTCGTTGACACCTATCGACGCTTCGTGCTGTCAGAGCTGCTACGACGGGTACAATACTTTAAATACGACCAAACGACAGGCAAGGTCGGTGGTGACAGAGGTGGTGGTTTCTGTGTGTGGATCCTGCACAGTATGCGGAGACGTACTGGTGAACGGCTTGACCAGCTCCTGGACGAAGCGAGGGCGATCGCTGACCAGAAGGAACGAGAGATGGGCCCTTCACCCGCGTTGAACACGACCAGCGTCGCTTTTTGCAATCCAACGGCGATTGACGCTGCAGAGGCCGGCATGATCGCCAAGGAGGAGCCAGCAACGACAGCCGTTCCGTTGTCGTTCTCAGATGACGAGGACGAGGTCGCAGAGACCGAGACCGACGGAAGTTCAGTCCACACTCCTTCAAGCTCGTCGCACTTCTCAGTCTCGCGACCACCTACAGCTCCATCGACATCATCGCACTCTCGTTCATCAACTTCTACTTCTGAGTCGTTGACAACGACACTATGCGACGCTGGCTCGCAAATGAAGGACCATGATCGGCTCAATCCACCCATGTGGACGACTCTCCTCTCGTCACACTTAACAGGGCCAAGCTTGCATGAGTACAACCAACTCCTCGACCTCCATGAGCGTCTCTGGCAGCTCACCGTGTTCGCCATTAGCCAAGCTCGTGTCTCTTGCGAGGAAACCCGCAGCAGACTGGAGGTGCTCGCCGTGCGGAGCAAGCGACGGGCGTGGTCTGTGGGTGCCCTTAAGCACAATTCTTCGAAATCATCAGCAGGCGCCTATGGCCTGGCAATGCCTTTCAGAAGCTCGCCCTTGGCTAGGTACTCCTGGACGGCGGACGACCTGGAGAAAGAGCGACAGAGGTCGAAGAGTGGGTTGTCTAGGACCTCCGCCAGGTCTGCTCTGAGTGCATCATCACCCTCGCCTTCGTCGGAGATCTTCCCGGTGTATCGTCCTGGTGTGCCACCTGTGCGTATTGGCGGTGTGCCATCGCCTTCAAGTGATTCGCCTGCTGCGAATGGTCAGGAAGAGGGCTCGAGTAGTGCTACGGGTGCCAGCACCAGCGAAGAGACAGACGACAATGGCGCAGAGGAAGACGACGATCCACGGCCCCTGATTGAGCGTGAGTTCGAGCTGTACGAAGAATTTCGTGGACCTTCACCCATCGACACTCGTGGCGGTGCAAGAAGAAGACGGCGAAACCACCGGCGGCGTGGTGCAGAAGCGCCAGGAGACGGCCTAGACACAAACTCTGGCCTGCTATTCCCTGTTAGCGAGGAGGCTGAGGCCGAGGGCGAAGGCTCAGAGGATTCAAGCTCCTCGAGCAATCGCTCTTCGACTCGAGGCAGGAAGACCCAACGGACGCAGCGGACGTTCATGGGCTGCGATGAGATTCCTCTCGAGGGCGAGGGAGATACGGACGAAGATGACTCGGAGCAACGCACCCTCGTTGGTGACGACGATGATGGCCTTGAAGACCCTCGCGAGCTCGACCTCGAGCTTGGATTCGGGTTTGACTTCCACGGCGGCAGCAATTTCCACGACATCGACGGTGACATCGGTCTTTTTGATGGCGATGACGATGATGCCGCTGCTGGGTTTGAGTTTGAGATGGAGGTTGAGAGACCCAAGTTACGGCCGAGAGTGCGGACGAGCAGTATCTTCATGAAGAAGCAGGCGAGGCGGAAAGGCTCCGGCTTTGGCTTGACAGAGGAGAGCATTCTATGCCAGCCAGTTTCATTCGCCTCTGCGCCTCCTCGTACGCAGCCCATTTCGATTCTCAAGCCTCCAGCCGAGCTGTCGGCGTCGGCCCCTCACCCTCATCCGCCAACATCACGGCCTCTCGCCATCTCGCGGGCGTCAACGCCCGCCATCTACCAAGAACCTGAGCTCGGCCTGGACCTCGAGGTGGATGTCAAGCTTTGTGTTGGCGTAAGCGACAGCAACTACGAGCTCTCTGGCTACACGAGTCACTTTGGTGTCAACGTCTCGAACCAGAAGCAGCCGGCGGTGTTGAGCACAAGCCCGCCGAATGTGCACCTCCTGAAGAAGTCTCCTGGTCGGCCCTTACCTCTGCCCCTGCCGACGGAGGTTGGGCCGCAGGATGCTGACCAGGAGGAGTTCACGCTTGCAATGGACCTTCCTCGGTCTGTAGGCAAGAGGAAGTCTGGTCCGCTTGCGACGAGGCAGAAGTTGGGCGCCATGTTTTCTGAGATCCCTGCTCCTCTGGTTTGCTAACGCGTTGTCGCTGGTTCTGTCGCTGAATTCCCCTCTGACTCTCCCTGTCCACCCGTTCAACACCAGCCGAAATGCTGTTTCTCTCCTGTCCCGTCTTTGTTTTCGCGTTGTTGCATATTCCACGTTCCTGTTTTCTTTCGCATGATATTTTCTGTTGCTTTTATTGCTACACTACCATCATACCCCGGATTGTTTGCATTTCAGTTCTTTCATCTCGACATTCTATTGAGCTATTTTTTTTTGCTCGCATGCATTGTTTCGTCCTCCAATCATGCCATGTTCTCGTCTGCATTTTTCTGCCTAGCACTCGTCCATCCACTCATTGCATTTCCTTCGTCTTTCTATTGCATTACTCATTGCTAACGCCAATTGTTCACGACGCATACAGCCTATTACTACATCTACTTTATTCCCCTCTTTATCCGGATTAACTTGCAGAGCGGCCTCTCCGCTTCCCCCTTCCTACGCACCCCACTCCGAAGAACCAAAAGCGATACCACTCTCCTCTAATCCGCTCAGCCTACACATACGCTATCAGTCTACCCACCATACCCCACATACCCACCTTGTAGCCTCCTGTCTTCTATCTGGATCTTGCTACCTACTCCACATACCCACACTCTTTTAGATATCCTCCTTCGTACCCGTCTCCATATCGCCTGGTTAGCTCTTCGGATCGAACTCCGCAGTTAGACGCATCCATTCGTTTCCAGTTTTATAGATAAGTAATAGTGCAAATATAATCCAATACGTCAAAGAAAAACTTGTCCAGTACTTATTCACCTTGACTTACCAACTTGCTATCCAGTGAAACCTGCCCATCACAGGGATGCTCTATCTCTGCTTCAACCATCAATTGTCTGGATACAGGAGTGACTCGACCTGGATTCTGAAGAAACATCTCTCGTGATTGTGGTCACCTTGACGGTGCGTGCTACTGTCGTGGTATACTTAGTGCTGAAGCATATTCTAATCATCACCAGGTCGATTCATTCGTGGTGGCAACTATAGAACGTCCCCCTGGACAAAAGTGGCGACAGTTCAGATTTGCGAAGACCAAGCATCATTCCAGTAACGCTCCGCATGGGTACTCGAACCAATCTTTTGTTCCATCGACTAGGATCGTCGTGCCGTCCTTCTGGACGGCCGCATATGTCTGCCTGTTGGGAATGACGTCGCAGCTTCTTTGCTCAAAGTAAGTCTATCAACCAGCTCAAAGATTATCTGCGCACCGACAGTCCCAAATTAATAATTACCCTCATTACTGCAGCAGAGCTCTCTAATCATCTCCGCCCCCGAACTCGCATGACAGTTGGCGATTATGCAAAAGGAGTGCGAGAATGCGAGAACGCTCTTTATGGCTCTCGACCCAGCACACAGGAGCATATGTTCTTGTCGAACCTGACTATCTCGCGCATCGATTAGACTAGGACGGGGGGACGTAGTGCCGATCCTGGATGGCGCGCTGGATAAAAAGTCCTTCGAGGGTCGAGGATAAGGTTAAGGCCTCGTGTGTGAGGTAGGCGAGTCAACGTCCTAGGTGCGGTCTACTGTATCTCTATCTATAGGTATTCCAAACTGAGTATGCCTCCATAAGCACTGTATCTACCTCGGCGACTAGCTAAAAGTGAATAGAGTGGTGTCACCCCTTCTGGGGGCGAATTCGCCGAACATCATGCTCAGGTTCGGTTTAAACTTATGTTTCACGGCGGCGCCCAATTAATACCGAGTGCATGCAGCTCCCTTGTTCCAATTCATCTGCCGAGTTCAAGGTATGTACTTATCCGCAGCCCAGATCCCTCCTAACGGTCTCATAGGCGCTGCATTTGGATGGGCTACGACGTAGTGGTCGGGTGCCCGGAAACCTTCGGCGTCGGAGGCTCTCAAATTCCTTACTTATCCGCATATTGGCTGTCAAGCCGCGCCTCGCTAAGCCACTAGTCAAGCAAACATGCAAACATGTTCTAACACTATCAGGGCCAAACGATATGATATAATATAAAGACCTCCCAACTCTGCTCGAAATGGACCAAGCCTCGAAGGAAGATGGCCAACGCCCAAGATGCACTTTACATCCTCAGCCCTTTCGACACCCTTTTCGAACGCGTGGGCGTCGTCATGGGTTGGCTTGTCGAAGGAACAGTCGACCTAGCCACCCTCGACAGGGCGCTCGGGTCAGTTGTACGGAAGTGGCCTATGCTTGCTGGGCGTCTGGAGACGCACGATGTGGAAGGAAACCAGGTGCGAGCATCTGTCATCGTTCAAAGGGCTTTGTGGATACAATATGGTGCCTTAGAAATTGTATCGCGTCCGCGTCCCTCTCTCCGGCGTAGCTGAAGATTACGCGCGTTACACCCTCACGTCGTCCAGTTCTCCGTACCCACTTTCCAAATACATGGCTCTACCCATCCCATTGGCGTCGGACTCTCTTCCTCACGAGCTCTTCATGCAACCAAAGGCTCCAACTCTTACGACCCAGTGGACTAATGGCAAACTGCCTCTTCTTCATTGGCATGTTACCTGGTTTGACCGATACGACGATTCGGGAAAGAAACGCCCCTTCTCGTGTATAGGAGTGACCTTTCCGCATGCTCTCTTTGACGGCCTGGGGATTGCCCGCGTCGTGCATGCAGTTGAAGCAGAGTTGCTTGGTCGGGAATGGGAGCCACCTTCGATTGTACTTGAGCCAGGAGTAAACAAGGACCTCCTGGAGGCCACCCTAGACCGTGCAGCAGACGAACAATTTGCCAAGACAGGGCAAACACATGGCAGCTCGGAGTATCATGCAACAGGGTTGGTCACGACGTGGTGGGTGTTTATGTACTTCCTGTGGGCGATTTGGCAGGAGAAGTGGCACGGTGGGCGCAGAAGACTGCTTTTGATGCCCGCCGAGGCTTTCGGAAAGTTGGTAGACGAAACTAGGGCGGCTGCAGCCAAAGAACAAGGAGATAAGCCTGAGGATGGGCGCGTCCAATTGACTCGTGGAGATATACTTGCGGCTTTCGTGTTCAAGGTCAGTGTTCTGGAAACCCTGTATGTTTCATACACTTACTGGACATCTCAGAACACCTTTTGTGATGGATACTTGCCGCCAGAGTCTATCGTCAGTATGTCCAGCCTCGCATCTCTTCGCCGTCCGACGTTCTTTTCCGGCGCGCTTGCAACGTACCCACACAACTGCGTCATCCCACTCCCGTACCCGCTCTACACCATGCGCAAACTCGAGGACATGACCATCCCAACTCTGGCAACTCAGTTCGCAGAAGCCAGGATTGAGTTCAAGCAAGAGGAAGCGTTACTGTCTCGAGAAGTCCTGCGAAGAGGCGCCCGCGAGAAGCTCTCGTCCATTCCATTTGACACACGCGCAAGGGAGAGCATGAGCTTCTCGAACATGGTCATCGCAAACATCGTCAACATCGACTGGACAGGCGCCGGTAGAAACCCAGGCGACGTATCCCGAACGGTGTGTCGGTACAAGACGCTCTTTCCCAACCCGCAAATGCAGGTTGCTAACACGGTTGTAGCTGCTGGATACTTGGACGACGGAACTATGGTTATGGACGTTTACTTCGTCAAGCGAAGGTTGAAGCTTTTGGAAGGCGCGATTGCAAAGCTTGTCGAGGAAGCAGAACGTTAGTCTTTTGTTGCTATAGAGTACACGATTGTACTGCTCCTCGCCTGAAATAATTACGAGTTGGAGATCCGCGCTCAACATGAGATGTCGACTGATCATTGCCAAATAATTGCACACAACCTCGGAGAAGTCGAGCTGATGAGCATCCTTAGCTTTGAAATGAAGATTCCGATTTTTTTGCCAGAGCTCCCTGCTAATTGCGCAATGTCAGATTACAACGTGAAGTCTTGTAGTCTTGAATAAATGACCAATGTTTAGCGCTATATCTGGTAGCGAACAGTTAAGTACTTATTCCAGACGATATGACGTGAGTGAAATCAGATAAGATGGACTGGGATTTGGAAGCTTGAACTCTTCTTCTTCTAGTGCACATGGAGGAAGTTCGAGGATATTCACCTGACCAACTGCGCTGTCGATGAATGGTGGTCGTAGCTGACCATCTGACCCAAAATCCACGACAAGTCGTCGATCTCAAGCGCTGCCCAGCATTATTGTGGGGTTGTGTGGTGAAGGCAGGGATGCGAAAGGATGCCAGGGTGTGTGAACAGGCGCTGGACCAGTCTGGAAGCCCTGCTGTCATGTCGGTGATGTTTCGGTCGATGTGCTGTATTGAGCATCCAGTCTCAGAAGGGTCGGATATCACGGAATGCCACCCGCTCGCCTTTGTTCAACCACTACCACCACCATCGAGCTCGAACGTCCATCGTCGAGCTCACTGTCCGGCTCATCTTGCAGCCGTTTCCGTCGCGGTACGCCGTCAAATCTCTCGGCACTTGGTCATCTCCACCAAGACCCATTTGATCGCACCTCGTTCGACGAGCGTTACCTGCAAGTACAGGAACGATAGTAGGTCCATCGGGGCTCGTAAACGCGTAGACGATAGCTCACCGTACTCCTATTCACTCTCAGTCCTTGAAATCGACGTCCAGCACAAGATATGTTCGCTGTAGCGAGGACAACCTCCCGCCATGTGCGACTCTTGAGCTTGAGGAGCCGCGGTTTCCCCGTTGTCCAGCGAGGATTTGCAAGCACGAGGTGTAAGTGTCGCCATTGTTTTTTGGAGGCGCCGGCGTGGTGATGGATGAGCCACGCTTGTGTAGCATCACCATATTGTTTGCCGGAATTCCTTCGTCCCGCCCCCATCCGACCAAGCCGTGCCTTGCTCGCGTTGCTCGCTGTTATCTTGACAATCATTTTCCCCCTTTAATGACGGTCATTTGTTTCCCCCCATCTCTCCAGATACAATGTCGATTCCTGCCCAAAAAATCGTCGTTCAAAACCCTGTCGTCGAGCTTGATGGAGATGAAATGACCAGGATTATCTGGAAGAAAATCCGTGAGGAGGTACATATAACCAGGTTTAAGGGTGTTGGATACACTAACAAGGAGCCAGCTCATCCTCCCATACCTCCAACTGGACATCAAATATTACGATCTGGGATTGGAGTACAGAGACCAGGTACGCGCAGGCCTTCCTCCGCTGACCAACCGACTCCAACCACCATGGTCATAGACCAACGACCAAGTAACAATCGATGCCGCCAACGCCATCATTAAGCACCAAGTCGGCATCAAGTGTGCTACTATCACCCCGGACGAAGCTCGCGTTGAGGAGTTCAAGTTGAAGGAAATGTGGAAGAGTCCCAATGGAACTGTATGTCTGCCCGCCCTTGCTTGTATCTGTCTCTCCATCTTCTGTTAGATCCGCAACATCCTCGGTGGCACGGTCTTCCGCGAGCCCATCATCCTTTCCAAGATCCCGAAACCCATTCCTGGCTGGGTCAAGCCGATCGTCATCGGTCGTCACGCGTTTGGCGACCAGTACCGTTCAACAGACTTTGTCGCCCCAGGGCCCGGCAAGCTCCAGCTTGTTTTCACTCCTAAGGACGGAAAGGCTCCAACCGTACTCAACGTGTATGACTTCAAGGGCCGTGGTGTCGCAATGTCGATGTATAACACCGACGAGGTGGGAGAGTCTTTGCCGTCCTGTATGACCAGAGCTCATTGGCCTTGTAGTCAATCGTTGGGTTTGCCCATTCGTCATTTAAGATGGCGTTGGCTAAGAAAATGCCTCTGGTATGTAAAGCCGTCTTCGTAGAGTCGTCCTTTCTGACTGTCGGTGTAGTTCATGTCAACGAAGAACACGATCATGAAGAAATACGACGGTCGCTTCAAGGATATCTTCCAGGAGATCTACGACAAGTCAGTACTTGCCGAGCCAAAAATAGATTTTGTCAAACTCACTTCATGTCAGAGAGTACAAAGCCGCATTCGAGGCTGCAGGTATCTACTACGAACATCGTCTCATCGACGACATGGTTGCACAAGCCATCAAGTCGTCCGGCGGCTTTGTCTGGGCATGTAAGAACTACGACGGTGATGTACAGAGCGACATCCTCGCTCAAGGATTTGGAAGCCTCGGCATGATGACCAGCGAGCTTCTGACTCCTGATGGGCAGATCATCGAGAGTGAGGCTGCGCACGGTGCGTCGATCTTTTTCTCCCCCATGAGAAAAATCCCGGCATATATGAACATTCTTTTACCCCACAGGCACCGTCACCCGCCATTACCGCGAATACCAAAAGGGCAACGAGACCTCCACGAACCCGGTCGCATCCATCTTCGCTTGGACGCGTGGTCTCCTCCATCGTGCCAAACTCGACAACAACGACGCACTTGGACAATTCTGTAATGACCTTGAAGCGTCTTGCGTTGAAGTTATTGACCAGGACGGCATTATGACGAAGGATCTTGCGCTTGCTATCCATGGAAAGGACATGAAGAGAGAGCACTGGGTCATTACTGACGCATACATGGATGCCGTTAATGTGGGTCTCTTCTCTCTTTGTGCCTCGGCATGGCGGCTGATTTGCGGGTCTAGGCCAAGCTGCAGAAGAAGCTCGCTGCTCGAGCTCCTAAGCTGTGACTCCACTAACCCCGAAGCTCTCGAGTATTGGAAGCCTTGAAAACATCCTGAATTGTATTTCCTCCATAGTTTGGGACCTGCATGGGCCAGAGATAAGACAGGCTACAAGAACATGGATAGAGTCCGATATGATAGACTACTAACCTCGGAGACATACACCTGGAATTCGCTTTTTGACGATCTATCACTGTTGTTTCTTAGTTGTTGTCTTGTTTCCTGTACAAAATATAACAATTATCCAATTACGTATCACCAGCAATCTCTCATCGTTCATGGAGTAGTACATGAGAAACACAGTGCAAGCCCCAGCAGAATAATACATACATATAGAATGTTGACAAGAGAGACGGTCAAGCTACTCACAGTATAGGCACAGGCGTGCACTCCATCCGATATTTCGTCAGGCAATCCAATGGAAGAGATCGAGGAACTCGAATTGAGACTCGAGGTTTATAAAACTTCCAACCTTCGGTTCGCCGTCGGCACCTGTAACGAGAGAGCAGTAAAGAGGATAGCTGGGGCACCCCTCAAAGAGGATTGTACATGGATGAAGATGAAAGAGAGGGCTCGTACAATTTCCGCGACCACCGGATTTTTGAGTGATGATGATGATGGGCACGATTGACTCGGGGTCGCTGGGACCAGTTTATGACGAAGTATTGAAATTAGCAGCTGTTCACTCCAGGCCTCCGACTGCAGAGTGCACTGGTAGCAACAGGTGATCAACAACCTAATCCCATAGGGCATATAGTTTTGTGCCTCCGCGCTGGCTTAACTGTTACTCTGAGTGGTGCTGAATACCTTCCTATGGCTCCAACTAAGACAAAAACCTTCGTATATGCGTTCTTGAGGCATGTTCTTCATGGGATGATCGTGTGGCGCACTGATCGATGTCGGGCTCTGAAGTGGTGTCGAGAGTCGGAGAGCTTTAGACGGCCGAGAACCTAGGACACGGATCGCAATCAAAGGCCTGAAGGGAGCGGGACGTATGCCGTGTTATTGGCCGCACTTTGAGCTCTCCAGTCATGGTCGCTGGAAACTCAGATACTCAGGACTGATGTAGAGAAGAAGGGTCTGAAACGCACCTGCAACCTTTCTAAATGGCACCCTCCTTATCGCTGAGGTTTGTAACTGTCTTCCCCGTCCTGTAAGAGAGACAACAGCTCCGCTTTGGTAGAGGAAAACTTGCTGCAATTAACGTCAGCAGTGATCTTGAGGACATTACGCCGTGCGCCACAGCGCCAGCGTCTTTCGGAGTCAATTGGGGCACATATAGTGTTGAGGAAAGGGGCTCATTGAAATTTAAATCGAGATGGATGGAAAGACTTCAATTGCGGGCCAGCTTGTATGCAGAATTATACAAGGCAAAGTTACTGGGACGAGCACCCTTGCTACACAGATGCTGTTCCCACGGTCCAAAAACATTGAAGAATCGAGGCCCTCCCCGCGTTTATTTTATTCCACCCTGGGATTAAGAATGGTAATGGCATGGCAGGATCGCCAAGCGATATTATTGCAGTACCCCAATGGATTTTGGGCGGGGGGATGAAGCAGAGCGAGGTAACTTTGGCTCAGTTCAACGCCAGGGCTGTGGCTACTAGAATTCACACAGACAGATTCAATCGAGGGTTTGTTGCTATAAGCCCTGGGGGTACACTGCACAATAAGTCCAGATCAGTCTTATCGATAAAATTCCCAACCAAAGAAGCCGTCGACTAGAAAATCCGAAGGGTAACACTGCCTCAAAAAGTTAGTCTGACGACGCGGCGGCTGCCTGCTCGCAAGGTCTCAGGAGCTGTTCCACGTTTTTTCCATCACGTCTATACGGTGCAAGTGGGCCCTGGGACGCGATGGTTTTATTATCTAGGCGCTGGTACTTTCGGAAATACTACCGACCAGAAGCTCGGGACGACAAGTTTTGAGTGATTCTTGATTACCATGCAAAGCACTTCAAGTTGAATGACAAACGTCAAACGTGAAGAGAACGAGAGAAGGTGCGCGACGTCGTAGAAGCGTTCGCTAGTGTCGAATTTGTGTCAAGATACCGTGGTCCTCCGCTTCTGTTCTTCTGCACTCAGTCCTGTTTCGCCCAGTCTCGGCGTTTCGAGGAGATGCCTATGACTTAGGGAATCATGCGATGCGATTGGGAGCCCGACGTCACGTTGCTCGAGGCCTCTCGTCTCGGCAGTTGCTGTGCTCTAACCACCGAGTCTCGAGGCAATTCTGTCTATGAAAAAAAATATCCAAAGATACTGTGTCTTTGCAGGAAGCCCGATGGGCAGAAGAGCTTCGAGAGATTACGCAACTGCGATTTGCGGATCGCGACAGCGTTCGTCATGTGAATAAGAAATAAGAGAGAGAAGCAAAGTCTCACTAAGACAAGCTTTCCTTGTCAAACATACATACACTCCTCGACGCCGATACCGCCTGGCTTACGAATACCGTTGAAAGGACATGTTGTGGTCGCGTTGAGAGAACTGTGGTGCCGTAGATTTGCATCCGTTGATCGACCGATCTCGTGATCGATCATTGATCGATCAGCCGCCACATCCCCAATGTGGGAATTCTGCAGATCTTGCACGCCATCCCCGTGAGCACTTGAGCTTCTGTCCTACGGTCCTGGGTTTCGATAATTACCTGTGTAAGTAAATTCCTGCAAGTTCAGACTTCTTACTAGGAGAAACGTTAACGTGAAGAGTTCATGTACAAAGCAGAAAAGCGGACAGTAGGACTCTGTTGACAATTTACACCCCCACATCCATGTTGACGATAATCTGGTTTGGACTTTTACTTGAAATCTTCGCGCTCTCGAGGGAGATACAGAGTTATCCGCCTTTGCGGGGTCTCGTCGCTCGACGACGAGACCTCTGCACGTGCACACTTTACATATCCTTATTTCACTCCTGTAGGCAAACAGACCTCGGGCGCTCGCGGCACGAGAGTATAATCTGGCACTCGTGGAGATTATGGACAAGGAAAGTTAGCCATTGATTATGCGTTGGTCGGCTGTCGTTCACAAGTCGTTCACGCCTCTTCGGTCATGCACATCGCAGCGACTTCATAGTTCGTGGGCGCGGGGATGAGGCCGAATGAGTGAAATGGCTTTCAAATCGACCAAATGCGTCATAATTCTGCCTGTTCTGTCTCGCGGCACTCGGAGGGAAGAGAATGAGTGGTGTTGACGAATCAGCAGGAGGAGGGCTTTGAACGGACATCACTCCATGTGGAGTTGTGGGTTGGTGGTAAACAATCTCATGGATCTCCCAGTATCCCGCCTGTCCAACTGAATACCCTTTTTATCTCAGTATCTATTCCACCTTCAAGCTTCAACTCCCGCACTCGGACTTCATCGAACAGATATCATTGGGATTTTCTTAGGCGCCGAAAGAGACTGGTGACCTTGCAAATTTGAAAATGACGAATTCTATTAAACATGCATCGTCCTAGAGAGCCCATCTTACGGAGATGAATTGCTAGAGATCAGTTAATATAATTCCCATTAGCGACCCCCTTCCCAAAGTCAGGTACCCAATCATTATGATACGCCAGGAGACCCCTGTCAGGGTGTCATGTGACTGGCAAGATTACGCTCCCTGTGTATGTAATCAGTCGTGCCGAAGACCGATTCATGATCATTGACAGAGTCCACGGTTGAGAAGACTTTTTTTTAGTTGGAGGCTGCGTACTCAACAGTGTCCTCTAGCAGCTCGAAATAAAACTCTCTTGGTGTCCGTCTGGAAATAGGTGAAAGGATGGAGGGTGTGTCAGGTGCTTGCGAGCATAAATGAATAATTTACCATGGCGAAGGACCGAATCAGAGAATGTGAAACCAGAAGCATTCGGCAAGCCGTGCTTCGCGCACGCGAGACAGCGATCACCCCAAGACATTTCCAGGAAAGGTATGAACCAACTTACTTAGAGCCATTTGCCTAAAGATCTCGTATGGGGAGATCACCGGTATTGCGGCGCAGTAGTAGGCAGTACACACCGGCACAAACTCACTTTTACACACTCAGCGATAAGCCCCTCAAGAAAGGACGGATATGTGTTTTGATTTCGATATGAAAGGCCTTGAAAACCCAGAAGGTAGAATGCAAGGACTCACGAGTAGGGTCCGAGTCTTTGTGGGAGGAAGCGCCATGTGGGAAGAGGTAACCGGCGCTCGATCGGAGATGAGATCAAGCGATTGACGTTGCCTTTTTTGGGGAAGTCGACAAGAAGATGTGACTGAAGCGAAGTGTCACGCGGCTAGATCTGCACAAAAAATCGATCGAGTAGAAATACGGTGGGAGCCAAGGTGTTCCTCCTGACGCCAACTCTGTCGCATTTCCTCGTATTTCTGCGCTTCTCTGCCTTCTTTCGCCCTCTCTCTTCGCCCTCACATTTATATATACAGCACTCATTTCTCGGGCTCCCCACGACCCCATGTTCAACTTCACCGACCCTAGTGCTCACCAGCACCCACTCTTTCCTTCTCAGCCTCTCGTACCCCCTGTCTCATACCACCAGCAAGACTACAACTCATCGTACACCTCCGCGGAACCCCACTTACGACAACCACGGCTCGTTTCAATTTCCCGCACGCTTCAGGCTCGTGGACACCCGCGCCACGATGTCGACACCCACAATACCGACCAGGGCATGCACCACCATGACGGTCATCACGTCAGTCACGACAGCTGGAACTCCTTCTCCGACTCCAGCTCCTTCGTGCAGTCCTACCAGCGACACGCGCCCGACGCGTCTCATCTCCGCGCTACCAATGTCTCCTATCACACACCCCCGCCTTCCGTGCCTTTGCAACCAGCCTTTTCCAACTTGAACGAATTGTCTCCATTCGTCACCACCATATCTCCAACCAATACCCCGACACCGCCCCCAGAGTTCTCATCGCGCACGCCCTTGCCTGCTATGAGTGGATCCCTGTCCGAGCAATCGGATTCTGACTTCTGGCCTCGGAGTCAGACGCCCGCTGCCTCCGGAATCTCGCGTGTGAGCCCCGCAGTCCCGGAACGGGCTGCGTCCGACCCACCGAAGCCTCGACGGGCGCGACGTGAGCGGCCGCGCATTGCCCTCGCGCCGGACCAGCCACCGACTACGCAAGGGAAGGTTCGGGCCCGCGTTTACGTGGCGTGTGTGCAGTGGTGAGTCCGCCGATGTAATAAAAGTGCTTACGAACTCTAACGCTTTCGTTCCAGCCGCACGCGCAAGATTCGGTGTGACGGTGCGAAGCCTGTCTGCCACAACTGTGGACTTCGCTCGAATGGCTGCGATGGGTGTAATTATGACCCTGCCCCCAAACGTCGCGGGCCTGACAAGATACCAGGCGGTCGCCAGCGCAGGGATCCTATGAACGAGATCGACGGCCTTCCCCGACGCCGCCGTCGCCGTACTACCCGCGAGTCCGACAGCTCGACGTCCGAATCCAACGTAACGACCCTTCGGCATCTTCAAGCGGACGGTATCGCAGACTCTCGTCCTCATTCGAGTTGTTCTACGCCCTTCAAGCGCGATTCATCGAGCGATATATCCAGTACCACCAGTGAATTCATGTCGGCATCCGACTACTCGCGTTCTCCGTACAACGCAATAGGGCGCCATCCTAGCCTTACTCAGCCCTCGGATCTCCCTCCCCCGAGCGATCTTTTCGATCCGAGAAAGCCCGCAACTGTTGGATCTTATGACTATCATTGGGCGTAATATTTTTTATTTCACCAATGGCTTAGAAAGGAGGGCACATACACGACAGCCCCCGATTTCACAGGATCCATCCATTCTCTAATTACCAAGACACACACTTCGCCGACCGATAGTTAACTTGCCGAACATTTCGTTCTTTTCTGAACTCTTGTCCATTCTGTCTCATTATCGCATACCCCACTGTACCGCGCCGTCAGTTGTCTTATAAGTTTGCCTCGCTAGCGAGAGTACTGTAGCTACTACCTACCGTCTATGTATCGATAGTAATATCCACTTCGTTATTCATGTGTCCTCTAGCTCAATGTATAGGGGCTTCCTGAGTTCCAAGTGGTGACGGTGACATAAGTCTAGAACTTTGATCGACTGCGCGTCTCCTCACGAGTCTCTAAGCCGAGACGGAGGCGACACAGGCCCAAGGGGGATGGAAATGAGGCCTGAACGCTGTACAGGTCCAGCTGGCAGAAGAAAGGGGCTTCTTTCGAATCAAATCGTAAGTCCTACATACTTGGCATATATATGTGTTCCTCATGTTTCTTTTCAACTCTATCGACTTCTATCGACTTCTATCGACCATAATTTGGCCCCGCTCTTGAGCTTCTTCGTGAGGAACGAAGCCACAGGATGCACGGGGACGAGGAACGGGATCGCCGCGTGGGCCACGTGGGACTCGCGGGACGGAGCCACGCTACACAGCCACCTGCGCGAAAGGGGCCACGTGGAAAACCATGTTCGGGTGGCTGTGACTCTCTGGAGTAGTGGCGCCGATCTTCCTTCATGATGATCTTCCAAATGTTGGCGGTTGCTCGACGACGTATTTAAACTTGAAACGCCTCGATGTGATTGGTAGATAAACGGAGAATAATAACGGGGAATGGGAGGGAATGGGTGAATAGATGAGACGTGACGGGGCGAGTAACCTCTGACTGCGAGTTCAGCAGCCAGCGGTGAATTCTGACTTGGCAAGCGCAAGCACTTCTGGCTTGGACACAGAAGCTCCAGAGCCTAAGTAGTACCTCTGGCCTAGAACTGACCAACCTATTTCGAGTAGCCCAGAATTGTTGAAGACTATGGAGATTTAGGACACTTTCCATAGCCCCTTTCAGTGGCTTGATGCCTCAAAGGAGCAAAACGCCACTGCGAAATACCAGGATGGACCATATTCCCGGTGGGAAAAAATCTCACCCGTACAAGGAACACGACCTAACACGACCCGACAAAGGCGGTAATTCTTTTTACCCACATTTACTCTTCTCAGGTACTATGATATGTACCTGCCATAATTATAATGAAGGAGACCACAACGATCTACAGGGAAACACTGATGTGTACTTGCATACCTGCCAAAATGATGAAGTGTACACATATAGATCCAGACCCAGACCAGACAAAACGTAAAGGGGTGGGAGAGGGTAGCTTGGAAGAGGGCAAGTGGAAGAGGGCCCGCCAAACTTCGTCCTCGAGGCATGTTCTAGGAAGATTCGAAGCCTCCCGAAAGCAGCGGCGGAGAACACTTGACTGGCACGAGAGTTTCTTTGTCGAAAGCGAGTCTCACGGAGTGTCAACGGTGGAAATGTGGAAGAATACTTTCTCCGAGTAAAAGCGTTTGGATCACTCAGGTCTTCCGTTTGTCTTCCATCCTGAGGCCTGTGCGAGCAGCGGAGAAAGCCTCTCGTTTCCTGGGCCGAGCATCGCGTGATACAAACTTCGATTGTCGTGCTTGAAACTAGCTATATCGGAAGGAATATATCAAACAACTCTGAGGAGGGAGGACTGAATATGATTCATTATCATGATTAGGGCGAAACTCGGGAGTCCTTGCCTTAGTCTGCGCGGGAGAGGAAAGTTCAGTGAGGTACGTGTTTCTGTACTCCAATTTTATCTACCACGAATGAACGTCTGTTAGACTCTGTTAGATTCTAAGTATGTGTGCGCTCATCTAAATACTAAAACGGTATCCCTTTCCTGGTGGACAACTTCAAAAGTTGACGGAGTCAACTTTTGTGTTACCCTTCAGTCCAGGCCCAGGCCGTGTCTGTTAATTACATAATTGATTACGCGTCCATCACTGCTCGAACTATCGTTGCGGACAACCTCGACGGCGGCCCATCCCCTCGACTAGGGACCACCTCGAACCACCATGCTCGCAGACAATGAACGCTGTCAAAGCACTTATCATTTCGATTGATCCATTGCACCCTGGGCTAAAATGAGATGCGCAAAATAGCGGGCGAAGGCATCCAGTGCGTCCCTTCAGCCCACTCAACTGGCGCTGAGCGTTGACTGACATGGCACATTGACAGCAGCACCTAATAGGCCTTTACAATATTGTAACCGCTTTTGAACTTCAGGAATGACAGCAGCTACAAGAACGTGAACGAGCTCAGAGCAGAGACACGGCATGAGGACCCGCCTCACTGGCTACCAACCTCTGAGCAGCCAAGCGAAAGTAGTGGTGCCGGCTCATCTGCGTCATCAGCTTGCAGTAGAGGTATGTTTCGCTGTCTAATTCTTTATGACGGGTACCCCCTCAAGGACTTTTGCGATGGTCGAACATCAGGGTGTGTATGGCCACCCTGTACCTGTATGTTCAATCATTCATTTTGCGCTGTCCAGGTCTGACTCAGACACCAGCACCCTCACCATTGTTGTTGTTGAGCTGATCTACAATGGCCCAGGATCCATACCCTTAAACCCGTGGGAGGAGCGAAGGCGAGCAGAGTCGCAGAGGTAAAATTCCAGTAAAATCATAAGGAATTTCAGTATGTATATGATGATGTGCCTATGGTAGGGTGATCGTGCGGATAAGGAATGGCAAACACACACCCAAAACACCGCAACGAGTGGCTCTGAGGTGCGAGGACAGTTCCGTGGTTGTGCAGCTCTAACCAGATGGCATGCGCGACTCAAAGACGGGTGACGAATGTGGGCGCTAAGCATGGGAACGAGACGAATGAGGCAGCAGCGCCTCCGAAATACGGTCGAAACGAGGACAAGGGACAAAGGCGAGAAATGGAAAGTGAACTAAATTCTCTATTTTGTGTGAGTGAGTGTGTAGACATAGTTTATATCTATGAAGAAGGGAGAGTCCAGAAAGGGAGATATCCAAACCGGTGTGAAGGAAGAAAGAAAAACAGAAAATTTCAGATAAGAATGAAACAGATATGGAAAAGGGGAGACGCGGCGAGGTGGCAACTGTGTTGATGGGAGGAAAAGACTACCTAACAAGGAAAGGGAGGCGCGCCGAGCGTCTCGGTGAAATGGGAAAGAGAGGGAAAGAGGTGTTGGAGTTAGCCAACCCAGCATTTACTCGGACTTACCAGAATACTTGATTAGTAATATTCTGACTCACTTAGCATAGCCTCGGAGAAATAGGAAATTAGTAGATAGTGCTAGAATATTGTAGATACATAATTGTACAGTATATAAGAGCTCTGTAGGAGCCCCGGAATATTAACCCTCTCTTACCTTCTGACCACCACTGCGCCAACAAGAGGCGGTGTCGGTCACGGGACGGCTGCTTTTGCTCTGAGGATTTCCGGGTGTGTCGAGGAATCATATGGTGCGATGGGAAAGGTGTCTGGAATCGAGGGAACAACGGGAATGCGATGACAAAGGTCGAAAAAAGATATTCTCCGAGGCCAAGCAGCGGGCCGGCTCATCAGTGAGTATGTAGTGCCATTTCTCCCCAACTCCCCCACACCCCGTGCTTTGCACAGGTGAACTTCTCATTAAGGTCTGAGATGTTATGATGGGTTCTGCAGTTGTGCAGCTCTAACTAGGGCTCGTGCAACCCGAACATGGAGGACTATGTCCGGCAGGAAATTTCTTGCTGAACTAGAATAAGTAAATTTACACTGGCAGTGTCTCACCAGCATCGAATATTGAGTGGCTTGGACAACAAATTTCAAGTAGGTCAATTCACCTCCCGGAAATGCGGAAACTTCCAATTACTCGAGCATAAAGCCGAGAATAACTAGCAGGGGGCCCATTTGAGTGAAGTTGGTTAGCACCGGAATGAGGTAGACAGCCTTTCCAGTCCGAGCCTAGCATAAGGACACCACTCAGACTGACGGCACACATAATTTGCGGCATTTATTTCTCCTACATGGGGCTCGCACGGAGAAAATCCATGAACAACCACGATGCCTGTACGAATTGAGACCGCCGGAAGTCGCTCGGCACGACGGAAAGGTGAGTGGCCTTGAGTGAAATTCAAATAAAATAAATTTTGCGCGTATTGAGTATTCTCTCGGCTTATTAGAATACCCAACCCCCAGCCCGTGCAAAGCACGGGTAATCCTCTAGTATGCATGACATGCGCGAATTATCTAGACCTTGTATGGTAGTATGTTCTCACGGTCACTGATAGCACTAGACGTTGGCATTTTTGTACTCATTGATCAACCTTCCACTAGCTCTCACTTCGCTCATCTTTGGACGACACCTTTCGGGTCTTCCTCACCATTTATTCGACGAGGGTAAAGCCCCAATACTTAAGTGGTATGGTGGTGCGTTTTATAAATGGCTTCCTTCGACATTTCAACCTCACACTTCCGAGTAGAAAATCTCCGTTTTGCAACATGACCTCTCAGTACATCTCCCGTACATCTCACCTCTATCTCCCCGCGAGGCTGAACACCAATGTCGCGAAACCTCAATCCACTGATGCACCCATTCTCGCGAGCTCGAGAACGAACAAGAGCCTTGAATGCCGCCAAGATGGATCGAATGTTCGCCAAACCATTCGTTGATGCTCTCGAGGGCCACATCGATGCTGTTGAAGTGCTATGTCGGCGACCGGGATCGTTGACAGGGATTGCAAGCGGCAGCTGGGATGGAGGTGTGTGCTTGTGCATCCAGGACCAACTTTGGCCAAATGCTCATTCTCGAAGGTATTGTCATGCACAACCTATCAACACGAAAACAAACCTTCAATATCTCGCAAGCTCATAAAGGAAAAGTCTCCGGACTGTGCTTTTCACCTGGGCAGGGAGAAAGGCTGTTATGCGGTACTTTGGGCTGTCGGCGAGGAGGGTAGTTTCCCGGACATGGTGAGTTTCACTGTTTGAGTAAGGCAATTTGTGCATTCGTTGGGGATGTCGCACCGGCCAGAACACTTAATGGTTGAAGATTTATCTTCACAGATGCTAATATTTTTGTCTATTCTAGCCTTTAAATGTCTTCCCGGGAAAAACAGCATTCAAGTATGTCTCAAAAGCCATTTTCTCGATGGCGACCTATTCAGTTTGCTTCCTAGTTCAATAGACCATCATAGAACAGACCCTCTTTTCGCAACAGCCTCAAACATTGTCCAAATATGGGATGAGACAAAGTTGGTTCTTCTCATCGCCGTACTGCACGCATTCCTGACATATTTGTAGGAGTGCCCCCATATCAAAACTCTCATTCCCGACCTCCACAGAAACAATTACAGCTGTTCGATTCAACATGAGCGAATCGTCTGTTCTAGCGAGCATAGGCACAGATCGGACATTCACTCTGTATGATATACGGACAGGGAAGGCTGAGCGGAGGATCATCATGCAGGTTCGTAACCCCATGCCCCGATTCTACATCTCCAAGCCGCCGACGCTAAGACGGTCTTTCAGATGCGCAGCAACGCCCTCGCCTGGTCCCCAACCTTCCCGACCACCGTCCTCCTTGCCTCGGAAGATCATAATCTTTATACTTTCGACATCCGGCGTCTTGAATCTCCCACTCAAATTTACAAAGCACACGTGGCCGCTGTCATGTCATGCGATTGGAGTCCAACAGGTACCGAGTTCGTCAGTGGCGGTTGGGACAGGACTGCGAGGATCTGGCAGGAGGGTCGTGGACATCAACCGGAAGTCTACCATACGAAACGCATGCAGAGGTGCGTTTTCATCTTCTGCTCCTGTTTCAGGAGGAAATTTAGTTAGTATATGGTAGAGTCACCTCATCAATATTCTCAGCAGACGCGCGCTTCGTCATGACAGGCTCCGACGATGGCAATGTGCGCATATGGAAAGCGAAGGCATCCGACAAACTTGGGGTCGTCACTGCTCGCGAACGTGCAGCTATGGAATACAGAGAAAGCCTCAAAGAGCGATGGAAGGTCGATGCAGAGGTCAGCCGTGTCGCAAGGTATCTTTCTACTTCCACTTCCACCCCCTGTATATTCATGAAGTTCGTAGGACCCGACATCTGCCAAAATCTGTCCACCAGACAGCCAAACTCAAGACGACGATGCTGGAGGCCAGGAGGGTCAAGGAGGAAAGGAGGCGGAAACACACCCGTGCTGGAGAAAGCAAGCCAAAACAAGAGAAAAAGAAAACGGTCCTTGTGGAACAGACGTAGTTCTCGTACGCTCTCTGGGCTTCGATACTCATTTGCAATCAGAGGATGGTTGCGGACCATGAAACGATGAATTCCACTCGAATCTCAAGCTTCCATGATAGGCTTTCGACTGCCTACTAACTATAATAACCCATCGTCTTCTCTAATAAGTGGGGTCCCTCCTCAAGACACCCAAGAGCCACATGTCCGAAGCCCTGGCTTGCGTGTTCAAACGGCACAAGGTACGTACATAAGTACTCTTCTTGCTGTTGAAACCACACTTAACATGGATCGTCAGATATCAACTTGCGCAGATCATCTCTTCTCTATTTCGCATCCTTGTTGTCAAACCCGTTCTCTGTTGCACAAGGCAACGGAACTGACTACTCGTTCGCAATGATGACGCCCGTATCCCGCGCTGACTTGACGTTTCTCTTCATATCCAACCAACTGAGTTCAAGAAAATATAGATATAATGGTGTATTCATATGGCCATACGATTTCTTCAACTGTTCAGAATATCTTACTAGCAGACATGTCTCCGCAAACGAGCTTTCCGATGCGGCAATACAACTGGACCCTGTTGGCACTCAATGAAACTTGAAAAATTCCACACTCGCAGTATCTCAACGGCTGAGGCCTCTAAACGGCTGTAGTCGGGGTTTGGTCGTCCTGGGCAAGTATGGTCTGTTCATGGAGTGCTTTGACTCATACTTTGACTATGAAGTGTTGACGCGGATAACGCCTAATAAACCGCCTACGGCATCTTATCGTCTTCGAAGACCTATTACCGCAGAAAAGAAGGCGTGGGCAGAAGTTTTCGACAAGTTACGGAACCCTGCAGACAACTCCTGGTAGCCTGACATTTGTCTCACTCTCTAGTTGTAGCTTGTACCTCTACGTACCTACGAACCGGTCGTACCCTCATTGGGACCTCCCCGGGAATTCTATCTTCCTTCCTTCCTTCCTCTCGGGTCGTGGTTATGTCAACCGCGACTTGATGCAGAGGTCTCCTCGTTCTTCCAGCTCGAAGGCAATCAGATACACACCAGACTGCTCTTCAGATGATTCACTTGCACTCCTGCTCGACCAGCTTGGGTTCACACCATCCGAAAAGGGATGACAGGTGTCCATGTCACCCCCACCCAAACTTTGAAAGTGACTGGCCAAAGCTTCCTATTGTGATTGGTTGTGCTGGCTGAATTCTCTTCATTTGTCCCAGGGAAGGACGACGGCGAGTTTTAAACATCTTATTGCTGTACATGTCAAATAAACATACAAGTAGAGTCCACATAGGTCGTCAACATCAGCAGATCATCAGCAGATCATCTAGATGCTCTATTGCTGAAAGTATCTGGGGCAGAGTGTTGCTTTAAGCTCCTTTATGACTGTCCGTACTGGACAAAAATGCACCTATTTCATTTTTTACCCCCTGTGAAATTCACTTTCTCATCCGATCGGCCTCGATCGGCTTCAATCGTTCCCGATCGGTCTCTACGCAGAGATTTTTCTCTAATCGTGAGCGATTGATGACGATAGAGCTCGATTTGTAGCCAGACGGTCGTAAATTTTCGTGAGGCTATAGTCTGAGCTCCACAGATGGGCGACGGCTCATGATTCGGCAATATGTGAGTCCAAACCCTTCCACTCCCAGCCGGAATGAAAAATCTCCTTCACCAGACATTTAAATTTTCACTATGACCCAGTAATTTAATCAGATCAGTGGTCTCTATTAAACATGATTTCTAACAAATATTTTCTCTCTCGGTGACTGTAAGTGACTTCGCCCTTTGCGACACGCTCAAACGCTGCTGTAATCGATCCATTCAGGTCCTTCATTGTCGATAGGGTGGCACGGGCAGCATTCACATCCTTCGTCTTGTCAGCGGCGGCTACGGCTTCCTCGCCCCAACAAGTCTTTGCATGCTTTCGGAGGTTGCTAGTGGACTTCGCGTCGCCAGTGTCCAAATAGCGACGAACGTGGCGGCCGTTCTTTCCACGGCAGCGTTTTGCAGCGCATTTGAAGACATGAACACGACGGTCATTGATGTATTCAATCGATGGGGTGTTCTCGAAGAAGACATAAATCGGTGAGGTCCACTCTTTCTGGAGGCGGTCTAAGTACTGAAATCAGAAGGCAAGGCATGCTAATATAGATCTGGGAGCCTACCGAGCTCGGCTTCCGCACTTTCCTCAGGTTCTTCACCTTCGTCGTCATCGTTGCCTTCGTCATCGCTGTCGTCAACCTCCTCCAAACCAGGAAGGTCATGATCATCGACGATTTCGATGTCATCATTGCTGCCATCAGCAGCCTCCAGAACGTGGTTCGGATTCAAGGGTGGGGTTGATCTCGGCTGATCCATGTCGTCGTCGACATCTTCGACTTGGGCTGCACGAGAACGGCGGCCACTGGGAGCCTTTGAATCTATGTGAGTATTTCAATGCCTATTGGTTTTCGAGGAAAAGCCTTACTCTTTCTGATGCAGATGCTGTGTTTTTCTCTGCCCCAAGACGTGGTAGCTTGCGTGCAACGAGCATCTTGGCGTTCTGAGAGTGCTGGAGCAGAAAGGAGAGGGAAGGAGCGGTGGTGACATCCTGGCTTCACATTCATAATGAACATTTCATCCAGCGGCCGATTATGCCAGCATCGAGAGCGGATACATTGTAGAAAGCCTGGTTGTCAGTCGTCGGTGGGAATGACATTGGTCTGTGCAATTCTGACTCAATGATATTGAGTTTCTTTCACATAACAGAAGTTGGTTTCACCACACAAATCTTTAAGCTCATTCGAAACACAAGAAAATTTGATCTCAACCAGGAATTCAATTTCACTTGTACATAGTACATTCAGGACAAATCCACCCAACAGCCAAGCTAGTCCACAACCATGGCCGAATTCTGCTTCTCGTCTTCAGACCTGGTTGGCACATGCTCCTGTACCTTTTCCAGCACCATATCCTCCTCTTCCTCCTCTATGACTGCATCCTCCTCCACTTCATTCTCATCAGCCCAAAGCCATGAATCGTTGAACCAATCATATGATTCGTTGTTAGTTCTCCAGAAGGGCTTCATGCGTAGAACCATTGAGATGCTGGATGGTCGAGGATGGTCCGGAACCATATCAGACAGCTGAAGAAGTGATTCATATATACTCTCCGCAGCCTCATGAATGCATCCATAAACCTCAGCTGTGCAGCCATAGAAACAGAGAGAGTATCGAGGGTGAATTGCCTTGGGGGTGGCACGAGAGGTGATTCTGGTCGGTGGTTGATGAGCTACAACGCCTATGCGAGGGGGAGACACTTTGTTGCTTGTGGAGACAGAGTTTTGATCTAAGTGTTCCTGGACGAAGGCAGATTTCGTGTCGCGGAGTTTTCCGACCCCAAGCTCCATAACCAGCGAGATATAAGGTCGGCTGAAGTACTTTTCTGACTCAACACCCATCTTCGTCTTCATGCAATCGCGGGACGATCCTGGGGGAGGAAACAACCCAATTTTCTTCGCATCAATTTCATAAGAACCTTTCTTGGATCGAAGTTTGATTTGTACAAGGATGGAGGACATATTGGCCTCGGTGATCGGTTTGTCGATGTCAAGAAGAATGGGAATGCAGACATCAACCGACTTCTGTGACGACCAGCCAATGAAGCTCATTGCTCGGACAAAAGCAGCGCAAGCGGCTGACGTAGTAACTGCTCCGTCATCTGCTGCTCGACCAAAATGTGTGAACCGAACCCAAGATCTCGCAAAGGCCTCCTTCAGGGGCTGTCCTTCGGAAGCTAGCAGGTTGTTGGGCTTGCAGTCCAATACCAGTTCCTGGAACTTCCTCCCAGTCAAGCTTTTCAAAAATGTCACCAGGGAGCAGCCCGAGCTCCAGTTGAGGTCGCCATAAGATTGCATATCGGCCGCCCTCACGGCGGTCATGTACGCACGAACGAGTATCATTTTTGCAACATTCTCGCCTCGTTGACCCATATCAATTGCGCCCTTTGTTGGCCCAGCATCGAGGGAAGAGAAGAACTCGGCCGCCGCATCTTGAACCAGGCTCTTACTTGCACTCTCCGTGAGGTACAGTGCCTGCATGGCCGCATCTGCTAGCACAGGCTCCGACGGATAACCTGTGTGCAGATACTCTCGATGTATCGGGGCAGAATAGGCAGTACGCATATGGCTGGAGATTAGGTCCTCCATCAGCGAAACTGTTTGAGCTCTGAAAGGGTGGAACTCCAGGTTTAAGATGGTGTCGAGGATAGCCAGCTTTGCATGCAAGTTCAAATCTGAAATGCGGGGCGAGTTGGTCAACTTTTGCAGAGCAAAGATCCTGATTTTTGCATGAGGAGGAGATTCTGGAGACCTCTGCTGAGCTGCTTCAAGCATAGACCAAAATCTGATTTGGCAAGTGAGATGAGCAGTGGATGAATGACATTAGACAGAGATACGCACAAGGGACGCCCAAATCGGGCAATGAAGCTGAAATCCTGCACGTCCTTGAGAGTCAACTCCCCCAGAGACGACACCGGCAATGATGGATGACAGTCAAAAGGCATTTCAGTGTAGGGGGGTATGAGATCGCCGGCCACAACGGTCCTATTAGAGCGCGTGATTTTGGTTAGGGGGGCAAGTTGGCCCATCCGTGAAACTGTAGAGAGGAACAAAACAAAGAAGCTCCCATCGTACTCGGATACGGCCATGGTGAAGAGGTCGTAGAGTGTTAAGTTGCGACTTGAGTTTATGGCCCGGACGTCGAGCTCGTGGGCTTCATCAACATACATCACAACCGACAACGGAGCTTTTCCTTTAGCAACTGGGATCCGCCTAATGAGCGCCTGCAAGGCTGTTACTGCATCGCTCTTAGCTGACGATGGTAGGTCCATTCGGAATCGTGGCTCGACATCACGAATAACGCTGGAATAGAGTTCGGACCTAACACCACCCTCCAGCAAATGCTTTCGCCATTGAGTAGCAAAATCTTGGGCTTGGATGTCCGAAGCCCAGTCAGTGGAATTCAGTTCTGCCACAATCCGTTCGAACAAGGTGCAAAAGAGCATGTGGAACATCGTCACTACGTCGTCGTCAGAAGTCGCTTTGGCCATTGACAGTATCGACTTCGCAATGCATGTGTCTGGAAGAGGGTATGCGCCTGTTCGGACAGTTTAATGGTCAAGAACGAGGACTCGAGAAGCGACGCTACATACCTTGTTGAGTTTCAGCTTCGGCCCGAAGGTTCATTGGTATAGTGAACACAAGCTTGGCAAGCTCGTCGACCGTACGAGACTTTCCGTATCCAGATGACTGGATGATGGCCCCAGTGTTGCAATAAGGCGATCTACGTGGATCGGATTCGATGTTGCTGAGGAGGGTTTGATGAGTTGATCCCTGGTATTCCTGGGTCCATGCCGTTTCAAGTTCTGGAGGCAGTGCTTAAGAAGTGAAACCATGGACAGAAAATGAATTATGAGCCGAACCTTTGCGCAGCTCTGGCGAGAGTAAGGGAAGTCGCTGGTGGTTTCCAGTGCCTGGCATTGTCCCTTCAGCATGGAACAGGAGATACGGGGGCCATACTCACCAAACGCGGGTTTCTCAACCAGGATGTGGATGGGTTCTTTGGATAAGTCTTCACCTTCGAAAAGCTGAGAAATTCGCCGCCGGGCATTGTTTAGGCGAACAAGGCGAACGTCAGAACCATCGAACTGAAGAGTTTTCAAGCTTTGTTCCAGGTTATCATCAGGAAGACCGGAACACTTCCAGAGTACGAGATCGGGGGCAGCGACTTTATCGAGCCGAGGGGCATGCTCGTCTCTGATCAATTTCTTGAGAGTGGCAACAGTGTCGTCGTTGTCGATTTTGACCTCGACACAGTGTTCATTCGGGCTGTCATCAGGCCAGACTAGGCACATTAGCCTCAATTTCATGCCAGACATTGCAGGATGGAACAGTGTAAAGGGCTGGGGACGATTGACGTTGGCACAAGGTAGAAAATCGGTGTGAAAGAGGGGAGAGTTGAAGGCTGTCTACCGGCGGTTTTCCGAAACAAACAAATACAAACTTTCCGCCAGTGAATACCTTTGTAAACGTCCTTTCGTTCCCCATCACCAATTCCATGGATCCTCCCTTGCCCTCAGCCGGTCGTTCCAACTCGACCGATCTTGCTTCTAATAAGCAAGCCAAACAGCGTGAACTGGAGGATTTCGCCCAGTCATACGTCAAATACACAAAACTTGCTGAAGATATAACTGCCACGATCCACCACGATCCACAAGCACTGGAGGCTGCCTATGCACGAATCACAGAAGAAACACGTCTAGAACAGGCGGGCAATCCGCCTGCCTCTAGCCGGAGCCCCGAACAAATCCAGGCAGATTTGAGAAAACTTGCCAGGCGTTGCGATATAACACCGACGTCTTTCGACGAGTGAGTACCCTCACCTTGAGGCTTATATCATGGTATCCATGACGCTTCTCCTATATCAATCTTCATAGCCGCGTCCGTATATCCTTTGCTGCTGTCTCGTACGTTTGTATTCTGGTGGACAATGTCCTTGTTCCCGATAGACCACATTCGGATTTTCTCACCGTGCTTGGTATGGCAAATCGGCTGCTGTGAGCACTCTCATTCCTGTCAATGAAAGTTTGGCTTCATTATTTCTCAGGAGGAAGGTCCATACAGGAAAACCCTGTCCAACGCCCACTGTTGCCCCTGCGATTGTGAAGCTTACACCTGCCAACCCCGTCACCCGTTCGGGCCAAGAGACTGACATCACGCTTTGGCAATCTCATCCTGAGGAACTGATTGGGCACCGCTTTATCTCGAACGAGATGATTCGCAGGGTGTTTGTGGTCACAGACTTCGCCGTCAAGCGAGTCAAGGGGCCTCAATTTGACGTTGTCTACGAAGACACTGACGAAGTCTTGACTGTTGACCCAGATTCCCTGTTCGACATGGTGGCCGGTGCCGAATTGATCACGAATGTGATCAACGAACATGCCCGTTTCGTCGGGCCAAGGAGTATGGTTGACCGTGCTGGACAAAAATATATGGAATTGATTTTCTTTCCCGAACGTGACCGATCGGTTCCAATCGTCAGCGATCAGTACTAATCGTTGGCGATCGTTAACTTTCAACCACTAATTTTCACAAATACCCGCCATTCAAGTCGCTTCGTGCCCCAACATGGAGATTCCTCACTATCCGTCACGATTTGTGGCTTGGCTTGCGTATTCCATTTTATTTGAACCCCCAATCGTTTCAGCGCTAAGGATAGACGCTGCTGTCGTGACTGATAAGCGCTGGCGCACACGACTCGAACACGGGCGACGAAGGCGGGCGCTAAGCGTGGGAACCTGTCGGGATGATGGCGAGATCGACAGACAAGACAGCGGGGCTTCCAAATGAGAGTTGAAAACGGGGCAGAGAGGTAAGGGACAAGGACGAGGAGTGTGTCGAGGACTAGACAGAGAGACCTGACTGAATAAAATGAGACAGGTACCGGACGTTGGTGCACAAGAGCACGAAATGCATACCTTCATATGTACAAAGAAAAAAGTGACCGGTCTCTCTGAACATGGAACTAGATGAATCAAGAAAAAGAGAGAATATTTCATGAAAGCAAATGAGAGTGAATAAAGTAAAACAAGAGACGAGGTGATGAAGCGGACGACTGCACTGGTGGTCTCAGCATGGCAAAGGTAGGACACCGAGTGCCTCGCATTGACAAGAAGGAAGGAAGGGTGTGCATTAACCAAAAAAGAGGTCAAATTCAGGTATTTTCTGGCTCAGTAGTAAGGAAACATGCATCTAAGTATGAATACATACTTCTTCTCATCTTACTCCACCAACTCGTCTATTTCGTAGCAGCTCGATCGGTTTTCCCTCGCATAAGCGCCCACCGAGCACCAGAAGGTATGGCTTATTGCGCAACGTTCGAGACGGATATCGACGCGAAACAAGTTTAAGTGGGTCTGTTATAGTAAGTAGAAGTTTATTATAGCATTATTCTCTGGACATATGCAACTGAACAAAAGTGGGGGTCCATGTAATGTTAAGTCATGTGTACGACATGAATACCAGACCCTTCCGAATTAGCTGAGGAGAACCATAAGGTATTGTTAGATTGCACGGCGAGACCCAGTTCCTCTGATTTCTATAGATTCTAGCCAAGCCCCGGCAGACGTTCCAGGTCGCCGGGGACTTGGTAGTCCTACCATCACAATGGTTATTATTTTTGAATGCGAGCGAACTGACGTGGGTCACGTTGAGGGAATACAATTATGATTATGAATGAATGGTAGGACCGCCTGAGCTGCAGCCCGCGCTCGATTGAGTTTGAGAATGGCAGCAAGTGGCTCTCTGTCAGCTCACACGGTGACTACAACACCCAAGCATTTATGAACAACGTCGATGTGTGCTCGATGGACCCATCAAAGGTAGGTGGGTGCCAATTTCACCTGGGGTTTGGGTCAGCTATTTTTGAGACTTTAGCCCACTCTCATCGTACTCTTTTAGCAGCCTCATGCATCTCTCACGAGATCACCCAAGAATAGGCCTCTCAGCTTCTCGATGATGTGCTGGCCCGCTCCTTGACCCCGGAAAATCCTTTTTTTCAACCTTTGTCATCGCATCCCCGTGCTTACCTCGCTCCCCGACGTCTTTCACATTGAGCCATATGATTCCTCGACGAATCCGGAGACCCTCAGTCAGCAAGTGCAGTCATTTTGTGGCCCACACCGCCTCTTTCCCTCTCTTTCCCGTTTCACCAAGATGCTCGGCGTGCCTCCCTTTCCTTGTTAGGTAGCCCTTTCGTCCCATCTACGCAGTTTCCACCCCGCCGCCTCTCTCCTATTCCTTTTCTGTTTCATTCTTATCTGAACTTTTCTGTTTTTCGTTCTTCCTTCACACTGGTTCAGAGATCTCTCTTGCCGGCCTCTCTTTCCTTTGTAGATATAATCTATGTCTATACATACACACAAAATCGAGAATTTAGTTCATTTTTCGTCTCTCACCGCCCTCGTTCCTCGTCCTCTCGCTTGTATTTCGGAGGCACCTTTGCCTCGTTTGTCACATTCCCACGCTTAGCACCCACCATCGACCCCTATTTTCCAGTCGTGTGCACCCCCTGGTTAGAGCCGCACAACCGGGAACATTTCCTCACGCATCAGAGCCATTCATAGCGACATTTTGGGTATTTGTTCCGCATTCTCATCATCACCCCACCGTAGGCACCCCACCGTAGGCACATCATCGATGGTCCCAAGCAATGGGAATGAGCTATTTCGGCACCGCATGGATAATTTCCAGGCCCGCGCGCCCTCAAGGTATGTGTAAGCCGTGAGGCCTCCGTTGAGCTTGACCGCACTCGGAGAGAGCAGCTTGGCAGTTTGCTGAAATTCTTCGCTGTTTAGGCCCGATGAGCAGAAAAGAAGACACAGTGCATGAGAGGCCAAGTCATGCAGCTGCATCGACACGACATGTATTGTGTGTAAAGAACCCATGAGTAATGTGGTTGTCTCTCTGGAGAGATGGTCTACCTGCGGATCACTCACGCAGCACGCTAGAACCCACGCCCCTGTTTGTCCTGATAATTTTCCTCAACACGTTCATACTGTCCTATTTAATGATAGTCATTTTCGCTCTTCTCCTTTCGTAAATCGTGACAATTTGTGACTAGGAAAATATATTTCTCGTTTCAATTTCTGGCATCGAGGGAAATCGTGGAAAATCATGAGTAATCAGAAATTGCCTCGACAGACAAGATTGCCGGTCATGGTGATAAATCGTGTGTCAACACACTACGACGGAAGCGCGGTATGATTCCATCTGCTATCCAGTTTGACCATGGCTGACAGCCTTCAATACAGCGCTGAAATTGTTCGCTGGGTGGCCGAGAGCAAGCAGCCATTCTCAGTCGTCGAGGATCGTGGATTTAAGTCCCTCATGAAGACTGGGCGCCCTGGTTACCACATACCTTCTTGGGTGACCATCTCATGAGACGTTAGGCATGCCTTTGTTCGTGTCCGTTCACGTATTTCCCAAATGCTTCGTGTATGATTATATCTGTACTGCGTCGAATGCTTATCCAACTTACAATCAACACAATCAGGAACACAACGGGGCACTCAACTTTGCGACCGACGCATGGACTTCACCAAACCACAAGGCGTACATGGCAATCACCGTCCATCTAGAGCACAATGGCGTACCCATCTCAATGCTTCTTGACCTTGTTGAGGTGGCGAGGTCTCACTCTGGAGCAAATCTCGCTGAGGCTTTTGCGGAGGTCCTTGCAGACTTTGGAATCGAGGATAAGGCATGACAAATCATTTATCAGTGACAAAGACTTACCTTGCCCAAAGATCCTTTCGATAACTTGTGACAATGCGACCAACAGTGACAAGATGATCGAAAAGCTGGCGGACCTCGTCGAGCATTTCCCTGGGCCGCCGAACCAGACCCGTTGCTTTCTCCACATCTTGAATCTCCACCAGTTTGAGCCTCCGAAAGAGAAAGGAACAGCCGACTCGCCGATGAGGCTGTTCAGGTCCTCAGGAGCTGAGTATCCTTGAAGATGGCCTTGAGGAAACTGACGATATCGAGGACGACAACATCGAGGGATTGGAAGACGAATGGGATGAGATGTCGGAGGAGGACCGTGCTGCACTCGAAGAAGACGTCAAGCCTGTCCGTCTCATGTTGTCGAAGGTTTGTCGAATTCAAACTCCGCTTAAAATGTCGGTTGACCTATATGTTCAGAAAATTCTTGCTCAGAGTTCTGGAGCAGTGTGAAATCCATTTGTAGGACTCGAATAGGTTAGGAATCCACATTTCCCTATTTAGCTTCAGCACCAACAAATATCGGTTCCCTATTCAAAGCCTTGGTTCCCTTTGTACGTCGAAATATAAATGTAGCTTCATGTAGCAGGTTACAGCTTTGTAACTGTACCATTTGGCAGGAAGACACAATTATTGAGTGCGATGTACTTCGCGCCAACCAAGTGCCAATAGCAAGCACGCAATCAGTGTTTTGCAGATTATTTACGCGATGATCACGGTATCTCCAACATTTTCGACATTGCAACCCTATATTTATTAGTCATTCTCCATCTCTTCCCAGATACAAAGTAGGGGCTTGAAATCCCAACAAGCGCTTGTTTATCGCAAGCATCATGGTTAAGACTCCTGGATGAATCATTTCATGTGTCGAAATAGGTCCCTTTCACTATAAGAGAGAAGCTTGTATCTTCAACTATTGTCCGCTGTGTGATATGTCCCAAATATGTCCGGAACTTGAAGAATTTCAATTGAACCCTGCTGCCGTACTGTCCCGGTAGATCACCTAATTAACTCTTCGAAACTAATCTTAACCACGTTCTACTTAATTCACTTCCCAAGCTGTAGGTGTAAAGTGCTCACACGATGGGGCGAATCTTATCTTATCTCCCTTTCTGTATTTGGCAATATAATTCGGGATCAGTTGGGTGTTTGTTGGGGCTCCACCAAGGATTAACACTGCCAAGACTTGGTGAAATAATGGACATGTCCGTCCTCGAAGCTGCTATGTTACTCTTCAGCGTTCATAACGATTCCGTTCAGCGACCGTTAATAGTGGCCAGAATACATTTACCGTCTGACAATGTTCTATGACATATGGAAACGAAAACGGCAGCGGATGGCAACCAACCATATTTACCACAGATTAAGCGAGGGTCGTGGCAACCAAAGGGCGAACTACGCCCTCACCGACACCGTCTCTTTCGTTCTTCCTTTTCCTTCATTTTCTCCTCGGGACAGGCGCGGGTCGATCGCTTGCAGCAGCCAGTCTGCAGTCCACTCTTTTATTTTCTTGAGTTCCATTCTTTTCTTCTCAGTCTCCGACGCCAGCCTCGCCGGTTTTCAGCCTGAAGACAGACCACTGCTACCTTTCCACGGAATCTCACTGAGGATGCCCACCGGCGCCCGCATTCGAATACTATAGTCACTCCACGCTCAGTAAATGGGATCCATCTGTCTTTCTTCAGCCTCGATCCTCCGCTGCGCCTCTTTGACCCAGCTTCACAACATTCTTCTTATCATTCCGACTGCATTGGAACTTATTTTCGCCACTGCTTTGATTTTTATTAAATGGGGTTCTGGGAGGTGCGTATTCTTTCTGTAGACCAGCTATTCGTCAGTGACATTGGCACAGGAGGCACCTGCTACTCTCCGCGGAAGGATGGGTCTACTTCACCCTTGCGCTGGTGGAGCTCTTCTCTGATGTGCTTCCTGCTGTGCGGGACGATCTTCCGCTGTTTCGGGCGTTTGATGTAGGGATCGGTGAGTGGCTGTTTTCTGTGCTCAGATCATGCACGGCTGACCGTCTTTCAGGTGTCGCCTCCTTTCTACCCGTCTTCTTCTATACCTTCTTTCTTTTTCTGTTCACGAGCGGCGAGCTTGTCGAGTCTCTACCGAAGCGCGTCAAGAATGTCGCCAAACTCGCGCTTATCTTATTCGTGCCCGCCATTGTCATCTTTAATGAGGTTGCTTCCTTCATGGGTGTTTCGATTCGTAAGTGTTTCTACGATAGTACAGAGCGAGGTTATTTATGACGGAGTAGGGACCGTTCAGCGGCCTGGCTCGGACGGACCGATCGTCGCTGTCGGCTTCACAAGCAAGCAGAAGGAGACCCTCTGGGCATTCTTCACCAGCACCACGCTTGCCCTCCTGACGGCGTTCCAAGCGTCCGTATTCTGCTTTGCCTTCTTCCGCCTCTTCCAGGCAATCACGCACCAGCGACGTATTGAGGCCAAAGATGAAGACAAGGCGCACTTGATCAAAGGCATTGGGTGGATTTGCGCTGGGGCTAAGTTGGGGGCATTGGAGACGGTGGTGGGTTTTGCTGGAGGGGGGTTTGGCGTCGCGATGACGAGGAGGATGATGCGGATGTTGTCGAGGGCCTGCTTGATCATTGGGATCATAAAGGGGTGCGCCAAGCATTCACTCTCAATCTTTTTTGCGGTGATTGACATCAGAACAGCGTTGACATTGTTGAAGATTTCCGAGCCGTCAGCAGTGAAGTAATGGCCAGGAAATCGACGAAAGAGTTCAGACGGTCTCGACTAAGGCAGTTCATTTCCAACCCTCGGCTCAGCACGTTCCGCGAGTTGTCGCCCACCGCCACGGCTTTCCATGCGACCCCGCGCGCTCCGCCGATCCTTCCTCGCAGCAAACGCAACACCCTCATCAAGCCAAATCCTAGAGGCCAATCATTGGCAACTGTCCCCAATATGGAGGAGTTTGTCTCCGTCAGGGAGAAGCAGAACGCTCAGCGGGTAACGGTGATGTACAACAAAGGCGCACCGACACTTTACATGCGCTTCTCCTCGCTGAATCTACCCAACCCTGCGCTTATTGTGGAGCAGGTGAAGAGCCGTCCTCCGAGCGAATGGTCCATTGAGCGGTATCGCAGCAAGAGCCATGGTCCGGAGACGCCATACGCCAAGTCGGTCTTCAGCATCGAATATATCGACCCTCCTCAGACTGCCATGGATGACGCCAACGCACACTGGACCACCGACCTCGAGAAGGCTGGCGAACTCAGTGCGCAGCAACTCCAGGTTCCCGAGAAAGCCGCCTTGAATGTATTCCGCCAGTCCATCTTGTCCCCCGCACCCTCATTCAATGGTCCATTCGAAATCGTCACCATTCAACGCCAGACAGTGTCCCACCAGGCTGCGCAACCGCAGGTTTTAAAGACGTTGACCAGGAGTGGGAGTCTCGACTCGCAATCAACATCAATGACACCGATCAGCTTTGCCCCGCCGAGCATGTCAAACGTAAAGCCCCAAGAAACAACCGTCACCGGAGAGCCACTGACACAGTCGCCAGTGGAGGCAGACCCGGAAATTAATGCGGATGTGGACGAGGCCGCTCTGCGGGCCAAGTCGATGAGCATTCGGAGTATGCCAGATTCTCTCCAAGCTGTTCGCGAACTCGCTGGTCAATTCCCCGGCCCGCCGGGAAGACGACCGAGCTCGACGGTGTACGAGGAAGACGATGGTAGTGTGCTTGACTATCCACCTGGCATCATCGTCGTGCAAGCTCTGGGCTCGCCCTCGCAGCTCGAGCACGATGTCGATCTGAAGCGGATGACGGTCGCGACGCAGAACACGACGAGTTCTTGGGGCAACATGATTCAACCATCGCCCATGGTGGGCCCTCAGCCCTTTGCAGATCAGAACAGGTCAGTTGTTGTAGAAGCTCCAGAGACGCGCCAACGCAAGGGTAGCGGACCCCCTCCATCCTACAAGTCGTACGAACAGCAACCCATCGACCCATTCAGTGACGAACCGACTCCAACTGCCGATGAGAGGCTCTCGTACCAACAGCCGACACCACCCTGGGAGAAGCTCACCATCAACACCGCAATCGCCCAGCCTGGCATGCTGGCCCCTCCGCCACAGGAGACATCGCGCTTCAGCCCAGACGACGACGAGATTACTGCTGCTTCTGTCCTCTCGGGTCTGGCCCCATTCACTGGCATGAGAGACGAAGATACGCCACCTACAGAGTTTTCTACAGCTCTCGATACGGGTAGGTCGAGGCAGCTCAAGTCTAGTCGAGCAGAAGAGCCGTATTCCACCCCGACTCGCAAATCACTCCCCTCTTTCTCCTACTCCAAGCAGAGTGGCGAGAAACTCGCAATGGTCGCGCAATGGGTTGATACCAGCGCATCCGTCGAAGATGCCCTGGAGCAGGCCGCCATTGAAGCACCCGCCCGCGAGCAGCAGCGCCGCGACAACGATCTGCAGAATTTGCACGACCGCGGCAAGAGCATCGACAACCTCGTCATCCCATGGCTAAAACATCCTGACGACGAGCGCAAGATCGCGAAGGAAACGATGGCCCAGATAGCACGGGTGAAGAGTGTGGGCAAGGCGCCTCGGAAATCGACACCTGTCCCTACGCGTTCGGGTTTGGTGCGTGGTAGCTTGCATCTCCAACCCCTCGTTATTCCTCCCAGGAATGACAGCATGCCAGAGGCGGTCCAAGTCGAGGTTGAGTATGGCAGCGTGGAGTCGACTTTGACAGGAAAGGGAGTTTTGAGAGATTCAGAGGTGCTTGGCATGGAGGATACAGTACACATGAAGCAGATCAAGCAGAGCAATTATTTCTAAGTTGCGTTCCTCTTTCCTGATTGTTGTAGTATTATGTTGTTTCTTTTTCTTATACCTTCATTTATTCTTATTATGCAAGCTATTTCGCATTTGGCTCAGAATGGGTGTGAGCAGCCATGCGCAGCATTGCCTTGTACCAGAAAGATTCGTGATCGTGATTGTCAGGTCATCGGGAGCAGGAATAGAGAATGCTAATAGATAGACAACATACAACATACAAGATCCAGCAAATTAATTCTGGAGTAGAGCTCAGCATGAGATTAAAGAAATAATGAACGGCAAAATACCTCGGGTATCCTGAAAATCGTGATTTCCTAGGACCGGATTTCAGCTTCCATATTTCCGTGGCGAAGGAGTCTGTGAACGTACCTGCTGCTTGAAGTACCGCCTATTCTCTTCATCGATGAGTACCAGATTGAGATAGTATCTCGTGCTGAACTTCTTGTTGACATCTCGGAAGGTTGGCGTTAGATCGAACCCTCCAAGAAATAGTCGAATTGGTATCGTTTCACCTTAGACACAGTCAGCAAGAGCACAAGTGTTGTCTCCACGAGCGAGCTTACCGCGAACCGGGGCTCCGTCCATAATTTCAAACTTTGTGATAGTCTCACTTTCATTGTATTGGTTCGGAGGAGAACCAGTCGTCTCGCGCCGGATAATTGACAATTCCATATGTTTAATCTTTATCCGTACTAGCAAGAAGTAGATCTTGCCAACAATGACATCCTTCAAGTGATACCTATTTGCTGCGTGAGCGGCGTAAAGTAAACTTGAAAAAGCGCAGAAACAAACTTAGACTTGTTATACTCGAACTCAATGTGTAGGCAGTCCTCAATACCAACTTCCATCTTGATCGAATTGTTGCTGTCAGGGGGCATACGGAATGAATGCACCCAGATGTCTTTCTCTTTCATTACGTCTGCCATTCGTCTTGAGATAGACACACGGACGAAATATCTGTGACCAAAAATTGAGCTGAAACACACGAATCTAGGCATGTAATGACGAACCGCAGCTTCACATTGATTCCCTGGTAGCTCTCGAACTGTTTCTCCACATTCTTGAAGTTGAACTCGAAAGTCTGAGCCTGGCGCATCTCTCCTGGTGCTGCGAGTTCTTGCGACAAAGACAAAAACTCATGATGGTGACCGCGGTCGTAGAATAGCTCTGAACGGCGGGTAGTTACTAAGATAATCCAACTCATATGGCAGATTCACATACCGATGCTGCCGACAAATTCCACCTTGATTCCTTCATGCGCCGTCTTCTTCCCGTCGCGGACTTGGATAGTCACCTTCACAAGGTGTAATGGAACGAAGTTCTATCTCAGGAAGAGGCTCATGACACACCTCTCCAGTTACTGAGTCGCCGTCGTAGTAGACCGGACACGAGACAGTCTTGTCCTTCTCCGTCTTTATTTCAACCTGCTTCCGTTGATCCTCCCCTTGCAGCTTAATATCCACATCGATTGGTGAGGCAAAGAAATAGGCCATTGCTAGGCTCGCCGTGGTTGACGATGTCGAACGAGGGAAAGGAGCGAATGGTCTTTGGTGCCTGGCTGTTAGGATGGGGGAGAAGTCACGACGAGTTGAAGTCACATGGCCCATACAGCTATAATATATCGTATAATAGATGCAGTAAGCTATGTATTCTACAATTTTCGAAAAGCAACTTAGATGAAGATATTGGTCAATTATTGGCCCATTATCTAAATCCCTTTCCTTGCAAAATCGTCCACCACCGAACCTATGGAATCTCTGGGGAACCTCAGGGTTTCGAATAGCGTCACCGATCCACCATGGTGGACAAAATACTGCGCAGCACATTAGGTATGTCGCCAGTGTTTGCTACACGGAATGCACGTCCAGGCAAGCTCTTTGTGACCCTAATGCACCGGCTAAGCATCAGGACTCCGGAACACATGTTGCAGAGGACGTACCAAGCAGCCTCAGCACCTTCGCCGATACAAATGAGAGCAGTATTGACTTTGGGATTATGCCTCATTGATCTAGTAAGATCCTCAGCAGTGATTGCGTATCTGCCAAAGTTTGCATCCTATTCCGATGGTGAGTCGTGAAAATCGGTCGCAACCAAAATGTGTTCACCGTGATCGCAATGACAAACCAATCATCTAGAGAACCATGAGCATATCTCGATGATAGGATATTAAGAAAGGAGTTATACTGACCTGCATCGTATTTGCCGACCTCAATGACTGCCTTTTGAATAGCTTCCACTAGAGAGGAAAATAAGAACACAATCCCCGTAACATTTGAAAACATGCCCACCAGTATAATCACCAGCGAAAGCATATTGGGGCACCATGTTCATCTTCTCCGTAACTTTCCAGCGGTCCTTAAGCTCAGTTGGTGGTGAGTCAGCCAAGGTCAAAGTGAGATCTGGTCCATCTCCCGACTATACAAGTCACAAAATGAGAAACCGGCTCTGGGTCACCAGAACACAGCTTACATGGCCGACCATATCCCAGACATACTTCTCCTTGCGAGATAGTCGGTTAAAGGTCTCCATGAGCATCACGGCTAAAAAACGACGTGAGACCACATCAACACAACTGGGAAGAACGTATGTACCGGTTTCTGTGCTCCGCTGCAAACGCCCATCATACTGGAAGCGATACCTGGATAAACAACTTCTAAGAATGATATGGTCGGGGATATAGAGAGTTCGAACATTGAGGCACTCAGGTCGAAGACAAATCTTATCCGTTTCGGTCTGCACCCATCCCTTCTTCAGTCATCCATCTAAGCTCGAAGATGCAGCATACGCACTTGATTTGAGGACGCCCAATCTCAGGCTTCTCCATTCTCCGTCGTTTGTAGACCGTCGATTCGCCAGTCAGCCCCTCGGTCAGTCTGCTGTCGTCTAGCTCCCCGTCGACCTGACGCTTGACCCAAACACGCTCTTCCTCCTTGGCCGCGAGGTCTACCTGGCTATCAGCAAAACATCTGCTTCAGCGATGGTCATACTCACGTTCCAGCAGGTCAAGTAGGGATGCCATATGAGCCTGGGTGGCATTGAGCAGGGTGCTATAACCCTTGGCTTCAGCAGCAGACATGTCGAGTTCTTCAAGACGTCTTTGGAGCTCCTGGCGAGCCATCTCGCGAGCCCTCTCTTTAATTTCGTCAGGTACATCCTGCTTAAGTTTGTCAGACACCTGGATTAACCCGGAGAAACGGTTAGACTACGAATTCGTCTATCGCTGAATAATCTGAGTTGATTCACCTGCTTGATGTCACCACCCTTGTAAAGTCGCTTGTAGCCACCTCGACCGCCCATCCCAGCGGTATCTCTGCCACCAGTCTACAACGGGCGCGATGAGCTTCTCAAAGTCGTGAAAGATGTAAAGAAGTTACGTACACCACCAGCCCATCGATTGCCACCCGAGTGCTCCTTGTCGTCATGCTCTCCCTCCTTTGGTTGATTCAGGCTTGTCTCCTTGGGTTCAAACTGGATCTCTTGAACCTTCTTCTTGGCAGCCTCTCGAGCAGCGTCTAAACCCAAGTGAGGGACCTCAAGTCTAATAAAGTTTCATCAGTAAACAGCGGCACGTGAGACCGAGCCCGAACGGACCCGTGGTGGATCAGGATTTCGGATAGCTTCTCAATTGTCTCAGGTTTGTAAATGTCGAAGTCGAAGACGTTGCGGAGAGCATCGCCGAGAGTATCTCCGGGATAGGCCTTCATATGCTTGACAAGGCTTATCAATTCTGCACAAAGGCATTAAGAAATATCCAGAGCTTGGAACCATATAGGTGTTGCGCACCTCGAAGAGAGTATGGATAGTTCAGTACCCCGTCTTGATATCCCTTTCGTAAGTCATGGAACGCGCCGACAAGCCTCAGGATCAGGTCTTCATCCAGCTCAGGGGCAAGTTGTGCGATAAGCTTGCGCTCAGACTCTTGGTCGGGGTTGGAGACAGAGTGTGCACTGAAGTTCTCTCCGAGAACCTGAAGAAAATGATTGCCCAAGAATGCTGAAACCAAGCTCATCAACTGGACAAACTTGACACTCGGAAAGAAACACTCACGATACCCTGGCCTATTCGCCAGCAGGATCAACCTGAAGTTTGGATGCACAACAATATCACCTTCCCTCTCCAACGTCGGACGTACACGCCTGCGATCAGAGAGAGACATCTCTCCTTGTCCTGCTAGGCTCCGGAAGATGGCAACGACATGCTCAGGGGCCTTGTCTGCCTCGTCGATAATAATGACACGGCCGAATTTAATTGCACGAAGGAGTGGTGAGTCGGTGTAATTGATAATTCCGCCTTCAAGAGCTGTTGTAAACATGAGCTGGTTGACGGTCGTGTCGCGGTGTAGCTGGATATATTCGCGCGGCCGCCCTAGTAGCTGACATAATCTATGGAACAACAAAAAAAAAGAACAAAAAAAAATCTTGAGTCGCAGGACGAGGCACATGGAATATAGGAAAAATACCTATCTATGATTTTGTTCTTGCCGACGCCCTGATTTCCAAGCAGAACGACATGCTCTCCTAGGATCTCCAAGTCGATGGCAATGTCTCGCATTAGACCAGTTTGCAAGCTGTTATCATAGAAGTGATTCATGTACGGTACATGGGATGCAGCGCCTTCAGGATCTTGTGCGGGATCGAACAGCGGGATCAAGGTAGGTTCGCTCTGAAGACCAAGACTGCTTGGGCCAGGGAAAATAAGTGCTCTCCCTTGAATGATCGGGGAAGGGTTAAACTGTAAAAAGTCTAGCGACGTCTGGAGTAAAACTGCACAGCCAGCAGACATACCGGTGGGGTCTTCTTTAAGATGCTCGAGTCCTCGAGCAAAGTGTTGAGATTAATCATCTCTGTCGCCGGCAGGAACTCAGCCAACAACGATCTTTGAATAATTTCATACAAGTCCCTGTCCTGTTGGTAGAGAGACAGCCTTCGCGCGATCCTGACGAGCGTTCTGGTCCCAAGCTTTCGATTCTTCAGCATATTGTCAGCAGACATGCTCTGGCGATATTTGTCTGCGAACACGAGCAGAGCATCAATGACTTCGTTCGGGCAGCCAGTGGCAGCCAGGATCGCCCCTTCTTCCTTGGTATCCATGGGCTGACTTGGGACTGGGAAAAACATATTGGCATGTTCGTCCGAAAGCCAGTCCTTGAGAAGCAGAGACTTTGAAGCTGTACTGATCATGCGGAAGGATGGATGCGCCACCGAGAGTTCACCAACTTGAATCTTCAACCAGGATTAACTAATGCTTGCATTGCAAAAGGCGCAACAAACCTCGTCTGCCGAGGCGGCGCCAACTAAACGTTTGCCCTCCCATAGCTCAATTTCCCTATCTTGGATAATTCGAGATAAGGACCCAGCTGTCGGACCAATGACGTCCAGACCAGCAAGGTGTAGAAGTCGGCCTGCCCACGCCCCCTCTATTAAGGTGCTGCAAATAAAATAAGCTATGATAAAAATAATAGATCGTTCTGACTTACCTTGGTTCCCAAGTCGTCGCGCCTCCTTCTTCAATCTTCCTTCGCATGACGAGTTCTCGTCCGCCGAGCTCCTTGTACATGTGCAATACTTCCGCTTCATAGCCCAGGATCTGGCCGAATGTTTTGACAAGAGTCGTTGTTGATGCTGAAGCAGTTGATGGTAGCGCAGGTGGAATCAAGGAGATATCCCATCCAAGTGAATGTGCTTGTAAGAAGCAGGTTAGCAGGCCCATGAAACGAGGTGTAGGATTAAATTCAAGCTTTCCAACGAAAGGGAAAGGCCGTAGTTGCCTAGAACCAGCCGGTACCGTTACTGAGGTCCGCAGTAAGCCTGCGGGAGGGTCAAAGGCGATTTCTGCAGTAGTGTCACTGGACCGGCGAATTTCAACGGCCTGGTACCCAAACAACCCGATTCTGTCATCGCTGGAGGACATGGATGGGCTGCCCAGTTCTCCGAGGCCTGCCTCCTGCGTTTGGCGGCTAAGGATTGCCCACGCCTGGAACGGCGCATGAATCAAAGCAGGATGGATGGTCAGGAATAGACGAGCAAGTTGCGCGGGCGACAACTGCTCTGGAGGAGGGAATTTGTCGATCAGTGTTTGAAGTTTCGTTAGAGCCGTTTGTGGGAATGGTGGTAAGGACGTCTTCGAGATGACCTCGAGGGCATTTCTTGACTCAGTCGCGAGTTGAGTGGAGAGGATAAGATCGCGGAATTTGTCGTACAACGGCGCTTGTGCCTTCCGGGTATCTGTGAAGGAAAGTAGAGAGCCGATAGGGTCGATGAAACGAGCTTGAAAACGGCTTCGGAATGGTGGGTCTAGGGGGTATCCGGGATAAGGAGGGACGGGTGCTGCGATAGCAATGACTCTGAAGTTCTTGTGAGCCGGGATGAACACTTTGCCTTCTTCAGAATGATTTTGTTCCAGTTGCGCATATCGGTGAGGGTGTATAATATGGGATCCATCATCGAGGTTCCTAAACACTGTCTTAGCGGGATGTTGACGTGAAGAAGAAAATTCTACATTTCTCGATTCTCTAGCAGGTTATTCAGCACTGGCATGATACCGCGCTCTGCCTTTTCTATTCCCTCTAGAATGAGCAGCCGGCCATGTTTGACTGCATTTACAGCTGGGCTGTCCACATAGACAAGATTTCCACCTTTCCTAATTTCTCGTCCCTGTCCTCTCGTATGAGTAATAGTTTAGACGCAGGAGACTTCATGATCTAACCTGCTTCAACTCGGTCTCTCCAACATCCCGATGTAACGCAATGTATTCATACTCTGCGTTGATAGTGCTGGTACCACTGTCAATAAGTCTTCCAAGTAAACCCAAAAGTCGTGTTCATACCTTGCAAATGTCAACGCCAACCGTCTAGCATACGGACCAGGCTGGGAAACAAGGAATATATCCTGCCCGAGCAGATATTTCTGCAGCATAAAATGGAGGTTGTCCAGATTGACGGAATCATTCACGTCCAAAAGGTTGGCCGTCCGAGGTAAGCGAGAGGGATTGAGAGATTCCGGGACGTCATAAGTGATATCTCCCAGCTTCAACTTGCCAATGGTTTCTGGAGCAGGTATCAGCTCGCTTAGGAGCTGGTTGAGGCGTCGATGCGGCGCCATTCCAGGGCCGATACGTGAAATAAGACGATCTGGACGAACGGAGACGTTCTGAGTCCTGAAACGCGATATTTAAGGATTAGACGAGCGACATTCATTTTCTGGGGTAAGTTACGGGTAATGCCAGTAACCGGAGGCAAGCTGGCGTGTGACAAGGTCAGTTGGCCCCCCGCACGTGATGAATTTCATTACATAACATTCTCATATTCGCGAACCAGTTCATTTTGTAGCCTTTGTGGCCGAGTGGCCTTCAAAAATTCTAAGTCAAACAGACGTGAAAACCCCCAAGGCAATCTGTCTAGTATAAATTGCCTCGAAGTTATTATCCATCGAAAGCGGGCTTTTATGAAGAACTGTGTAAGATATATTTCAAGGTACATGAAACAAAGTTACAGAAATTCTATTTATCGTGTCATAACTACAGGACAGTGAGGGAGGCTGGGGTTGTGGCATAAGCGCGTCATCGGGGATGTAGACGAGGATGGTGGTTGCAAGGGAATGCAAACGCAGCGAGACCACCGGGCACGGGGTCGAGGAGAGCGTATCCCGGGCGAAGACCAAGGGATGAAGGTCGCCGCCCACGACGGCGATGGCCACAGAAAAGCGGAGGGCTCCTCGCTGGTGAACGCGCAAGTCGTCAGGGAGAAGAGGGGTGGGCGAGGGGCAAGTAACGGGCGTTATCGTGGGCGTCGTTGTGGGCGGCAAAGGGTATGGCGATGGGTTCACGACGATGGTGGCAGCAGAGATGATGGTGGGAGGAGAGGAACGATGGGGAGACGCGTGGGACAGAGAACCAGCTGTGTTTACGTGATGCACTGCATCACGTGCGGGGGGCTAAAAGTCAAAACCTCTTCGGCGATCAGCAATGTGACCTACAACACCAACGAATCCGAACCGCCTCAAGCAGGCTCCGGATCGGACATGGACACCTTACATCGTGTATTCATCTGCGAAGGCTCGAATATGATCATAAACAGACGAAGTTAATGAAAGCTAACGAATAAAAAGTGATGTATAATAAATACAATCGAGACCCCAGCAGAAAAAAGGATGGGTTTGTCGACATGAAAAAGAGGGGCGATAACCTTACAACAAACTCCCTAAACCAATTAAAGGACTCGAGAGTCAATGAGATGATAGGATGTGCAGGGGATATATAGGAGAGTAAACGCAATTAAGCCACCCTTACTTCCGTATTTACCCTTCCCTTCAGAAAGCTTTTACACATTCACGAAGGCTCGTCTCTAATTCTAAACGATGCAAAGGAAGGGCGGATGCAAGGAGATGGCCAATCGCGGATTCTCGGTGGGTAGTGAAATTGCAAAGAACTTGAGAAATGTGATGTGGACGACGGGACGACGGAAGCGGGAAATCGACATGGCAGCAGGAGTGACATCGTCGTGCAACGACGACGCCAAGAACCGCGGAAAGCATTGGCATGGGCAACTAAGTACATTGAGATCGTGGACATTCCCTTTAGAAGTTCTCTGTCGGAAGAATGATACAAGAAGGTGGAAGGATATGTCAGCAAGCGCTCGTAGCGACGGAGAAAGTCCAGGCCGTCAAGGACCTGAACGATGATAAGACTCACCCTTTCCGAAGAAGAACCTGGTTCCTTTGGGCTCTGAGTATTTATTTGACATCTGATGGAGGGTCTTGGAAAGGACCGCGGGTCCACAGAAAAACTATTGAAAAGAGAAGAGAAGAGTAAGATAAATGGTTCCGAGATCGTCGTACGGTAGAAGAGATTCACGCACCACTCCAACATCGGTTTCGGGATGCTTTTCAACCAGAGATGAGAAAACACGGTCCCAGTTGGGACGACCGAAGTGCGTTGGAGCACGCAAGGAGGTGATAGCGTCTTTCTCGGCACCAACATCTTGAACCTAGAGATTACGGACAACGGTTATTAAAAACATGACAGTGAAGAACGTGCGAGGCATACAATGATGTTGTTCATCTCATCTTCCTTGATCTTAGCAGTAAGGTAGATGTTAATCTCGATTCGATTTTGGGTGTCTTGCTCCTCGATGGCATGCAAGAGGGAGTGGAACCATTCCGCAGTACCGTAGTCACGGATGACCCAAGTGAAGTACACTTTGGAGAGTCGCGTAGGCTTCGAGGAGTTGAAGTTGTTCATGCGGTACCAAATGGATTTTAGGATCCTGATCAGCGGAATATCGTCAACAGGGCCGTAAGAAACGTTGGATGAGCCACTTACGAAGCGAAGGGCGTAACACCGATGCCGGCACCCACGAGAAGGATGGTCTCAAAGTTCAGGAAGTCTTCACTTGCACTGCCGAAAGGACCGTCAACCATGACACGAGGAAGGGTCCTGTTCATGGGCGGGTTGGTATTAGTGCCGATGACCTTGCCGCCAGCGGGTGTCTCTCCTTTCTTGTCGCCCTTGGCACCTTTCTCGGGGAAGTCGCATCCGAGAGACTTAGCGAGAGCGGTAGTGAAATCACCGACGACACGGATGTGAACTGAGATGTAATCTTCCTCCGGAGCACTGCATGCGACATGTGAGATCATGCGAGATCAACAACAGAAAGAAACCGAGTCAGACAAACCTGGTCAGGGTGAAAGGGTGCCATTGGAAGTAGGAGATCTCAGGACAAGACAAGAAAATATACTGTCCGGCACGAGTGGTAGTCTTCTCCTTCTTAATCTGAATTTCCATGACATTTGACGGGTGCTGGATAACCTTGGAGATATAGGTGACGTGACGAGAGCGGACTTCACGAAGGACACGCTCGAATATCCAGATAACACCTCCGACGAGCCAGTAACGCTGTTTGGCTGTTAGCGTCGGCGAAGCGATAATTGCCAAGGGAAAACTCACCCAGAAGACTCCAATCGTGTTGAAGGAGCAAAAGGGCGGGCGATCGGGCTGGATCATACAGAACATACCGTGGAGCTGCCAATTGATGAAAAACACGATGAACAAGTGGTGCGAGTACCAGAAGCGTTCGAAATGAGCCCTGCGAGACTTCTCTCTGGCAAACCACGCCATGACACCGAGAGCAGCCACCATGATCCAGCCCGTGAGCCCCGGCCCTGTGATAAAGTTGGCGGCAATGAAGGCAACCACACGTTTGGAGGTCGTATCACCAGCGATCATGGCAAGCTTATAGAAATTAACCATGTGCGCCAGGGTGTGGACGGTTGAGCCAATGACGATAGACCATCCGGTTGCCTTGTGCAATGTGATGTTCTTGTCGAAGGGAATAATGTCGTTCAACGGGGTGCGACGAAGGAACGAAACGAAGTTGCGGCACACGGGGAGCAGGATGAAGATGACATCGACGTGGAGAACGAGCGCTGCCGTTCTGGCGATAGCTGGAAGCGTGTGAGACAAATGTGTCAGAAGTCAGATAAGCGTAGCGACGCACGAAAAGTAAGGCCGAAAATGCTCCTCGCCGTCACTGCGTTGTCTTTGAGCTGATAGTGCATGAAGCCAAACACTGTCACGACGAGATGCAGGAAAATCCAGGTCCCAAAAAACAACTGCCGTCCACCCTCGTTAATCATCCACACGTCGAACCTGGCCTTCCATGAGCGGTCCTCTGGAGTTGTCCTTCTAACAGATGTGTTAGTGGCCGTGCGCTGCAAACCCTGAAGGCGCCGCCGCTCTGTCTTGTTGCGCTGGAGATGTGCGCCCGAGGTTCCCTTGCCCGCCAAGTCGGGATGCTGATCCAGGGCCTGGTTGGAGACTCTGCCATCGGAAAAGTCGAGGCCGGAATAGCGATTAGAGTCCATTCTGCAATAAGTCTATACGCCCTGCGTTGGTGAAAGGAGTGTGTAAAGTACCGGCCAGCTGGTAGGTGGGGGAAGAAGAAGAAAGGCGGTGAGTAAAGGAGGGACTGATGCTATTTGGCTGTACCGTTTGATGATGGCTCTTGTTTGACACGAATCGGCAAGTTTCTGTTTCCATGGTGTTCTCCTTTCTCAGCTCTCTTATTTTTTGTTCTACGACGGTCTGGAACGCTCAAAGACCCAGCATAGACCGTCATGAAAGCAACTCATACACAACCACGCCCGTTCCCAAGGATCCCTCCCATCATCAACCAGATCTCCTTGCGTCTTCCAGAAGGCTAAATAAAAGCTCATGCTGCGAGTTTCGTGAAATGGCAAAAATAGAGACGGCGCGATGACCTTGTTTAAGACGTTGACGGCTCCATGGCCACGACTTACTCCTCGAAACTCAGTCGCCGACGTCTGGAGTACACTCTGGTTCACATCAACGCACGTTCAACCGCGACATCCTTGCTTGGAATCTGCCCAATGGAGCCAATTGCAACCTTTCCTTTGCGTTATCATCCTTGACCGTCCGCTCATCGGCGTGCCTACAACGATCTAAGTTAAGTACAGGTGTTCGTTTCCGCAGCAGGTCCCCCCGTTGGAACGCTACCATCCTTACTCCTGATTCCTGAAATAGCTCTTTCAACTTCTGTCCAACGGCATGCAGTGAGATTAGCTATCTATTTCCTGCAAAATGACGCGACAACAATCACCCGCAAGTCATCTTTCTTTTGCACATAGCGACGCTTGCGTCGAAGGAACAGGACGTTTGCCTACTTCACGAGCTCAAGGTGGTGCATATTACTGTCTAATCGCTGACTAAAATGAGGGTCCTCCTGCAGTCTTCCATCAACGCTTCATCATTATTGTCAACCCGCCACCGAATGAATAGGAACTTAGGAAGGCATTCGATGGCCGGACTTCTTGTTGTCGGACAAGGTGATTCGCTTTATTAGCCATGATGCGTTGACACCGTGCCGCCAATGGCCCAACACCATCAAAGGTCAAACTGCGGCCCTGACTGCTCCGAGAGTGTCCTGGAAGGTCCTGGACGAGTTCCAGGCATATCTACCTGACTATTTTGTTTTTTTAACTGTGTCCTTTTCTGAGCCGAGTCAGCTCGCGCTTTGCGCCGCTTTGGATTGCCTTTGTCTGGTCTATCCCATGTCCTTTCTCAAATGTCTGCTCAAGTCCTCATCTTTTCGCCTGGGCCTCCTCTTTTACTGACAATTCATTGTAGCTATACAAGTGGTATCCCCAGGCAGCTCTCTCGTGCGATACCTCGCTTCGAGATACCCCGGCTAATCAGGGGTAGTGCCCGTGAACCCGTGAATGGTGTGGTCGTTACAACCAGAAGGTGTCTGGTACCCATACGCCCCAAGGTTGATGTACACATCTCTGTTGCCAGAGGAGTCAGCGCACACGAGCCAGGCCTACAAGCCAACAGCGCCTGTCAGTCTCTCACCCGGAGCAAAAGAACGTCGGAAGAAGCAAACACGTACGTTAGTCTGCGGCCGACTGATCGTAGGCGAGCTCCATTCCACCGTGTCTCCGCTGAATCTGAACGAGCCGAGCGTGTCGGGCGTCTTGGACCACGACACCTTGAGGCGCATGACCGAGGAGCTTGACCGCGGCTCGACGGTCGCATAGAGCGACCCACCTGCAACATTCTGCACCAACTGCCCGTTCGTGATCTGGAACTGCGCGGCGGTGGCACCCTCGCCGAGGACGGCGTCTGATTCGGTTTGGTAGACCTCTGACTGAAGGTACTTGTGGAAGTTAGGTGAAGTCTGTTGGAAAGATTCGTTTGGGATCAGTAACCTTGGTTGGCTGAAGAACGAAGAATCGACGAACCACTGCGCGGATGAAGTTCCATCCCGACACGAGCGTCGGTGGTCCAGTAGGCGGCCTCGTACCGCTTGGCGCCGTGGTGGAAGGACTGCCTGGTGTTGGTACTGTCGGTGGGGCTGTCGTCGATGGCGCTGGCGGTGCAGTACCCGGAATGCACTGCGAATACCACTCGTTCGAAACGGTGCACACGTATCCCGAAACACACGTCGTCGCTCCAGTCCAGCCATTTCCGCCGCACTGTCAAACCGCATCACGTCAGGGGTCAGCGTGCTCTCATTCCTCTCATCTATGAATTTCAGCGGCTTGCCTGGCCCCAAGCGCCCGCCTGCGCAAGCGCAACGCCCGCTAAGCTCGATACAACTGCCAGCTTCACAATCGCCTTGGCCATGTCAAACGGATTTCGAATTCGAAGAAAGACAAATCGACGGAGTCGGACAGAGGGTTCGATTTCCCCGAACACCACTTGGACTAACACCTTAAATACTCCCCCTCCCCTCTCGATTACTTATTCATCAACGTTGACTTCAGCTTCGAATAGCGCGGAGCTCGCTTGTCATAACACGCCGAGCAAAAGCCCTTTTTTCGGTATGTGAGTGGTTCAGGTGGACGAGGAAGACGGGTCGGAAGCTTGAGCGGATGATGTTCGGAGGACTCGATGGGCGAAACTGTCAGTTCGCGATTTGAAGGACGCGCACATGATGCAGACAGTGCGGGACGCGAGATACGCGGATAGCGTTGTTTTCGCCAGCTCTGGCACCGAGCTGCTCTCCAGCTGTGAGGAGGCTTTCTGGCTGCGGGGAAGCTCAAGCGTACTATTTCCGTAGCAAATTGTCTCCCATATAGGTGTCATGGACACGAAGACACGCTGGAGGATCTTCAACCTGTCAACAGAAAGCGAATTCGAACACCTTCCATTGCGCCACTGCTACGAACTCCGGAGCCAGGCATGGGAAACTAGAAGGCAGCTCCATGGATACCCTATATGTCTATGGAGTAGCTGTCGCCCCGGTGTATACGTGGATTGTCTCGTCGGCACAACCAGCGGGGGTCTGATAGGAATACGGTCCGAGGTTGTGTGGCCTCCTGCGTCCGGACAAACAAGCCAGGCCTACCATAAAGGAAAGGTCAGCTTGTAAGTAAATTAATGTAGGCGCTCACGTTGTTCTGCGGCCTGGTGATGGACGGAGTGCTCCATTGTACATATCTCCACTGAAGACAAATGTGCCACTTGTCGCTGGCGTTGTCGCCCAAGTAACCTTGAGCTTCATGACCGTCGAATTGGCACGCGCCTCGACGACGGCATTTGCGCCGGCCGAATTCGTTCCCGGAAAGCATTGTGAGTGCCAGACATTAGAGTACGTGCATATGTAGCCTGAAGCACATGTTGTCACCCCTGACCATCCTTGACCACCACACTTCAAGACGAATGGTTAATGAGATGATTAGTTCTTTCTAAGACGCTTACTTGACCGTAGGCTGGTGCTTGGCCCAGCGTACATCCAAGCATTCCGAGGACTACAAAGAATTTTAAAGAATTTTCATCATTGCAAGTGGAGAGGTGAGGGAGTTCTGTAGCGAAACCCCAGACGCGTCGGCTGGTGTCTTACATACCTGAAGTTCATGCGCCAGGTCAACTCGGAGCGTGCTCCAGAAACCAAACAAATGCCCTTACCTCGGCATGTGGGTAGAAAGGGTAATTTATGGTGAAACACACCATTGCATAGCAAGCATCCAAAGGGCATGTCACTCTGGTATCTTTCTGCGATCTGTAATAGCGCCAAATTTAGTATAAAATGCCATTTTTAGATACAGCTAATTTTAGATTGGTCCAGATGCCAGAACTTGGTAAAGACAAGCAGAAAATTTGTACTTATGCATGAGGGACGAAAATAAGAATGGATGGATATCAAGAGAAGCTGGTCTTGGTGTTCAGCTGTGTTGGTGCAGCGCTGGTTTCTGGGGTAAGAAATACATATTTTGTAGGTAGCTTATATGCTGGGTCATGGAGATGTATCTACATAGTTCTGTGTGTATCAATAATATTCCAGGCCTGTGTAAGAAGGTGTGAGAATATTCGGGAATGTGTGAGCATGTGAGCATGTGAGCGAGTATGAGAGGGTACAAGGGGGTGCCAGAGTGCTAATTCCAACAGGCTGATGTGCGCTTGACCTTGCAGTCACTCATGAGACCTCAGTTAGTCATCCATGATTGGGAAAGAGACAGTGAAAAGTTATAGGAAACCACAGAATCATATAAATTTACTGGCAGAATTCCTAATGAATTCTGGAATGGCAATTAATCGTCATGCCACTGGGGTCGTTGCAAGCCTTTTTTGTGTGCACACCTACATTTAGTATTAGGAGGTGCTTGGACATCATATTTTTGTACAAAGTTAGGGGGTGGTTGTAGAAATAACAGGGTGGTTGTGACTCTCGAGATCAGAAGTAAAGTCTCGGAGTGAAGTTGCCCCAGCCTTCAAAGCTTCAAATTTTCAAACTCCAAGTATCAAGAGCGCTTCAAATTCCATCAGATTCTGATTTGTGCATAAACTAATGTTGCATATGTCACATGCTATGGATCCACCTGTTTGAGTCTAGACGAGGTGTAACGCACTCAGTATGTGGTAAGACAACTATATTAATGATAGTACCTAGACGAGGTGTAACACACTAGGTGAGGCAAGTAAGTAAGGTGTCACAAATGAGAAGAAAGAATACTGTACATCAGTATGTGGTAAGACAACTGAGGTACAGAGAAGGGCTGAAGGAATCTTAAATAGTGTGAAGTAACTACACGAGCAAACAGAGAGGGTAAGGAAGAGGTGGCGCATGTCGAGTTGACCATGTGATCTCAACACGCCCCCTCAACGAGGTGCGAGACCAAGACGTCCAACATGAGACTGAAAGATGACACGAGAGAGCAGCTTGGTGAAGATGTCAGCAGTGTTTACAACACCAGGGGTAAATGTGACGGTGAAGGACTGATTGTCAATGTGTGAGTGAATGAAGTGGTATCGGATGTCAATGTGCTTGGCCCTGCTGTGGTCTGAATCGTTCTCTGAGAGGGACCAGGCACCATGATTGTCGGTAGCAACGACGAGAGGGCTGGGGCAGTGTAGATGAAAAGCAAGGAGTGATTGATGAATCCATATACCCTCTTGAACAGCCTGAGTGAGTGCAATGTACTCGGCCTCAGTGGTGGAGAGAGCTATGCAGGTCTGCTTCTTTGATGACCAGCTGATGGGACCACCAACAAGGGATCAAACGAAACCTGATGTGGATGCATGGTTAGTCCCCTTTTCTCCTGCCCAGTCAGCATCAGAAAGGCCAGCGATTGGTACCACCTTCTGAGCCCTGCCATAATGAAGACGGTGTGTGTGGGTGCCCTTGAGGTATCGCAGGACATGCCTGGCTGCAGAAAAGTGGCGTGGTAGTGGGGAAGAGCAGTGTTGAGAAAGGAGGAGGAGATGTCAGGCTGTGAGCAAGATTGAAGGAAGAGGAGAGATCCGACAATGCGCTGGTATGAGCGTACCAAGTCAGGAATGTCTAGAGGGACATCCGACTCCTGACCGAGAGGATGGATGGGATCGAGGGGTGTGGAAACTGGGCTGCAGTTTGTGAGGCCATACTCAGCAAGGAGCATGTCTGTGTATGCTTCCTGGTTGATCCAGAGCTCATGCATCTGGAGGTCGCGCTTGAACTGTACACCGAGAAACATAGTGACTGGCCCCAGATCCTTGATGCCAAAGGCCTTCCCAATTTCCCCCCTTGATGAAGGTCAGAAAAGGGGTGAAGTTGCAGCTGGACAGGCCATCGTCAACATGCATGGCAAGCAGACAATGAACATCTGTGTTGGACCAGACCCTCTTGAACACAAACAGAGCATGGTCGAACTCCGAGTGCACAAACCTGAGAGCTTCGAGGACCTTCCGGAGGAGCTGGTACCAGATCAGGCTTGCCTGCTTGAGACCATAGAGGGATTTTAGGAGGCACCACACCGCACCGGCCATGGAGGGGATGTATCCATCAGGGCAGCACATGAAGATGAGTCACGCGAGGTCACCCCAGAGGAAAGCATGGGTGGCGTCAAAACACTCGAGGTCCCACCCCAGCAGAGCTGAGTAAATGGCCACGAACCTGATGCTGACAGCCTTGGCAACTGGGGCAAAAGTGGAATCATAGTCGACGAAAGGGACCTGAGAGAAACCCTGAGCGACACAGCGAGCCTTGTAGACCCTATCGCCCCCCTCACTGACCTTGAACTCATGGACCCAGCAACAGCCAATCGCCTTATGGCCTGGTGGCAGCATCTCCTCCACATACACCCCCATGGACTTGAGCATGTCCAACTCCTTCTTCTTAACCATCCTCCACTCATCAGCATCTGGGTGAAGCATGGCCTTGCGATGGTTTGCGGGAGGGATTGACATGTCATATGAGGGCGAGCAAGGGTCACGTCAAACATCACTGCAGATGGAAAGGAAAGCAGCCTCGTAGCAGGCATCAATGTCATGCTGAAGGTAATCCTCAACATCCAGAGATGCAGCAGTGATGTCAGATGAGACGTCCGAATCCAGCGACGATATGTCAAAGAGACCTTCCTGACAGAGGCAAGTGAAGTTGTTGTCCATGTCATCCCCAGGCCCTGCCTCCCGCAGTCCATCAGCCTCCCGTTCCACCCTAATCCTCTCATCCTTCCGTGCAGAAGCTGCCTCCTGAACCTTCAACAAATGTACACAGGCTGCCTCCATCTGGTCCGCATATGTCTTTCCTGCCTTCGTCAGTGTCCGCACACGAACCGGTTGGTCAGAGACAGAAGAGTGAGTCAGGGTGGGTGGAGGAGCAGGGGCAGATGGATGAGGGGCAACAGGCATGGAGGGCAGCACAGCTTCGGCAGCCAGGGGTTGCTCAGAAGCAGGCGGAGGATTGAGGTCGGCCATGATGGAAGGAGCAAACGGGAGAGTGGAGTAGTCCATTGGTGTGGTGGGAATTTCATGTAGGGCATGATAGGGAATGTTCTCGTCAAAGATGACACTTCCAGAGGAGAAAAAATGATGGGTTTGAAGATCCCAAATGCGGTACCCCTGCTGTGAGGGTGGATAGCCCATGAATAAACATTCCCTTGACTTGGGGCCAAGCTTCTTCTGCAGCTCGATGGGAACCTGGGCAAAGCAGTGGACACCCCAGACACGGAGATGGCTGACATCAGGTTGGTGGCCATGAAACATCTCAAAAGGTGTGACACTGGAGGGGAGAGTTGAGGTGATGGTGAGGTTGTGGAGGTAGCCAGCTGTGAGTGCAGCCTCACCCCAGTAGGTCATCGAGAGCTGCACAGTGGTCAGCATAGCAAGGACACGTCCCTGCAGGGTGCGGATGATGTGTTCAGCCTTCCCATTCTTCCAATGCTCGTATGGTGGCATAATGTCACGCTCAATCCCCCTCTCCTGAAGTTGTTGCACAAACTTCTGATCCTTCCCCTCAAGCTCTCCACCCCTGTCGCACTGTTACGGACACCGTCAGTCTTGGCAGACTACGCGCCATATCCCCATAGTTGGACTATGGCACACAAAGCGATTGTGGCGTCGGCATTGTGATCAACGGCATAGCCTTCCCCTGCTGAAGTCCGTATGGCTTGTCTGGTGTCACTGACAACGAATAAGTCCATAGTAGCCGTAACCGCTCATAGTCGAACACCCGAAGGCTATTGTACGAGGGCCGTCCACTACAAGGAGCTTAGATGCTAAGCGACGCTGAACTATGCCACATCGTAGTCCAGGGTTCGGGCATCCGCTTCGTTCGACTCAGCGGATGTCGTTCGTGCGAGGTGAGAAGCCGAGTCGATCTTATTGCGAGTATGAAAGCAATAAGAAGAACAGTAGATTAAAGCTGAACTATTACAACGAGTAGTTACAAGCTTAAATACTACCAGAATACAAATAAGTACAATGCACCGTCAACGCATAAGTAATACAACTAAGAATAGTCCGTATCAGGCGACTAATCTAGTAGTCCGTATAAGTCAAGCATATGTAATCAAGCATATTACTAAGAAAAGAGAAAAGGAAATGAAAATGCCATATTACATAATTGAGCCATAACAGTAGCTCCTCTTCAAGATCGATGTCCACAGCGATATAGTACAAAAGAAAAAGCATAGAAAAGGAAAGAGGGGCATAGGGAAGAGTATCCGTTTGAAATCGTAACTCACTAGTAGTCGCCGTAACCATTGCCTTCGTCGACGAGGTCGTAAATCCCGTCATCCCAATCGAGCTCGTGGTCGAGGCTGCCATCATCACTATCATCGCGTTGTGGACACCATGGTGTCGTGTGTCCTGGTGCGGCGGTGTTGCAGGACTGGCAGATATACTGCGCACAGTCACATGACCAGTGATAGAAGGATTCATCACCACAAGTGTGGCAGATGTCCTTATGTCGGGCGGCGAGTTGAAGACGCCGGGTACGAGCCGTGATGGAAAGGTACGCGGGGAGAGGGCGTGTTGCGGGGGTGTCGGCCGGGGCGACAGTCGATGATGTCGAAGGCGTTGCAGTCGACGTGGAGGTGGTGGCGGTGGTCGACGAAAGTGTGGAACACCTGGTCGATGGTGAGAAGGCGGCGGCGATGTCGTCCATGGTTGACGAGGTTGTCGTCGTAGTCGTGGTGGTTGTAGGCGGCGGTGGTGGAAGCGAGTCGGCGGCAGGTGGGTTCCAGTTTGGAACGGGGCGGAGTGCTTGATAGGTGGTGTGGAGGTAGCCATCAATGTATTTGATGTGGTTCGGTCGTCGTAGTCGTCCGTAAGGTTGCGGACGATGCGTTGGGCGGCGGAGAGGTTGAGGGCTTCGATAACCCGGAAGGCTTTGAGTTCCTCTTCGTTGGGTTGCCACGAGAGGGTGTTGAGGCGGAGGTGGCGAGTCTTCTGGAAGGTAATGGAGGCGAGGGTGAACTCCCTGATCATGTCCTCGTAGTGTTGGACGTCGGGGTTCCATCGCCAAAAAGCTGCGAATGAGTTTTCGAAGCTCACTTCATCTTCTGCGCGTTTCATAAGGAGGGGGACGCGAGAGTCGCGGTCGATGCGAGTAGAAACTCCGGGGATGTCACACCATTGCCTCTCGAAGTTGCCTTCAGGAAGTTGTCCCCACATTGCTCCGGGCTGGTTCCACGAGGACGTCGTCAATGTGCGATGTTCTCGTCGGTCTGCTCGAACGCTCGAATTCGGGTTCGACGTGTCCGAGCGATTTCGCCCGTCGCACGTACGAGTGCCAGCATCGGCGGAGCGGGTAGCGGTGGCGGTAGAGGTGCCAGTGGTGGTGGTCGGGTTGGAAGAGGTGGCAGGGAGATTCCGTGCCGTATTGTTGTTGTTGTTGCTGGGACTGGACTGGACTGTAGCACAGGAATCTGCGGGAGGTCCAGTTCGTCGTCCGAGTTGGGGAATGGGTGCGAGGTGTGAGCGTTGGACGTTAGCGTGGAGGTTGAGCCGCGTAGGCTTGCGCGTGGTGGAGCCATTGGAGGGCGAGGTCGGTAAAGAGGTCGGGACCGGAACGCCGAGCGTTCGACCTGGTCCAAGAAAAACGCGACCTGAGGTTGGGGAAGCGGGGGCTGAGGAGGGTCGTTGGGCAGACATGTCGACAGTTTGGGCAGTTGGTGAATAGTCATCAGAGAATATTGGTGAGGAGGTTGAGGATCCAGAGTCGAAAAGGATCCAAGTCTCATATACGACGAAGCGAACCTTTTTTGGTTCGGCAATTCGTTCTTGCCGTGTCGCCATTGTTCGTCAGAAAGATATCGTGAGTCAGAGATAGGAGATGGGGTTCCACGGAAGCAAGAGAACATCATTATATCTTGGAATGATGGAATGGAGGGAAAAGTCAAAGAAGCTTGTGCTTTTGTTGATAGTCGCGAAGCAATTTTCGTGAGTGGGTAAATTGCGAAGCGGTTTCCCACGTGTTCTCTCCATGTGGATAGCCTTTCCATTTGACATAGTACTCAATTGGTTTCTTTCCTCGGTGTTTGAGTATTGCCTCGGGTTCGTATTCTTCCTCTTCTTCCATAATGTCAGGTGGGGGATGAGGGTGAGCTGGTCCGTGTTCTTCCGTTTCTTCGAAGCATGATAGAAGGGATGCATGGAACGCATTATGAATCTTCCATTGGGGCGGAAGTTTCAATCGATAAGTCACAGGTCCAAGTACCTCTGTAATCTTGAAAGGTCCGGCCTTCTTCGGAGACAGTTTTCTCGAAGTCCAAAGCATTTTTAGATACTTGGTTGACAAGAAAACTTGATCGCCTTTCTTGAAAGGGGTAAATTTGCTCTTGATCCTGGAGCTGATACGGTCCTTGGCTAGGATATGCGCTTCTACTGCTTCTTTTCTCATTGTTGCCAGCGCACGAAGTCGTTCTTCAACGTCTCCAAACTTTGTAGCTTCGAATGCTTGAGGGATGAAAGGTGGAGAAATGCCAAACATGAGTTCGAATGGGGTGTGTTCGCGGTCAGAATGTCTTCTGTCGTTATGCACAAACTCCGCGATAGGGAGAAAGTTACTCCACGTATCGGGGTGTTCTAGGCAAAAGATGGCGAGGAAACATTCAATTTCTTGATTATAGCGTTCGGTGGTTCCATCGGTAATAGGGTGGTAGGCCGATGAAAGCGCTATTTCGGTACCAAGAAGTCGCCAAAGTTCCTTGTACGAGTTGACTGCCATTCGAACATCGCGGTCGGAAATGATTTTTGTCGGTATTCCAAAGCGTTTGACTACATTGTCGATCAAAAGTTGAGCGACATCAGCAGATTTGAGACCTTTCTTCGTTGTCGGAATAAGGACTACCCCCTTCGTAAGACCGTGGTCCACCACGGATAAGATAGTATCAAATCCATTAGACGGTGGTAGATCGGTGAGGAAGTCCATTGAAAGTTGTGCGAATGGTCGAAGTTCCTTCGATCCTTCAATAGCAACCAATGAAGGTTTCGAGGGATGTCTGTCAATCTTGAATTCTTGACAAGTTGCGCAACCTTTAACATAATTCCGAACAAAGGTTCTAAGTCCAGGCCACCAATAGTTAGCTCGGACTTTATTGAAAGTCTCGAGTTCACCTGGATGTCCCGCTAGAACTGAGTCGTGATGCCTTTGAACAATGTCGCGTCGGAGGTCGTGACTTTTAGGGATGTACGCTTTTCCTTGGTAAAAGAGAAGCGGTTTATTGTCGAAATATTCCACTGTCCAATCGTCGGAGATAGCTATCGGCACGGTGGAACTTTTGAGCCGTGTGAGAGCATCAGCTGCGTCTTCATCATAGTCTTCGGATTCAACTATAGCTTTTTGAAGTTCTGTATCGATAACATTAACGAATAAGTCATCTGAGAGCATGGTGACATTTTCGTTATCATGGTCTTCGTTTGGACAGAGGTCGGGGCGTCGTGAAAGTGTGTTGGATTGAATCATTTTGTTGCCAGGGATATGCACAAGTTTAAGATCATATTCTGAAAGTTGAAGGTGCCAACGAGCTTGTCGACGGTTCAAGTTTTGAGGTTGTCGCCAATAGGTCAAGTTCTTGTGGTCAGAATAAATTGTGGTTGTATGCGATGATCCCTGAATATAGTGTCGCCACTCTTCTAGAGCGCGAATGATAGCTAGAAGCTCGCGATCATAAATTTCGTAGTTGCGTTCGGTTGCAGAAAATGATTTGGAAAGGAATGCGACAGGGTGCTTTCTTCCATCGGGGTCGTCTTGAAGTAAAACAGCACCTGATGCGTACTTTGAAGCGTCTGATTCGATAGCAAAAGGTTTGGTTGAATCTGGAATAAGGAGAATTGGTTCCTCTGTGAAGCGTCTTTTAAGCTCTTCAAAAGCTTGCTGTGCTTCCGAATTCCATTCGAATTTGACATCTTTTCGCATGAGGTCGTTTAGGGGTCGAGTTACCTCTGAGTATTTTTGGATGAAGTGTTGATAGAAATTTCCAAATCCTACGAAAGATCGTACTTGCTTAAGCGTTGTTGGTGTTGGCCAATCTAGGACAGCCTGAATCTTCTTTTTCGACATCTTGAAAACTCCTTTAGAAATGATGTGTCCGAGATATTCAATGCTCGTCTGAGCGAATGAACATTTCTCTGGCTTGAGGAATAAATCATTCTTCTGAAGCTTATCGAGGACGCGAATGGTATAAGCATCGAGAGAGTCGAGGTTGTCGGAAAAGATCAGGATATCGTCCATATAGATGACTAGCCATCCTTCTTGCAGTTCCACTGCGAAGATGGAATCCATCATGGCTTGGAAAGTTGCAGGCAAATTGCAAAGTCCAAAAAACATGACTGTAGGTTCATACAGGCCGAATGGAGTAATGAAGGCGGCTTTCCATTCATGGCCTTTCTTGATGCGTATGTTGTTATATCCCCATCGAATATCAAATTTGGTGAAGTATCGTGCATCGCGAACTTTATCCATAATAACAAGCGTGTTTGGGAGAGGATAGGCGTTTTTGATGGTCCAGTTATTTAGCCATCGATAGTCCTGGCAAGGACGTTTCTTGCCGTCGGCTTTAGCAACGAAGAAAAAGGATGAAGCCTGTGGTGACTTTGAGGGTTGGATATAGCCTTTAGCTTCATGCTCTTTAATAAAGTCGGCGGTAAGCTGTGTCTCTTCCGGAGACAGCTTATAAACTTTGCCTATTTTCGGTTCAAATTCCGGTTTGAGATTAATTTCATGATCCCAAGGTCGGCTTGTTGGAAAGCGACTTGCAGTCGATTCTCAAAATACGTCAAGAAATTGATGAAATCTCTCAGGTATCATCTGTTTGAGAGTTGGTGGGGTTAAGTGCATCAGTGAAGAGGGGTCTTGATCCGCAAGGATTTCTTCTTGTACGGGGATACCGTCCGGAGAAACTTCGCCTTCAGCGGATTCGTCGTGACTGAATTCTCCTAATTTAGGATAGATGGAGGAATCTCCTAAAGATTGTTGACTAATCCTCATCTCCATTGTGTCTTCATCCAAATCGTCATTGGTCTGGTCGCAGAAGTCTTCTTCGTCTGCACCTAAGAAAATATTGGAGAATTCGTCTTCCAACTCTAATCTTGCGAGTTGAACCTTGTTGCTATCACGGATGGAGCTACTAAGCAAGCGCTTAACATAAAACGCGTGCCACGTAGTGCTTAGCTCCTCTTCTAGATCAACTTGATTAACTGTGAGCTGTTCGGGTCGCCAAGATAGAGTCTGGTTCGACCACGAAATAATCGGGTCAAACTCTTTAAGCCAGGGGAAGCCCAGAATGATGCTGTTGCGTCCAATTCCGGCTACGTAAAGGCATACTGGGCAATCTCGCTCTCCCAAGTGCAGATTCACGACCACGTACTTGTCGATCATTCCTTCTCGATTCTTGGATCCATCGACATTAAAAGCCTTTATGGGGTGGTCAAGGGTTTCGGTGAGCAAATTGTTTCTTTCGACGATAGAAACATTGATAAAGGATCCTCCTGCTCCTGAATCAATAAGCGCATTGGTTTTGACGGTTTTAGGTTCTCCTTCCCATGAATAACAGAACACTTTTGCCTGGCAAAACATGTTCTGATTTCTGACGTTTGCGACGATAGCTTGATAGATGGAAAGATATGGTGGCAAATATGGTGGAAGGGGATCGTACGGTGGTAAAGGCTCTTCTGACGTCGAAACAGTCGAGCCAATTAAAAATCCTCATCTTCGTCTTCTGTGGTATCCGCTGCTTTCTGCCATTCTTCATATTCATCGTCACTCAATTCTGCGATGAGCGATCGAATATGGGTGTGAAGTTGTCGTCCAGTAAACTTCTTGCCTTTGGGATTAGGCTTGCCCTTGTTCTTCGACTGCATTGGTGGAGGTCGGGATCGTTGCTGGTTCGGATGCTGTTTGGAAGAAGATTGTTGTTGTGGTCTAGAGGACTGCTGTTGCTTCCGAAGAGGGCATTCTCGGGAAGTATGTCCTGAGCGCCTACAAAAGAAACATAACCCTTTGCGCTTGCATTCGGCGTATTCCTCGGGAGTCATGGCATTGATAGCAACCTTTATTGCTTGTCCAAATGGGAGGGTGCTCAAAGCATCAACGTCCATAGCCCATGGGTCTTTCGAAGCGCCAGCGCCTGGTGGCGGTGCGGGTTTTTGGTATTGTTGTCGATAACCTCCTCCTCCGTTATATCCACGGTAGGTAGGCTTTGATTGAGTTCGGTTTCCTGTGTAGCGTCCTAAAGCCTGGTTCTTTCGACGTTCAGCATGGTCGAAATGTTGGGCTTTCTTCTTCCAATCTGCATACGTGTCGGGTACAGTTTCTCCACTAAGGATGTGTTCGAATAACTTGCGATTAAGACCTTCCTTGAAAGCTTCCATTTTGGCTTCAGCTCCATCCATTCCGGCTTTGGTCCAAGTCATTTCGAATTCGGTGACATACTCGGAAATTGTTCGGTTTCCTTGTCTGATTCCTTTGAGTTTATGACGGGCATCTCCTGATTCGTCATTGGGGGCGAATGATTCTTCGAGTTTTTCAAGAAAACTTGTCCAAGTTCCAGTTGAAAAGTCGGTAGTGACCTTCTTCTTTGTCACAGCGGTAGAAGTGGAAGTTGATGGAACAGTCGCAGCAGAAGCGACCTGTTTGTCGACATAAGCTTGTGCCCATGCTTCAGCTGCACCTTTAGTCATAAAGGTGAGCGTGAAGAAAATCTTCTTCTTGTTGTCATCATATTTCCCGCTGTTTGCAGACAAATAAAGGAGAACACTCCTAAGCCATGGTCGGTACCGCTTAGGATTTCCATCAAAGTCAAAGGGTTTATTGACTTTTAACTCGGATGAGTTCGATGCCATTCCTGAAACGGCTAATGATCCTGGAGGTGGTGGTGGAGGTGAACCTGAAGGTGGTTTCGGTGGTCTTGGTGGGCGTGGGGGTAGAGAATTGTCTTCGTCGTCAGAATCTTCCCAAATCTGTTTCTTCTTGCCTTTCTTGTCTTCCGGAAAGTCTGTTTTAACAAACTGTGGAAGGGGCCAGAGGGTTCCTTGAATTTCTTCTCCTCCTGACCTAACTCAGAGGGGTTGATGATTGTCTGTAGGGAGTTTTTCTAGAGGGAATCCTTCAAATTTGGCTCCAGTGTCCACTCGGTAGAAAGTGAGAGGCAAGGAAAAATGAGATAGGGTGATTTCTGGTACTGGAAAACCTTGAAGTGTTTGTTGGACTTCGGAGAAAGCGTGGGCAAGAACTGCTGGGGTCGCTGTTCGATCAGTTATTGCCAAAAGAGACGTCCGCGTCGTAGTCGGTAGGGGAGGGTCGCTCTGGGAACTCGGGGGAACTCTCAGCTGTTCCTTGTCCTGGCTGTGCTGCCAGGTCAGTTGAGTAGGATACGGTTCCACTGAACCTGCTCTCGAACCTCCTCCTGTGGTGATCGAAGGAGTCGGGGATCCCAGACGGTGTGCTGCTTGGGTTAGGATTGGTGTCCCAAGTCTGGGTTGAGGAGACCGTACTGTTCTCGGCTCTGAAGACTGGCTCGAAGTGGTTTTCGAATGCCGAGCCGGCTGTCCTGGGGTGGTCGTGATGGGATATGGGAGCCCGTTCGTTCACCCAGATGTGAACGATCGGAGTGCCGAAGTATAGGAAGTAATTGGAAAATGGGATTTGCAAGTAAACTGTGTCGTCGATGTAATGGATAACCCGCGTTTCATAGAGGGTTTTAGTTTCTCGCCAATACTGTTCAGTTCGATAAGACAGTGGAGTCGCCGTGATGAGGGTAGAACTCCGTTGAGTTACTTCCTAAAAATCTTCGGGATCTTGTTTATATGTCCGTGTTGTCTTCTGTACGCGCTCCGTGTACAGCCCTAAGACAAACACAAAGAACCCAATGAGTGTAGACCAAGAGGACAATAATAGTCACGATGTAAAAAGGGATCGTGCTATTTTGAGGTTCGGAATCCATTTGTGCGGTTCCGAAATTGACAGCCTTCTTTAAATCTTTTTGAAGAGAAGTCCCATCGTTCTTGGTCATGAAACGAATACTGCTCGAGTCATGCATGAATCCAAGACACGTGTTCTTCCTTTTAAAGAAGGTGGCTGTGTGGCGTTGCTTCTGGTGGCGTATCAGAAGCTCGTTCTAAATTAGAACGTCTATTCTTGAAATAGACCATTCTAAAATAGATTGTGGCGTGACTGCGGAATTACTTGATTTGGGGTAGCTGGTCCTGAGTCAAGTTCCGAGTACTAGGATATGCGGCTGGGAGAAAGTCCGCAGTGACCCTTCTTCGTGACACCTGTCTTGCACAGTGTCCGGCATGGATACTTGAAGATTCCAAGTCTTTGTTTTCCGCATCGGATTGATGAAGTCCGGCATAACCATCTTGCTTCCAGCTTCGATTTCCCAAGCACCCGAGTCATGTCTTGAGAATACTGCATCTCTGAATCCTAGGATGATTCACGAGGAAATTCTTCTGACTCGTTCTTGAGGCTGTGGCGAAATCTTTTCAAAGCGAAGTCGAATGTCGACCTATTTCGGGCTTGTTGTCCTCGAATAGGAATTGAGGTATCTTTGGCGTCTTGCCAGCTGACTCCTGGATGAGTCAATCCCTACTGTGCAGACTCATCACGAGTCGCGCGCCCAAGCTTCGCAGGAAACAGAAGTGATCAGCTTCTGAAAAATTTCCTCGAAGTGGGTAGGAATGTTCGGACACGAGACCTCGGCAGGGAGGGATCTTGCACTGAGTCACTGTCCACCAGAACTCGCGCTGCGCACCCTGTGCCTATTCTCGATTCTCCTCACTTCCATGCAGAGGCTCAATACGTTGTGATCCCCCCGGGTAGGATAACCAACGAGTAGCATGCAGAGGGAACAGGATGTGTCCGCTGTACGTTCTGAGTAACCGTACATGTAGCGAATAAGATGTTGCTACGCGCATTGTCGTCCAAGTAAGGGGCCTAGTCTTCTTGAATTCAGGCAATGCGAGCTTGCAGTGAGCGATTAATTCCCGTGCACCTGAAAAAGAAGGGTATCCATCCAGAGGACTATGGATCAGTCTGGACGTACTCTCCTTCCTCGCTCCGTACGCTGCCTTCAGTATATCCCGCTGGTTCGGTTGTCGTGCACCTGGTTGCTACTCCCAGGGTTGGTCGGTCAAGTATTTCCTACTGGTATATCCCGCCAGTTACGGTCTTCGCTGATATAACCCATCAGTGCGGTCTTCACTCGGTGGTGGATTCGAGTAGGGAATCGTATACTCCTGGAAATGTGAGGGAACGATGAAAGTTCATCCTCGGGGTATAAGCTTTAATCTTCTGTTACGGACACCGTCAGTCTTGGCAGACTACGCGCCATATCCCCATAGTTGGACTATGGCACACAAAGCGATTGTGGCGTTGGCATTGCAATCAACGGCGTAGCCTTCCCCTGCTGAAGTCCGTATGGCTTGTCTGGTGTCACTGACAACGAATAAGTCCATAGTAGCCGTAACCGCTCATAGTCGAACACCCGAAGGCTATTGTACGAGGGCCGTCCACTACAAGGAGCTTAGATGCTAAGCGACACTGAACTATGCCACATCGTAGTCCAGGGTTCGGGCATCCACTGAGTCGAACGAAGCGGATGTCGTTCGTGCGAGGTGAGAAGCCGAGTCGATCTTATTGCGAGTATGAAAGCAATAAGAAGAACAGTAGATTAAAGCTGAACTATTACAACGAGTAGTTACAAGCTTAAATACTACCAGAATACAAATAAGTACAATGCGCCGTCAACGCATAAGTAATACAACTAAGAATAGTCCGTATCAGGCGACTAATCTAGTAGTCCGTATAAGTCAAGCATATGTAATCAAGCATATTACTAAGAAAAGAGAAAAGGAAATGAAAATGCCATATTACATAATTGAGCCATAACACGCACCTGAACCATCTGACTTTCAAACAGAGTTTGTTCTCCCACTTTTCCTGAACCAGCAACCATGCATTGAATGCCTGATCCTTTGTTGCAAGAAGCTGGACATTGACAATGTTTGAGAAATCGTCAAGGAAAATGATGAAATACAGCTTTCTGTGTGGGGTTTCAACAGGAAAGGGTCCAAAGAGGTCGCAGTGAATGAGTTCGAGGAGTTTCGTGGTCTTGGGGCCAGCAGATGATGGTGCAGGAGAATGTGCATGCTTCCCAATGATGCATGGCTCGCACTTGGAGAGTGTGTCGTTGGATGGGAACGAGACACCGGTAGTTGATTTGAGAAGGCTCCTAGTCGTCCCCTCACCTGCATGACCAAGGTGGTGATGCCAGAGGTCCAAGTTGACGGCTACAGAGTTGAAGCATGCAATGTTGGGTACAGGTTTGTAAATCTGATCACTGACAGGTATGGAGGGTCGGAGGAACTCAACGTCGACAACAAAGATATTCCCAACCATGGGCCCCTGGCCCAGTCCCATGGCACCCTTCGAAATCACCACCTGCTTGTCAGCAAATAAGCAGCTTATGCCCTTTGAGACGAAGCGCCCAATGGAAAGCAGGTTAACGCAGGCATCAGGGGCATGAAGGCAGTCGCACAACTTCAGTATGGTTGACTTGTTATTGAATGTGAGATGAGCAAGACAGTTGCCTGCCACCCGGGTGTGCAGAGTCCCGTGATTTGCGGTTTTGACATCACAAGCCCTGTCTGGGTGATAACTCCAGAACAATTCACAGGCGTGGATGAGATGGGAGGATGCACCGCTGTCAAGAAGTGTCATCCAGTTGTGCTCAACGATGAGAGCGAGGTCAGCGAGGGATGGGTCAGCCAAGTCGATGGAAGCGCATGAGAGGTCCCCAATGAACCCAGTTGGTCCCACGGAAGCAGATTGGACAGGCCCCGAGGCAGAGGCAAATGCCGCAACTTCAGATTTAATGACTGCAGGTGCCTTTGTGACAGAAGAGGTGCCGTCGACAGTGGCTCGTCCTTTTGGGCCAAGGCCCTCCATGCTGCCACCCTTCGCAAAACAGTGATCCTTGTCGTGCAATTTGAGGTTACAGACACTGCAGATGACGCCGTTGGGGTTGTTCAGATGTTTTCTGATGCCTCCATTGTTTGTGTTTCCAGCAAAGTTGGCAAATTCTGACCCTGGCCCAGCCTTCCTGGCCTTTTCGAAGTCAAGGTGTTGACATTCGGTAGTGAGATGCAACATGATCTGATCAAGAAGAGCATCAGGAACAGCAGGTGCAATCGAGAAACTAGCCTGCATGTCAATGTGATCTTGTATGAGTTGGCTCATTAGCTGCCTGAAGTTTGCCCAGGTACCGTGCAGAGGAAGCCCACAAAGGACGGAGTGAACGAGCTCGAGTTCGGAGATAGCAACCCCCATCTGAACGAGACAGACACGGCTGACCTTGAATTCGCCAAGGTACCGCTCTAGATCGCAATGATCTTTGAGCTTCATTGCGCTGAGCTTGTCGCGAAGTTCAAATTGAGCTAGGACATCCGTGCGTGCATACAGAGTGGTGATACTGGTCCAGATGACGCGCGCTGTGATGGAAACCCCTTGTGGAAGGAGATTGAGGATGAGCGGTATTATCTGCCTCTTGACAATCATTCGGGCCTTGGAGTCCTTCTGCCACCACTCCTGGTAGGCCATGATCTGTGCAGAGGTGGACAATGCGTCGCATGTGGGAGGTTTGAGAGACTGAGGAAAAGGCGCATACATCCTGGTGTCACCTTCAACATGTCCCCAGTATCCTTTGCCCTGAAGGACCTGGCTGATTCCACGCTTCCAAGATTTGTAGTTGGATGCACCAGTGAGGAGCTCAATGTGGTCCAGCTTGATAGTGGACATAGTGAGTGATATCCAGAGATAGGTATATGTGATGATGTCAGGATGAAGTCGCCAAGAGCGATATGAAGCATTGCCAGTAGTGAACGCGAGCAAGACGCCAAGGGTGATTCAATGAGAAGGATCGCCAAGAGTGATTTTGTGAGAAGCCTAAAGATACGCTTGCCAAGATTTGTTGACAGTGTGGCTTGTTTCAACAAGTGGGGCCCATAACCTGTTCGAGTCTAGATGAGGTGTAATGCACTCAGTATGTGGTAAGACAACTATATTAATGATAGTACCTAGATGAGGTGTAACACACTAGGTGAGGCAAGTAAGTAAGGTGTCACAAATGAGAAGAAAGAATACTGTACCTCAGTATGTGGTAAGACAACTGAGGTACGGAGAAGGGCTGAAGGAATCTTAAATAGTGTGAAGTAACTACATGAGCAAACAGAGAGGGTAAGGAAGAGGTGGCGTGCATCGAGTTGACCATGTGATCTCAACACCACCCATTCTCACCTTCCACCATCATGCTGGCATTGTCTTTCCCCTATTCCTTTGCACAAGCCAGAATTTTAGTTTGATAAGGCAATCAAAGCCAACAACCAACTAGGAACAGTTTGACCTGTATGCTGTGAGACAACATTGCCTCCTTTGTCACAATGTTCTCCATGACTGCAAAACTACTCGTTGGTGTAATATCATCTATGGTCTGGCCTTGAATAGAGGGAGCATTAGCATTTTAGTTGTTTTATAGTACATTCTAGCCTAGCATCACTTGTTCTCAGTGTGCTCACATGTCAGAAATCTCCCGAGAAGGATGTTCCCTTCACTCAACTCAGGGAAATGCAATTCTGCTAGGATTATCACTGAATAAGCTATTATTTCTTGCATTTGTCAGCTACTACAAGAGGAATGTGCTAAATTGCACCAATCTTTTGCAAGAGATCCATAATTCAAATGACGATCATACATCAGGAAAAACTGAGATTGCTAATCAGACCTGATAAGTGTCAGTAAGGTATAATAAGTAGTGCCCTGCCTAATCATATCCAATTAGGAGGGCATAAGTAAGATTCAGCAGAAAATCAGCTTCAATAAGCTGGGCCACTTGCTTATAATGTGAAATAAGTCACTTTCCTCCTTATTAGCAGGAATAAGAAGCAATCAGGAAATTATGTATAGATTGTGGCTTTATACATATATTTATATCCAAATTAATATATGGTTGAATAAGGATACTGGTCTGAATATGGATTAACATAGAAAGTTGAGGCCAGCTCAAGCACATTGCTTGATTTCCATTCTGTAGGTGCTAAGGGTCCAAACCTAGGGAAAAGGTGTATACTCTGGCAGATGAGAGAAACAGGGATGACACTGGCATGTTGCTTGCCTTGAACTGTGAGTCGTGAAATCCGGTATAGCCCACTATTTCGGTCTTGAACAGCTTGCGAGAATGGAGTGAACCATTCAACATATGCAAGATGGTCATATGGAAAACCATGCGGAAACCACAGAGAAATAGCTGAGGATGGAAGCATGAAAATGCACCATATTTGTCCAATACAGTGGCCTAATTCCCATGGATTACATATCAGTCTGAACTATATGAAGGGGTACATACCTTTTACCCCAGTCTCCTCTTCATTCCAGACATTGATCAAGGCTGTATCAAATCGCCCTGGAACAATCTTTCCATACTTGTCAAACCTGTCAGGCTCGACATGAATAGAGTCAACAACAAGTTCAGTTGAAGGATTGAGGCCAAATGTGTCAAAGGAGACAAATTTGAGACGGTGAAAGATAGAAAGTTTTGAGAAAGGGATGTGGATTGACTTGGATGCATCTTGAATCTGGCGCTTGGAATACTTGGGATGCTGGTATTGAACAACAAAGCGGGACAATGCAGCCTTGAGGAAAGTTGCACCATACTTCATGTGGATTATCTCCAGAGAGACACCACGTAGGGTTGGATGCTTTGTCATCTGCAGTGTGCGGTGAGGAATGAGAGCTGGAACTGGTTTAATGACGTTTAGTGGGGAGGGAGCTGATGGACGAAGGCGATGACGGAGGTACTTCTCATGTTGCATAACCCTTTCCCGTCTATCAAGCCATGATGTCATTTGCGGGTATTCATCTTTGGTGTTACTGGCAGTGTATGCATCCTTGGCCATGTCAATGTGGAGCCGCTCCATATACTCTGTGTTGAAGTTGTCTGCAGTTCCAAACAGCTCAAGGAAGTAGCGATAGTGACCAGCATAGTGCAGCTTCAGAATGTCAAAGTTAAAGCGGATCCCAAGAGTGACAAATATTTCACGATTCTCATGAAACTGGCAAAGGGCATCATCCAGATTGTCCAGAGTCTGGGATGTATGAATGGGACACTTTGCAAGATAGAGGAAATTGAGCAAAGCTCGGACTGCACGTATGAGACACATATTTGACACCCCATCAGGAAGGCATATGTCGAGAATGAGCCCAAGCAGAAAGCGGCAGATTTGGTCGTGCTCCGTTCCAGTCACACGGGAAAGATGGGATATCCCTTTCATGAAGAGCTGAATGTGGTGGTTTGGTGGTAGATGTCAGCAGCAAGCATCAAGCTCTGAATCACCACATGCTGAACAAATCCAGCCAATGACATGCTTGACAAAGCCTTGATACAGCTGATGTAGGAGGTCAGGAGTGATCGACTTGTAGATGTTGACGAATGGAAGATTCTTCCAGAATGGCTCTTGAATAGGCTTGATCCCGGCATCCGAACAGGCTTGCGTGAAAGCAATGGGCCCTTCATCAAGCTTGTTCAGCGCCTTAAGGATTGGTCCAATTGAACAAGGTGGGAGGAGGTTATGGGGCCCACCAATCCCTTCCTGAGGGGCTGGACACACCGGGCACTGACCAGTCTTGACAAGGGTGACAAGGACTTGCTCTGGATAATCCCTGATGAAGGCCACCAGGATGGGATAACAACATCATGAGGCGCCATCACCACTAGTAAGGTGACACCATCATGGCCAGCCTTCTCGAGAGGGTGCAGGATGTGCTTCATGCATCCGTGGAACAGGTTTGTGAGAGTGTGCCGACGTGAAGCAAGATTGCTGATATGTTCGAGCTTTGAGGTTGGTAGATATGCCAATAGGACCTGGCCCTGGCGTGTTGGCTTGCGCTGGATGTGCTTTGGAAGGTTTCTGATGGTCATGTAGACAGGGTAGGCAGTCTTGTTTCGAAATTGGGTAAGTTGAGTCTTGTCCGATGAGATGATGATTGGTACTACAGTGCAGGACTTCTTGCTGGTGGTGCTCTCAACCTTTTTCTGTGGGGATATGATAGTGAGCAACTCATCCAACCTTTGAAGAGACAAATAACGGACCTGGGTCTTCCACCACCACTTGCCTGTATGCATCTCACTATAGACCCGAATCGTCTCATCTTCATCTCCATAGTGGCATTCCGGCTCGAATATCAGGTCATCGACAAAATCTGGATCACCCCACAATGCCTGCAAGCACTCCATGATATCGCGGCTATAGAATTCCATGGCCTCTCCTTGAACCACCACTTCATGTCTTGTAAACTTCAGTCTTCCTGGAAGTTGGGTATTGATGATCTTGTTGAGCTCATCACTCATTCTGTAGGACAGACCCAGAGCTTCTCAGACCTGTGTTGTCTGTCAGAAGGAACAGGGAGTATGAATCTTCCCTGAACTCATGCCTTCTATTGTCAATAGCTCCGAGAAAGCTGTCGACCCTGGCCCACGGAGCTTTGCCCAACATGCAATCTCCTAATCGATCCGTGAGGCGAACGGGGCATACAGATTGGTGTCCGAACCTGCAATCGCAGCCTGATAAAAGGTGTCCACAGCTTGATGCTTGTTCGGCTCTTTCATGGCAGCGCCAGCCTTTGAGGAAGGGTACTTCTCCGAGTAGCGAACAACGACCTTGGGCTTGACACCATGACCCTCATCAATCAGCAATTTCTCAACCACCCAACATGGAGCATCCAAGTTGACACCCATATCTTCTGGGTCAATGGGCATGCAAACATCCTCTTCTCCACCATCCTGCTCAACCATATCCACATCGTCTGGATGATCCACAGGTGCTCCTTCACGTTGTGGTTCCCATCCTGCCTCGAGCTCAGCCACCATCTCTGCCTTGATAAGCTCATCCAGGTGCTCAGAATCACTATCTCCGGCAGAGCCAGTAGGCCCGTCAAATCCCCTGGCTCCTGCATCCAAATCCACAACTGACATTTCGACGTCCTGACCGAGGTCATCATTGAGGTAATCATCAGCCGATCCGAAGGCATCACCCTGGAAAGCAAGGACGGGAGGGCTACTGTGACTGTGTTGTCGTGTCCCTGGGCCCACATATTCATCTTCTGAGGCACTTGACACTCCTGCTGCCCCTTGCTCGTGTTCCGAGTGATAGTCTTGACAGAGTGGGTTCAATGATTGCTGAAGATGAGAGCGCAATCCCCACTGGGTGAACCCTGTCATTTGACACCCGCCACAGGAAAATAACATCAGGACAGGCAGGGATGGAGAGATCCAGGGAGGTAGCAATTGGTGGACGGAAGTTGAAGGTCACACCAGCAATTTAGTTTGTTTAATCAGATTTATTCAAACGGAAGCTGAAGGTGGCTTAGCAAATCCCTAGTGTCAACAACCAGGAAGACTCACCTAAGTACCGGTCCAGCCACAAGCCCACAACGCGACCATAAGACAATCCTGCCAGTCCACAAGCCCACAACGTGACCATGGACAATCCTGCCGATCTATGATTACATTAACCCTCGACTCAGTATGAAAACCTGAAAAGCTAGGTGTAAGAAAGCATCGGTTCGACTGTGCACGGTGTTACTCACCTTGGAAGGTACCAATCGTGGGACGATGATGGCGAAGGACACATTTTAGTTGGGGTAAATAACTGTCAGATGTGGTACATGAACAGGAAAGCCTTACCGGCATTGAGCCATGGCGGGGCAATCAACAAGGTCACATGACGGTGGTTGAACTTTGACTTCGAAGTTCTCGCACTGCTTACCTCAAACCTTTATCTACGCAAGATGTGGATGTTCACTTCTGCCACTTCCACCCGTGCTCACGCCAGCACTCAGCACGGAAATACGACGCCGGATTGTCATGAGAGCGAGGTGGCACTCGTGGCGGCGAGTGTCCACAGATTTTGAGGTAAGTACATTCGTTTCATGCCGTTGTCGTTGTGTATGCTGCTTACTCTGCCCCATAGCCCGAAATATGACGCCGGATTGTCATGAGAGCGAGAGCGAGGTGGCACTTGTCGTGGCAAGTGGCCACGTGTTTCAAGGTAAGTACATTGTTTCGTGCTGTCATTGTTGTGCATGCTGCTTACTTTGCCCCATACCCCGCAGTGCACAGTCGGTCGGAGCACCACCGAGGTTTCAAAGGTATGTTTGCTCCCCCCCTCTGTAGTATCATGCGACGCTAATCTAGCCTTTTAGGTGTATCAGCACGTGTCCGCGTCCATTTTGCATCCCACTGAGACTTCCAGGCACTCTCGGAACTGCGCTCCATGAGTGAGTACATGCCTAAACATCTCAAGTCTTCCTGTGCTTACTGTCAGCCCTGCTTCCGAGTCTTCAACCTATGCACAAAGTCAGCATTACCACGAGGACTGGCGAACACGTGCCACGGACGACATCAACCTTCTGCCTGAGATGAGGAGCAATCAGGGCAAATGATGGGTGCAGAGGGCGATTGCCGGTCAAGGGAGGACATTTGATGAGATACGATGCCAGCTGGAGTGGCACACGTCAAAGAATGCCATCCATGAACGCGTGTCTTTTCTCCTCTCAGTGTCTTTCCCACCATCATTTGCCCCTCCTCTCTCTTGCTTCATGCCAACATTGTGCCCTCTCCGCTCATGTGGTCGTTGCGGGGCATTTGCTGTTCACCTGTGTGCCTGCATAAGTTTCTCTCTCCTGTCCTGTGTAATTGATATGTTTTGAACACGAGTGCAGAATGTGCCGTTTTCCTGTTTGGGAGACGGAAGCAAATGGTGGCTCTGCAAAATACGGCAACAACAAATACAGCAGCGACCAGCCACCCGATCTTTTCTGTCTTCCATTGCGGTGCATTCCTCTACCTCCTGCTGCACCTCTGATCTCCCTTCACAGGCATGGATGACGCCAATGTAGTGAAGCGCAGAAGCAGAAACATGCTCTGCAGCGTGCACAGAAGAGGGTGGCTGAGGAATTAGAGGCTCGGCAGCTCATAGAGGCAGCAGGAACTGGTAAGTCATTGTCGGTCGGTCAGTTTGTGCAACTCGATTTGCTCACTGAAACCAATGATACAGAACCCCGACAGGCCAAACAGAAGGCTCTGGCAGATGCTCGTGAGACCTACAGCAGTATCCATGATCCACTTCTCCTTATCTGATGGTTGATCAGAATGGCTCAATGGGCAACCCACTCAAAAACGAGCCCCTTCACCAGAGTCTGAATCACTTGCTGGTGACAAGAGCAACATTGGTACTGGTATGAGGCCTTTTTTTTGGCCTGGCATCACGCTGTATTAAATCTTGCAGGCCGCAAGAAGCAGAAGCAACAGCCAGATGGAATAGAAGATAGCGACACTCAAGCAGGAAAGGCAGCAGCAGCGAAGGTGACTGGAAAATCACGCAAGGATAAGCATCAGCCCAAGAGGCAATATGAACCATGCGAGTCAAATAACAGGTTGGACACTGATGCCGCTCTCGCTGCAGGTACACGCTCTACAATTTCTATGCAAAAATCGCAAATGAAACGCAAGGACGTGGTGCCAGATTCCTCAGAGGAAGAGAACGTGGAAGGACAGTGAGCGCTGGCAGCTGCTGTTCAAGGTAAGAATGCCCTTTACTCCCTTGCATGTTCAACTGCCTTATTTGCCTAGCAGATGAGCACCATCGACCGCTGCAAAAGCAGACGGTTAAACTGCCAGTCAAGATGGCAGCACGGAAGGAGCAAGATGAAGAGTTGACTGATGATTCTGTCCGTCCTGATGATGAGGATGACGAGGGCCAGAGTGAGGAGGAGCCTGACTATACTAAAATGTCAGCCACTGAGCTCATGGAGCTCATGGATAATGAGGTAAGTCTGTGTCACTCAATGTTCTACTGCTCATTCTCCCAACTGCATGACATCATACAGGCTCCCGCATTCCCTCAAGAGCCTGTCATGGATGTGCAAGCACTCTTCGATGTAGACGAGGCCAACATCGAGATGAGCTCCACAAGGTCTTCTCGTAGCCGGGGTTCATTATTGGGAGTTTCTCTGCCGCCCACCTCTGAGTCCAATGGAGCTATTCTGGGTGACACTGACGATGAGGATGCCCTTGGGCCTGCTCCTCCTTTGAAGGCCAACAAGAAAAACAATAAGGTTGGTACCAAGTTGACCATGTGGATGTGCTGCACTGACATTCCTGGCTTACAGGGCCTGAAGAAGCGTGAGGCCAAGTTTCGTGATGAGGTATGCCTTGTTTCAGTACTCGAGTGACTGCTGACTTGTCATAGCGTCCAAGCATTATCTCGGATGAAGAACGTGAAGCAGTCAAGCCAGTTAAGAAAGACCACCATCGCAAGATCCCCCTGCAGCCACACTTGGCGAGTGCTCAATGTTCAAGTCAGGACGACGATGACGAAGATGACGACGAAGACCAAAAATGTTGGCCTGTACATGCCCACCTCCGCGGCACTGGCCTCCTCCAGCAGAACATCCACATCCGTACGGTTTGTCGTGATGCTATCAAGATGGTTGAAACTATGATTGTCACTGATTGGGCGTGGCCAGAGCTGAATTGTACTGCAGAGTACTGGCGCGAAGTGCTTAGCAGGGCCGCGAAAGCCTTGAGGAACAAGGATGCCCGATACAGGGACACTTATGCCCAAATCAAGTCAGATGAGTCGTTCATGAAAGCTCTCGGAAGATGGGTGCGTATGCGTCTTTTCTGCAAGGCAGTAACATATTAATTGCTCGTTGGAGGTCCTCAATCGTCTGCCTCATACCTGAGGTCTCGCCAAGGCTAGTGGTACAAACCACATTGCTATCTTTCAGCTCGGAGTTAGGGATTCCTGTAAGGCGCGGGTTGAGGCACTGTTCGAAGATGATATCTATGTCTACCTGGGCCATTGGGAGGATGATGTCAATGGAAAGGTAAGCGCTTGCACCGTGAATGAGTATAGGACTGACGCAGTTGTTAGCCAATGTGGGTGGTGAAGGCAAAGGAGATTTACCTCAACCCTGCCCTCGTTAGTGTTCTCAAGGAGGCTTTTTTCGACACTCCAAGTGCATTTGGGTACAAGTTCAAGGAGTTTTATGTGTCATTGCATCCCAGCCCTGAGTTGTCAGAAAAGGAGTTGACAGTTCCGCTTGTTGCCCTTGCAGCCACTGGGGTATGTGCCCTCTACTGTTGTGAGCACTGTGCTGACTGTTGTCTAGCTATATGCAGGCCTCTACGTTTGGCGGGAGGGCACCCAAGACAAGGCTGACAAATTTGAAGGTGATAAGTATAATTCAGTCTTCGAGCTCCACAAGAAGTATCTGCTGGATCTGAAGGAGAAGAATATCAGAAAGTTCCATGCTGTCATGTCTGAGCTGTATACTAGAGTGACGTATGTTCCTTTCTTTCTCTGTGATATGTGGGGTTGACCATCCTTGCCAGCAATGAACCAAAGTCCAACAATGCCACACACAAGAGTGGTAACCCTCTTTCTGTTATGGATCTTAGTGGTTATGAATAGATCCTAGATATGTGGCATGTGTACAAGTTTTTAATGCTCCGAATTATATAGTCTTTCCGCTTGATTGGACTGTGTGATATTGAGACCTGGATAAAATATGTGATAATATTATTAGAGACTTATGCTGTCTGATCGGTTTCTTATTGGCAGCTTATGGATAACAATAAGGTGCAAATAAGTAGAGAATAAAAGGGTAACCTGCCTTAGTGACCTAATCCTGCTGATTGACCTTTTTCTTACTTATTCTGGGTTATTCTGCCTGATTTCTAGCAGATTCTATCTTACCAGCGCTAATCAGCAATCTCAGTTTTTCCTGATGTAGTCTCCCATAGGACAAAGAAGTAGTTCCAAAGCTCACGGATATCAACACCAAAATACTCCCATTCAACAGCCCTTGTAAATACCTTGAAGCCGTTTAGTCCCATTGGTTTCGTACTGCTGAACTTGAATGCAACAAGTTGACTACATATGACGGTTGCGACTACTGTAGTATTTCGAATCTAACAGCTGTCACGCGTCACACAGCTTGTGGATATGGACAAAATCGAAGGTTTGTCCCGTGTCACACCTAGTCCGGCTACCTGTGACATTTGACATACCCACCATTTTTGGATTTTCCGGCCGTCCCGGCCGGTGGACGTGGCCAAAATCCAGCCTCGGTCCCTCGTCACATCAAATTTGGCCAGTGTCCGAACTTCGTCCACTAGGTCACAGGTCATACCCCCGGCCGCTAGATTCGAAATACTACAGTACTGATGACGAACAGATGGGAAGGTGGATCCCGCACAATGCAACTGCGCCCTTTGAAGAGGTGACTGTTCCACCGCCATTAGCTTAACAAATTCTGACAACTTTCACCGTCACTCAAGATAGCTGCGGATCACTTCAGTTCGCAACGCTCTGCAACGCTTGACCTGATATCATCCATCGTCTCCCGACTCTACAGAAAGATCGCTCAACCTTAAATAAATGGATCCGTGATCTGGATCAACCCAAATTGCGACGATTCGTCACTATATATAGTTCGCGATTGTGCCCGATCGGGCTCAATCAATGAGAAGTTTTGATTGACTTTGGTTTTGTCCAGGTTTTGTCCAGCACGGTCCACCATACAGGATATCAAGTTCCGTCACCCAAAGCGCCTTCTTCCCAACCATCCCGAGAGGTGGCATTCAGAACATTATCGCTGCTGAAAGAAAGTATCAGCAGATCCCAACTCGTTCACCGACCAGCGTCCATGGGTTGGACTGTTCGGTGTTGAAATCGCCAACACTAAGATATGGTTCTACAACTAAGCTCGCGCCTTGGAGATACTTAGACTTCATCGATGTCGTCTGCACTTCTAGGAGAACCTGAGGTCTAGCAATCTGTCAAGACTTCGCACGGCGAGTCTGGCCGCTGGGTATTTCAGACCGCCGAACAGTATGCCTCCGAACTACATCAGCCAGACACGGCGAGCGATACTCGTCGACTTCGAGTGGGGTGGTCAACTGCCCAGCCTGGCACGATGGCCCAACTGCGATGTCTTCATTCTTTTCGCAGTGTTCGATTACTTTCGATGGTTTACAGAACGGTTGCCGTACATAAGCAGCAATTACCTGCTGCTCACACGTGTAAACCTGACTTCTTTGCAAAAACGACTACAGCTGAGTAAGTTTGGAATTGATAGGCCCTCACTTAATCTGACAACACTGCTTAACAGATCGTTGACATCAGTTCTCGAAGCGTGAGCATGCTGTACTCCGGGCTTTCGTGGCTCGTGTTTTCTGAAATGACGCACCTTTCTTCCAATTTTTCGCACGGAGAATCTTCGAAGCATCGGGCTTCCATACCGTGGCGCCCACCGAACATGTTCGTTTCTGCCGATTTGTCTAGGGCTTTGACGTAGACGAACTGGCTTTGACGTAGACGAACTGGGGATGGCGCGTTCAGAGCGTACGCATTATCGAAAGCTCTCTTTCGATGGAGGCAATGGGAGCACGCTCGGCAGCCGTGCTGTTTCCCTTGCTCCTTGAATAGTCAACCCCAAGCGAGCTCTGTGGAACAGAAGTCATGGATCGCAACGAAGGACGTACGTTACGTGTAGCCTCCTGTCTAAGCCTCCTTCGCATCGCCATGTTAAAATGCAAGGCCATCCATTCGGCCTATCTCTCACATGGATTCTTTCATCTTGCAAGCTGTTGCACTCGCGGCACTCATAATATTTCTATGGGCCATCCGCCGACGACTCCGTAGGACATCTTTCAACAACCTACCAGGACCACCAGCCAAGTCTTGGATATTTGGTACGCAATCTCCATTCAAAGAGCTTCGAATTGCTGTCTGAACTGAGATATTCTCAAACAGGTTCTCTTGCGCAATTGCGAGATCGAAACGCATGGGACTTCCATCGCCAAGTGTCCGAAACTTGTGAGTCCTTCAAGATCCTGCTTTTTGCAGCTCAGCATGACGCATTTCCCTCAGATGGAGAAGTTAGTCGTGTCAAAGGTCTTTTGGGGGTAAATTCTTGTTCCTTTCGCGCAAATTCTTTCAATTGATTGCTTTCCAAATAGGTCAACGGTCTCTACGTATACGATCCAAAGGCGCTGAACCATGTTCTCGTCAAGGTATGTTGAACGTCATTAAACCTTCGTCATCAGAGGAATTCATGTTACGCCCTGTAGGAACAAGAGATCTACGAAGAAACGGAAGGCTTCATCCAGTCAGTATCACTCTGAATTATTTCCCCTGAAGCCATCTTACGCGAGGACTATGTAGGTCCAACTTATTAGCATTCGGCGGTGGTTTCTTCGCTTCAGTCGGTATGCATACTCCACTGATACACCCACCGTACCCATTCCATCGTCGATCCTTGCTTGTTCCTCAGGTGAACGTCATCGCCTTCATAGGAAAATGCTTAATCCAGTCTTTTCAATTGCCCATATGCGGGAGATGGGTATGTTCTAATTGTATATTCTCTTTCTCTTGCGTCAAGCGTTGTCTTTTCAGTCCCAATATTCTACGAAATAGCCCATAAGGTGAATTTATTTCAGGTCGTATCTGTGGTCCTCAAGTGACACCTTTCCCCAGCTCCAAAATACTCTCATGAGCATGACATCCACTGGGCCAAGAGAGGTGAATCAGCTTCTTCTCTACTTCGATGCAGAGCCTCATTTGCGACAGATTGATATTCTAGCGTGGAATACCCGCCTTGCACTCGAACTCATTGGGCAAACTGGACTCGGCTATTCATTTGACACCTTGGAGGAAGGGGCGACTCCGCACCCGTATGGCGTGGCCTCGAAGTTTTTCATGTACGTTTCCTTCATTCTACTTTATTTATACGCTGAAATACCTACCTGTAGGCCACTGACGAGCGGATTCTCAATTATAGTGAGAGATATCATGGCACCCCTTGTCGTGCGATATGGATCTCCTCGTATTGGCCGGTTCTTAGCGAGTTGGGTTCCGTGGAAGAAGCTTCACCAGTTCCGAGATGTTATGGACACTCTGAACGGCACAGCTCTCGAGATTCTTGAAGAAAAGAAGAAGGCAATACACGCAGGCGATGAAGTATTGAAGACCCAAGTTGGACGCGGAAAAGATATAATGAGCATCCTACGTGCGTCATTTTTCCCTGGCGGGGGGATTCTCATTGACACTTGCATAGTGAAGTCCAATATGAACGCGTTGGATGCGGACAGGCTAACTGATGACGAGCTCACAGGTCAAATTTCGTAAGATCCCATCTTCAATCACAATTCTTTTTGGGTTGACTGTGACCTTCTAGCTCTTTGACTTTTGCCGCCACCGACACGACGTCATCAGCGTTGTCGCGTATCTTGTATCTCCTTTCTGTGAACAAGGACTGTCAGGACCGGGCCAGGGAGGAAATAAAGGTTGCCAAAGAAGATAATGGGGGTCAAGACATCGACTACGATACTTTGGTTTCACTTCCCTTCCTAGATGCAGTCTGTCGAGAAACCCTTCGCTTGTACGTGCAAACCAACTTTAACTGCTCGAAGCCTTCTAACAAGGGTAGGAAGGTATCCGCCGCTCCCGTTCCTCCAGCGAACGTAAGTACCCTTGCGCAGTATGCATGATGAATGAATGAATGAATTTTTCCAGGACTCGGGCGGACACCGTCTTACCCCTTGCAACTCCAGTCAAAGGAATCAACGGTGAGGACATACGCGAGCTACCTCTACCGACTGGCACCCCGGTCTTCGTCTCTGTCATCTCTTCAAACACAAACCCCAGATTATGGGGGCCAGACTCATACAAATGGAGGCCTGAACGATGGTTGACCCCACTCCCGGAAAGTTTGATCAATGCACGCATTCCTGGAGTATATTCACACTTGTAAGAGGTATTCAGATCTCATGTAACGTTAAGTTGACTCCAAATTTACAGACTGATGTTCATCGGAGGCGGAAGGTCCTGCATGTGAGTGCTTTCCCTGCTTATTGGATGTTCCCCCTGAACTAAGTGCCGATTCAGCGGCTTCAAATTTTCGCAGCTTGAAATGAGTGTGTTCAAACATTCTTCACTCATGGTGACGGTCTGTCTGACAGTTCTTCAGAAGTAGCACTTGCACTCTTGCTGGAGAAACTCGAGTTCACCCCATCAAATAAACACACTGTCTGGCAAATGTCCGCGGTCGCCCTTCCTCACCCAGATTTCGAGAGCATTCAGCCGAGGCTGCCAATAGTAATTAGTCGAGCTGACTGATGACCTAGCAGTTGGCTTTCCTGACGATTTTGCTTCCTTTAATTAGAGTATAGAGAGGGATGTATTCTGCGGTTGGCAACGGTATCACTTGAGCATGAAACACCGCAAAGAAGTTGGGTCGAGGGAATTGCTGCGTCCATCACACAAGATTTCATCCTTGTTCTTTTCTTTATACAAGCTGGGATTTACTATTCGTTGTCATTTGTCCTTACGGCTCGCCTGTAGCGTTACATGGAGCTGTAAGCCTTGGTCAGTGCATCCGATTTAAGATTGTCAAAGATGTCTGACGTCCTTACCAGATAGTCCAGTGATTCCTGAGACATTTTTGCAAATATAGCGAGGTGCCTGGCCAACCGGAGGCAAAACCTTGAAGTTTTTGAAGCTGATGTTAGTACAACCAGCAGCCGGGCTGCACTCGAGGTCGATGACTACAATATAGAGCGATCCTCAGCTCACGCAAAGCCCAGCGACGGAAATGAACCCACTTCTGTTATTGTTTCCGGAGCCCAGCCAATTAATGAAGCGCAGATTGCTAAACTTCAACTTCGATGGGGCGTCCTCGCTGATTTTTTGTTGAAGAAAAAATAGAAAAATAAGAATCATACAGTGTCCTTCAGACGACGGTGAGAATGTGACCTACGGTTGAGCGAGATTTGTTTGGAAGAGATGGAGCGGAGTTGCCGCACGATCGACAAAGACATTCTTCGCAGTAACGTTGTTCACATATCCTTGAAAAAGTGTTTCAAACTGGCGAAGCTGCATTCATGAACGTCAGCATACCACCACCTCCACCACCCATGTTGGGGGGAGACCCATTGACTGTTGCAGACCAAGTTTTGAAGTAGACCTAATGGAAATCAGCATCATACCGCCAAGTGCCAGGAGGAAGGCGTCTTACCCCACTCGCCATGTTCGGCTGAATCTTCGGGTCGAGACGGATAGTCTGGGGAAGATTTTTTAGCGGGAAGATCAATAACGGCGAAGAGGTTAGCCACACTCGAAGATTCTCGATCTCGACGTTGTACACATGGTCACTCTGGTTTTTGAGGTTTGTTCATTTTTAGTGGAGGAAAGGCCCTGAAGAAAATCTTACCATGTTAGCATATTGTCCTAGAGATCCAAAAGTGATTCCATTCCCTCCGCGGCAGATAATATTTCTTGCGACCAGGTTTGTAGAATTCTACGTGCAACATAATCTCGCTAGTCGAGTAATCTGGAAGAATGACGCACTCCTTTGAAAGCTAAACAATCGTCCCCACAAGTGACATCCCAGTTGACCATAGTAATTCGATCGCTCCTGTACGTATCAATGCCTAGAAGAGACTGGAGCATCAATCGACTCGGTTCAACTAGAACTTGTTGCAGCATACGAACCGTCGGTGTTGAAAACGGCACTAATTGTTGAAGTTAAAGAAGTGGGTAAGTACTAGAGAGGGCAATGGGAAAGACTCACTTCCTTCCGGCGTAGAGAGGGTCGGTATTGGTCGCATTAACGAACATGCCGTCGTAGGTAATGTCCTTGGATTCTGCCACTGCATTCGACCAGAATGGAGGCGATTCAATGCGGAAGTTGCGTATAATTCCGCGGGTCGCATTCCACACAGTGAGCGAAATAGGCCGGCCATCACCATCGGTACGGGTGTGAGTCATCAAATACGACCACCAGGTCTGTCGTTCTCTACTCAACGCCAGTCATGCCATTAAAAGCTGAACAAGAATCATACCTGACCGTTTCCTTGAATGCCGCCAACGTTATGTGCATCGATCTCGAAGTCCGTCCCGGTCACAACGAACCAGGATGCTTGACTCTAATGCTGAAGTTGAAATCCTGCCTCTGTCAAAAAAAAAAACTATATCTCCAACCTGGATGAACACCACACGATACGTGTTAGTGGCATTTTTCCAGTAGTCAATCCATGGTGGGTACTGAAGGTATCTCGTCAATGTAGATAACAATTTGACTGAATTCCAACCTACGGTTAAGAACCCTCTGAGATCCACTTTAGATGATTTCAAGTCCCACATCATCTTCCTGGAAAGGTCAAATGTCGGTGCGAGTACCAAGAAGGGAAGGTTATTACTACCTACCGAGTGATGTTGTACGAGCCCGGAGCAAATGAAGTCGTTCCGAAATGGCCGCATTGAGCAATGGCTGCTTCGACCTGCAGGAGTTCAGTAACTGGTCATAACCTTATGCCTCTGATTCAGACTTACCTGGTCCGTATCATCTTTACCAGGACCTAACGGTCGAAGTTGACATCTGTTGCTTTGAGCTTCAGCACTAGCTAAAAGGAGGAGGGCGATCAAAGCTGAGATGAGCGAGCCGCATTTGGCGAACAACACCATATTTTCGCAAGGGTGCGAGAAATCTTATTCTGCTGCCCTCTCTTATAACTGCGAAAGATGACAGAACGAGAAGCAAGGCCATACGTAGAAGTGGTAGCAAGGACAGGTGATCAATGAAGAACACCAAAGCGGTCCGTCATCACCCCAAGACGAAGAGGAGACGGCGATCATCGAATAAAAATACACTGTGATCTGTCATATACTGACAACTAATATCTATGAGCAGACACATGGTTCAGACAAAGGCGAAGAAAAATGCTCACCTAGGTGGGACAACTATTTCAATATCTATCTCGTCATCGACCAGGCGTCCTTCTCGCGGTCCGTGCCCCCATAACCGCTGATACGACGCCAAAACATTGAGTTCGAGGTTGGGTATAAGCGGTGATCCCTTCCGGTTTCTCTTCTCATCAACCTCCAGTTCGTCGCTAGCAAGATAGGGGTTTCCGATCTTCAACAAAAGCCCACCAAGATCTTCCACCTCGTAGATATGATACCAAACTTTGACTAGCTTGTTAATCGTGACCTCCATGCCCCCTTCTCCACCATCGACGATGGCAACTTGAAAACAGTCGTCGAGATATTTGTCGGGCGCTGCCAATGGCCGTGCTTCGTCGAGGACGCTGTCTTGGAAGTGAATTGCTTCTCGTTGATCCCAAACCGCCTTCTTCAGCCCAGCCCGAGTATCAGCCTTGCGAACCTCCGTGCCCCACAGCGGTTTCGAGCGGATAAGTCGCCCCGTCGGCCCTTTGCGGCAAAGAACCATGAAGTCTGGCTCTCGCAGGCACGCATTCACGAAGAGTTGAGTCTTGGGATCGTTCAAAGATAGGCCAACGCATATGGCGTTGTTCGACTTCGTTTCTGTCCAGTGCGGCCTGTTTCCTTTAAAGAAGCAATTACACTTCTCAATCTGGTATCTTGGCACAACGTTTTCGACGACGTTCGGAATAAATCCACATAGACTGAGCACTCGGCAACCATCGAAGTTGAATTCGTATCGTATCTGCGACTGGGCTAGACCCTGGCCACTGAGGATTGCATATCTCGTTAGAGTCACGATGTCGTCAACCTAAGGCGAAAGGCGTTACTCCGGAACAAAGCCACAAGAATATATTAGAACGCACCGTTTTGCACACTCTTCGGACGCAAGAATAGCATGGGAAGACAGCAGTCATATGACCCCAGCCATGGAAAGAAAGGCTCGCACCGCTCAATTCTTTGTGTACACGGGTGCCAAAAACAACGACATATTCTCCCGTCTCTCGCATGGGATGCAAGACATCGTCGACTGCAGCACGCACGTCGAATACGTAAAGACCTTTGATGGCTTTCCAGAGTTTCTCCACCATTGGCAGGTCCATCTTCGCGTCTGAAAGCATAGATGCGACATAGCGGTAGTTTTGCGCAACCAGCATCAGCGTCGGGTCGGTGTATATGGCCCGGCACACGCAAGCCCAGATCACTGCCACTCTCTCCTTGTAGAATCGGGATTGGTACGAAGCGCAGTAACGGGCGAGGCGTGTCCAGATCTTCTCCCACAATTCCTGCCGTTTCTCCCGAAGGGCAACATCCACTGGGTCTTCAACATCTTCTGTATCGTCCAGTCTTGACAGAGTTGTGATTTGTGGTTTAGCGAGAGGCTCTTCATCACGACCGGCACAATCTTCTCCTTCGCCATCTGGCAGATGGTGTTGTTCCAAGACCCACATGGCGTTCTGGGAGGCAAGAAGCAGCTCATAAGCGCGTTGCTCGACCATTTCCAGCAGACGTTCGAGTTCGTCGCGTTGTTTGTTCAGAAAATGCCAGAAAGTCTTGTGGCCGAAGTCCTAGATGCTTTCGGTAGGATATCCACGGATATCTGGTGAGTAGGCAAGCTCACCATGTCGTTCCTGAAGGAAAGATAACGACACATACGCACGAAGATCATGGTGGGAGACTTACCCAAAGAATCTCTCCGTAAAATAGGCGCGGGCATGGATACACCTGAGTTTGACGCGTCGGTTCACCTCCAGCACCGCAAACATGTACTTACCTGCTGAGTAACTTATACTTGCTGCGTAACCCCTGGCTCCATCCCTTGACCATATCATACGATGTGCACGTCCTGATCGCTTTCATGCTGTGGCAGATCTTGTCTGCTGGAAACGCGTCAAACGCTGCGTGGCAGGCCTTATATCCTGCATATAACTTTCTTCTTTCCTTCAAAAAAGAGAGGCATCGTCATGACTGAATTCCAGATACACAATCGGAGCTCACCTCATCGTGCCTCGGGCACCATTTACACCCCTCCTTCACGCGTACGCTGCAGGCGTTGTGTAAGGGATTGAGAGCAGCGCACTTAAGTTGTTCCATAGACCACTATCGGTGGAGAACAAGACAAGAAAGAAAAGAAAGGAGGGAAGAGCAAGCTACGGAGCATGTGGTTTGTTTTGTGTTAGGTCCAATTTGCGAAAATGGTACCGGCCAAGTCCCGACGACGACCCTGATGGTCACTTACGTGATCCATAGCTGGACGTGACCGTTGAGTGCTCAGAGTCTCGACCGTGTTCATGGTAAGTATTGAGTTACGACTGAAGCATAGACCAAGAAACGAAGCGATGCAATAGATGACGAGATGTATGAATACAATGCGTGAGGTTATGGAGATTTACTATGCGATAGAAGAGTATGAGACGACCCTGAAAGCAGCCGGGTTTGGTAGGTGCAAAGCTGAGGGCGTCTAGATAGAACGTCCAAATGAACGAAGAGCGAGCGAGTTTGTCCGTGCAACGCAAATGCATAGAGGGTTTATGATGCCTGCTGAAGTCCGATTGGGGGTTTGTGAGCTTTGGATAGAGGACTCGGCTCAGAGGACTTGATAGAGGTTATGATCGCGCCGCCATTCGTCCGTCCAATAGGAATCGCTGGTGGTTTACGGCGTTTTGAAGGCGCAGGGGGCGGAGGGGGTTTACGTCGAGGCTGTGCAGTCGAAGGGAAACCTTCCGACTTAGCTGAGGAAGGAGGTGACGTCGACGATGTAGAAGATGGAGGTCGGCTGTGATCACTTGGAGTCGGAATGGGAGAGGGTGAATGCGAATGGTGATGATGATGGTGATGGTGCTCTGGATCTGGAGGCAGCGAATTATGTCGAAGAGCAGTATGAGAGGTTTCAGGTGCAGCGCTCGTACTCCGCTTCTTGTTCGCGGGAGCAACAACATTCTTCGACGATGTGCTAGGTAGGCTCGTCATGCTTGCATTACTTGGCCGACGTACTTGATCCAGGGGAGACCGGAGAGGTTGTTTCTGATGCTCTGGGCGCAACGAGAGGTGTTCGACACTCTTGCTAAACTTCATTGACTTCATAAGGCTGTTGCCACCCGAGACCTCCAGATGTTTCGAAGCAGCCATTGCCAGCGAGCCGATGTTACCAGGAGGGCTGAGGATGCTAGACACATCACTGCCCGGGCTTCCCACTCGCGGCGGTTCTGACTTTCGAAGCTCCATGAGTTGGACACACCATTCTCCAGTTAGGCAACGATCAACCAGACGCTTTGTTGTCGGCGTCACTTCGCGAATCTTAGTGTTGCTAGTCATGGACTCGAGGGTCAACAGGATTTGAGGTCGCTTGTATGGCGTATTGCGAAGTTGGGTTCTTGTCAATAACGGATGAAGGACACGGAGGTAAGTATGACGGAGCTAGTGTCTCTGTCAGTCACGAAAGAAAGACTAAGGGGGTGGACACCTACCGATTCACTGTCATCGTCCAGATCCGAAAGCTCTCTCAGGAAAACGTCGACCAAAACACATAGGTCGTTGGTGTAGAAGTATTCAGACGTTCCTTTTGTCGAAAAGAGAACATAAAGTATCTTAAGGATGAGCAACTTCATGCAGAAATCTTCCGGGGTTCGTTCTACCGGATGCTAAGCAATCATTTGTTTACGGAGCAATGAAGACTCACGAGCCCGATTTAACATAAATATCATATTCTCTCCGAAGGTCTTAGACGATCCAAGACGCCTCATGAGAACACGAAGAACACGATTCTTGTGCTCCGGTCCTCCTTTCTTGACCTGCCCATTCGGATCTTCATCTCCCAGACCTACAACCATGAATTGTTCATTCAAGGCTATCTGCAGAAGAATTAAGGATACGAAACTGAAAGTAAAATTAGACACCTACGATTAGCTTGATAACAGAGTAATTAAACGTCTCATCTTGCATATACTTGGTCTGCTCGACCAAATCGAAGAGGTAGTCAATAAAATTATCGTCGAAGATCTCTGCCACGAATCTATCAGCTTGGCTATCCGGACATCGAGACAGAGCACGCACTTAGGTCTTGGCCTGTCAGCGTCTGAACCTTGCAAACCTCATAAAGTAGCTTGACGCATAGGCTCCTGAGCTTCGCCTCAATAGGGATCGGGACCGAGCTTAAGCTCGTGCTTCGTCCAACTGCCGTCCCGACGTAGGTGTCCTCAACGTCAGGATCCATCTCTACTAGAACATGGTCCATGAGCAGCGGTAACAGAGGCTGCCAGCGTTTGTGCGATCGAAAGACATCCGCTCGACGGTGACCGTGGTAGAAAAGAACCTCGTAGAAGATGTAAACAGTGTGAGGGTCCGTGGTCTAGCCAAGCCTTGCGCTGTCAGCTGCTCCGCGTATCGGTGTATGTGGGTACAGCCTACTCACCGTCTGAGCATCGTCGACTATGATCTCGCACATCCTCTCCGAGTGGAACTGGAAGAGCTCAGAGTCAAGTAGAAGGGTGCAGGCATGTTCCAACTGTAGAGGGCTTTGCAGGTACTGTTCTGTCGACGAGATATAGTCAGTACGGTGCCCCTAAAAAGGCCCATTAGGGAGAAACACGTGCCGTGGTACGTCGAACAGAGTCCCATAAAGCGCCTCAGAGTAGCATCCAGAAGCGATAGTGTCGGTGCCTCGTCTTGGGGGAGTTGCAAGACGTCTTCAAGCTCTACGATGTGCTGTCAATGACTCGAGATTGACAACGGGTACGAGGAGGCGACCTACCAGCCCAAAACTGTTGAGCCGAGTCGATTAGGTAGACAATCCCTAGGTCATCTTGCATGGTGAGGAGGGGTGCTTTGTTGGAATCGACGTGGGCGATGTTGACCATGGTCCATGTGAGAAAGACGATGTCCGCTGTCGACGCTGCCCGCTGTTGATGTAGAGTGTGCTAAAGGTGAGATAGTTACCCTAACCCGAAATAAATTCCGCCAAGCGGCTCAAGATTCCCAGAATTGACAGCGACGTCCTCGTCCTCAATGTTCACAGCCGGAGGATGTAGCAGCGTAGCATAACTTGCCCGGCAGTTTATATTCCTGAAGGACCGACCGGTGCAGGTAACTTCATTTGATTTCATTCCAATAAATGCCCACTGAAAAATCCAGCAAAAGTCCAGAGCCCCGCCGGGCCTAACTTTATGTAAATCGTTTAACCGTCCATCCATCGACATCCTCAACCTGCTGGTCCACCTGAAAAACGTCTCCTCTTACAGGGTTTCTACGACGCGTTCGACGAGCTTCCTCATCACCCTAGCTTTCTCTTTGCCGATCAGCAAGACTTCTTCGTGGGAGACGATCTCAGCTTTGGGCAATTCGACCTTCTTCCCTTCCAGCTATTCCAACATTTAGACGTGTGAAGCAGCGAGACAATCACCAGACTGACCTCGGCCAACACTTCTTCACGGATGCTTCTGTAGGTTTCTGGAATGACGACAAAGTTCGTGACCAGGCTCAGCACCATGACATTCAGACCCTCCTCTCTGGCCGCTAGCACCTCCGGAACGGTGCTCATTCCGACAACATCTGCGCCGGCTCTTCTTAAAAATCTGCCCTCAGCAGGACTTTCGTAGGTCGGTCCGCTGACCCAAGCGTACGTGCCTTCTGCGAGTGCAGACTCTTCCAGTTGGAGATGATACGCCGCAAGGAAGGCCAGACGTCGAAGGGCAGGCGAATAAGCATCGGAGAGGGGAAGGAACCGCGGCAAATCGAGCGACGTCTGCGGACCGAGGAGTGGGTTCATGCCCGTAAGGTTGGGCAGCGCGAGGTGATCATGGATAACCACTACTGGAGACAGCCGATGATTAGCAGGAGGAGAGAAGACTGAAGTGGCTCCGACCTACTTGTTCCGACAGGGATCAAGGGATTAAGAGATCCCGCAGCATTGGTGACTAAAGGCAAAGAGAATCCTTTATAAACTTGCTCGATTGGAGAAAGAAGGACTTACTGATAATGTCTTTCACTCCAAGCTTAGCCATGACCCGGACAGGATAAACGACCGAAGAGAGTGAGTGCCCCTCGTAAGGGTGGAACTGAGGGATGAAATTAGACTGCCATTGATGATGTGTGCATTAAAAATGTTATGTCACCCGTCCTAGCATGGCGACCACAGGAACTCCTTCCCCAGCACCCAAAAACCCAAATGCTAAAGCGCTCTTATGCCCAGGTACTATACAGCCATATCAAGTCAGATGCAACCAGATCCAGACGCCATGAGACTGACCTGTGCTTTTGGAGAAACCTGGGATATTCTCGTATGGGACGAGAACGACATCTCTAAAGATGTCAACCAGGCCGCTGAGGCCAGATCCACAGATAACGCCAACCCGAGGGCTCTGCAGGTTCACAGGTAGTGTCTCCTTGATGGCTTTGATAGACGCGTCAAAAGAGGGCGCAATGTCGTTTCCCATTGTTCAATTTATCGATGAAGAGTGGTATAGGCAGCAATGTGCAGAAATGAGCGTAGTTTATCAGTGAAGAGTCTGATAGAGCTTGGATTGAGAATATCACAGTCATGGTTGCTTGAAATAAGCTGAGGATCAATTATTTGATAAGATAAGTAATTGATCCATGTGATCGTGTTGCTTGGTAGAAGTATGTAGCCCCTATTTCTTCACAACTCCATTGTTAACCACCACCTTTGCACGTACGTCAAATGCCCTCATCGGCCTTAATCGTGAACTTATGGCGTATCTTTATCTATGGGTCTGCATTGAACTAAAGGAATCCAGGTTCTTAGATGGAAAACATTCCGTCGTAAGTACTATCCAACACTTCAATACCCTCGGAAGTTCGACTGCTTTTAATCGCGCGGTCCCACCAGTTCTCAACAAGCAGGAAAGATAGCTTTCTCTGCTGACCTTCAAAATCTTCTGCTTGGACTCGATTCCTGCTCCGTGGACGCGACACGCAGGCCGAACTTCGATCTTAGCCTACGCGCTAGATTGAAGGCCGACTACCGTTTGCCGTATAAACGTACCGCGGATTATCTTGTCGAGAACCCAGGTCGAACCGCTATGCGAGAAAAAATTCGTGGCCAAACTAGCGCCGCATGATTGGCCGGTCGTACCGTTTGAATAACTGGGCGAATCTAAAACGCGTAGCCCTAGGAAAAACACGTCTTGTATCCGTGCTCACCCTACATGAGGACGGAAGAGAACCGTTACATGTATTCCCCGTTTCCCGAATCCTTCCACCGCCGAGCCAATGGAGTTTCTCTGGTTTCCATCGCCCCTTTGCTCATCTGTCTATTCTTTCGTCATTTTTTCCATTGAACACCGTCCGGATTCCTCCTTCTGGTTTGACAACTTCATTATCTACAGTCTGAAGCCCTGTAGCCCCACACCCTACACCCTCAAAACTCCACCGGGACCCGTGAAGCTTGAGGTCTCTCATGTCTCTCAACCCAGGCTCCATCTGTGGAACTTTATGTCCTTCAGGAAGGCTAGGTTTCTCCCAAAGATATTCTAGCCTTGCCAATCTCACAAGTCCACGATTCTCTACGCTCTTGGAAGGTTCTTTTTAAGAATAATATGCGGAGAGGCCCCGCCAACAAATTCTTGGGTCAGCAAACTCCATATCTACTTATTGCATCTCACCGCCAATCAACCGCGTTTCCTAATTTCCGAGGCGTTCTCCTCGTCTCGTGCCTATCCGCCCAAGAACATACAGGTTTACAGGCGTCCCTCCACAAGTTCCGGCAGTCCTGGGCCAGTTCCAGTCCATCGGGTTTCCATAAGCTATTTCATCTTTGTCGAGGCCGCCGTGACATAGCACGAGCAGATGTCATGTCCTATCAATTCGCGATCATAGCGCAAAAAATGGAGGTCAAGTAGGGTGGCATTCCATCAAAACTGAATCCAGTCTTTCACGTTGTCTTCATCTTCGAGCTTATAGATAGAAAGGGACCACTCTCCGAACCTACTAACCCAAACGAGGCTGCTCTGTAGTTCCAGCACCATTCTAAAATCTAGAGGCAGTGAGGCCGACACAGCGTCGATCCTTCACCGACTTCTTCGCATTCTTTCTCTCTGAAATTGCTTTGCTCGGCAGCAAATGATTCTCTTATCCTGCATATCAGTCTCTTGTTGCAGAAGTGACTCGGATAACTCCAGCTACCAAGGTTCTAACGGGGATAAATGGCTAGAAAAAGTAAATAAGTACATGATCGTCACATCTCGTCAACCCTGCTATTCAGACTCCCGCATATATACATACACTGGCTGGAAGTCTAAATAGCTGAACGACATCCTCCACTTATCCAACTCCTCGGCGCCTTATTGACCTTTCGTATGCATCTCACCGCATCTCACCGCCCATCTCAACCTTGTGACAAGGCGTTGGAATCGCCAGCACGCCGCTCTCTTCCCCGTCGGACTTGCCCTTACCCTGATTCCATCATTTTATCTAGGAAACATTATAGCACAAAACTCCCATGCGTCGCTTCGCAATCTGGACTCTCAATACCGCAATCTCAAGCTCCGTGACGCGGGCGCCAGGTGGTGAGGAAGCCAAAAAAAACTAAGTTCAATGTGATCGATACCACGTCGAACGTTGCCGTTTCGTGCTGGTGGTTTTATGCTAAGTACCGCTCGGAGAGATTGAACAGGCCCGCTCGTCGAAGTCAAAATAAGACAACTCACCAGGTCTCTCTGAAATGGACACAAAAAATCTGCAAGCTCTCGAAACGGCCCTCTGAGCGATCCTGAAGGAGTTCTGAGGAGGCCGCTAATGATGGGATGTGATGGAGTGGCCTCTACGCGAACCTGACAAACGCTCAACTTACGCCCAAATCGCCCCAGGCCAACCCCACGTCGCTGATGCTTAACATCAAAGGTACAACTTGGCCTACTTATCATTCAAAATTTCGTTGCCTCGAACTTACCGCCCCAAACCAGCTCGATCCTCCCACCGATCTACTCGCAAAGACAAAGTGTGCGAGTAAGCCAGAACGTGCTCAAAAGTCTGAGAAGCCGGCCCAGTGCCCCATCCAGGACACTAGCATCTTCTTCAGGTCCGATCCCTGGAACAAACTGCACAAAACGGATGATACAGGCGCGTCAAGGTCCTTGCGGCCCAGGCAGAAAGAGAAGTTCGTCTTACCGTATTCAATTTAGCATGGGCGTTGTTGTTCTCCAAAGAGTCTACAAGACGCTCTAATTTAAATGCTATGTCAGATATCAGGCTTCTCTTCGAACAAGAATCAGAACCCACAATTATGACAGGCCGACGAGCGCAACCAACCAAAAGGTGTCCCTTCCCTCAGGTCTCAAGGGCCACGGAGTGCCGAAACATCAACAATGACCTCGTAAAACTTTGGCGTCAAAGTTTGTGTGAGAACAAGTAGGTCGATGGAGTTAACAAATCTCCTCACAATTCAATTGGATATCAGTGTGGTCTGCCGGTGTAAGCCAACTTGAACGTGGACGAAGTGGCAGGAGGCAGGAGCTGGTTAGCTAACTTAACAGGCAGGCCGTTGAGCATAAGCGAGCTTACTGACTTCGACCGGACGGCATGAGGTCAACGGACTCAGTACCAACGAAAACGAGAATGAAAAGAAGCCAGAATTGTAGAGTCTTCCGGGGATATCTGATTCTTAGCACATCTAAGGGCTGGCAAGTTAGATCTCAAAAACTCCGAAAGGCAGAAGGAAAGGCGTACTGCATGACCAGTTGGTTGTCCAAGATTAGACCCATTTGCATAGCCCACAAGGACATCGAAGAGAAGCCGTGCGTCGATCACGGGGACCTCATAGTATGTAGTCGAATCGACTCGAATGATGCTAGGATTGTGATATGTAGCTACAGATACAATGGTACGGATAATAGAACAAAGGCAAGAAACGAGATGGAGATGACAGATCAACAGCGGATAGCGATGGGTGCGAGAGTAGAGAGAGTAGGAGAAAACATGAATAGTATAGTAATAAAGATCAGGACCAAGATGAGGCACTAAACGCTGGATAGGGTAGGAGAGGAGAGGAGAGAGGAAAACAAGGCGGATAGGATCAAAACAAGACCATATCACCTCTACCCATATAATGATACATAGTACTTTTGTTTTCACCGATTGTTATATGTTTGATTACCTGCAACAGAAAAATCCACATCAGCTCACAGAAGAAAAAAAAAAATCGAAAATGAAAGAACGCACCATAAAGCCCATACTGATCTGCCATTGAGTACATCTGCGACTGGTGCTGCTGCTGCTGATGCGGATGGGGCTGCGAATGCGGGGGCAGGCCCTCCTGCATATCAAACCCCGCCGCCGCCGCCTGTCCATAACTCGAATAATCGAAATACTGCGGTGGAGGTGCATACCTTCCGCCACCACCAGGACCACCCCTTGCCGACGACAGTGCCGCCTGCGAGTGCGCCGGGTGGTCGAGATGTGCATACTCCCTTGAATGGGAGTGGGAGTGCCCATGATGGGGTGGGGGAGCTTGGCCGTACTCCCTCGAGTGCGACTGGTGGTGGTGTCCATGGCCGTGCCCACCTACGCTGACATCGTCCACAAGCCCAGTGCTATACAGCTGGGGTAGCACCGCCGTCGAGAGCGGGGCGTTAAAGCTCGTCCCAAGGTCGCTGTTTGGCCAGTACGCCGGGTTGTTCGCGAGGGCCACCGACGCCGGTGCGACAGGTGGAGCAGGCATGAAACCGCCGTCACCCGTAAAGACACCTTCCGGCTCCTGCGAGAAATGGTGTTGCTGCCTTGGCTGCTGGGCATGGAGCTGCTGCTGCTGCGATGGAGCCGAAGCACCATGCCTCATGGTCGACGGCACGAACTCAAACTGGCTCTGGCTCGGGGTGGTGCCGTCCATCGGGGGGTGCGGGTGCGTCGCGCTGAACGTATCATCCAACGAATGTTCCGCCGCGCGTTTGTTGGCGATCCTATCAGCCGTCTTCGTGTTTGCCAACGGGTGAGTGAGAGTAAGGAATTCTGTGCTGCTGTTCGTTGGTCGTGCACCAGCTTCATCCTTGGCGCCGCCGAACAGCTCGAGTGCACGGGCAGCGGCGGGCCAGACGGTCCTCATGACGCGGAGGGCGTTGAGGCACCTTTGGAGGCCCAGGCGGGCTTGAGGGTCGTTGGGGTGTACGTTGACTTCATCGACACATGAATAAGCAAGAGAAATGACAGGCAGAGTAGGCTGAAAACTCACGTGTTGTATCGTGCATGATACTAGCCGTGAACACGTAGTAGCAGAGGAACACCGAGCACTTGTCGAGGAGGTACTTCTCCTGGTACAGCGACACTGTGCAACCTTGTTAGCCTTCGCCAGCCATATGCCAGTAAATATATGCGCACCAATCGAAGTGATATGATTCGCAGCCGCGTTGCATAGCTCGTAGCTCCTCTCCGATATCGACCTCACCTCTGCCTCATGCTCGTCCACCACTTGGGTCGGGTCCTCCGGCTGCTGACACTTCTTGACCTGCAGCGCATGTCTTATGCTGTCCACCACAGTTCAGCTACCGTTTCCGAATCAACAAAAGCCACTCACAAAGGCCGATGAAGCAACACAACTGCACACCAATACTGCATGTGCAGCGTCAACACATTCGGGAGCGGCGTCGGTGCCTTCGAGGTCCGCGGTGATGCCGCCGAGGCGGGGTCGTAGCGCAGGTGGTCGGGCAGGTCGATGTACCATTTGTCCAGCAGCGACTCGAGCGCCACCGCCTCGGCGTGTCGGCTCGTCGTCAGCCGCACGGCGTAGATGGATTGGACGATCTTGGATAGGATGCCGGCTAGAGGAAGAGAGGGGGGGGGTAAACAATGGTGAGAGGACGGAAAGGAAAAACTAGGGTGAGACGTACAGAGGGTCGCAGAGGCGTTGAAGCACGAGATAACCCTGCCAGGGAGGGGTGTTGAAGGCTTGCCTAGAGGCGTCTCGACGGACCACTCTTCAAGTTCCTCCGAGTCGTCCTCCCGCGGTAGCGTCGTATCAAAGTCGCGTTCGTATATCATGAGCGGGCGACCTGTGTGGCAAGATAAAAGAAAAGAAAATTAGCGTCCAGCGCAAGGAGAAGAAGAAAAGAAGAGAAACCACTCACCAATATACGTCGACACATACTTATCCATAATCACACACCCAAACCACACCCTCTTCCTCTCCTTCAACTCCGCCTCACCAAACAACCGTCCACCAAGACCCACCCGCTCCCACCCATCCGCACTGCGGTGCATGCCCAAATCCTGGGCCATCCGGATCCCCATGCCAATGTACGTCCACGCCTGCGCCATCGCGCCAATCCCAATCTCCCTGTAGCCCATCAGGAGAAGGGCCTGGACGGTGGGCGAGCGCGAGGAAGAGTAAGTCGAGTCGAGGATGACCTTGGCGCGGTCGAGGTACTCGTCGCCTGCGCCCCACATCATGGAGGGGTCCGGGGGATAGGGGTAGGTCGAGGGGTCGTACCGCGAGGCGAGGGCGAACATGGCGAAGAGGAGGAGGGAGGGGACGCCCCGTGCGCGCCGGTTGAAGGGAGAGGTGTGCAGGGCGTTGGGGCCGGTAGGGGATTGGGGTGAGTCGGGTTGGGTTCTGAGGGACAATATAATTATTAGAAGAGGGTTTTGAGGGACAATATAATTATTAGAAGAGGAGGATCGGGAGGGAAAGAGGACGTACCCAGCCTTGTAGGCCTCGAAGAAGGATTGCTTGTGGAGTATAGGGAATATTGGATGGACGTAGGTGAAGTACAGATCCAGTAGGCGTTCCTGGACCGGTTTTGCAGGTAATTGCGACACAAATTCGTCTTCGCCATGCATCGTCTTGGACCCAGAGGGAAGAGGTGGCCATACACGCGCTTTTGGGAACCGCCTAGAAAGCGCGCCCATTAGCTCGGCCAAAAGTGCGAACAGAAGAAATCAACAGCAATAGTAGAAACTCACCAAATGCCGCCTTCGTTCCTATGATCCACCCTCTCCTTATTGCCCAGCAAATGGAGCCCACTTGCCTTGCCATGGTAGCGCACCTGCTCGTCCTCGTTCAGACTGAGCTGGCCCACAGCGCCCGTGATCTCCTCCTCCTCCTCCTCCGACAAACTCACACTCTCCCGATCTACGCTCTCGCTTCTCCTATCACCCGGCTCTCCCTCGGCTCTCCTGCCTCTATTAGCAGCAGCCGAACCCCCATTCGTTGTCCGCGCAGCAGTGGTGCCAGTCTCGAGGAGGGAGACGGCAGACCCCGGCGCCGAGTTGGCGCACCCGGACATCGTGTAGTCCTCGTTGCCCAGGCGGCGTCGTGTGCGCCTACCCCCTGGCGAGACGTTGCCGTCGCTGCTCGAGTGCGCGGGGCTGTAGAGGCGCTCGTTGGGGCTCGACGACGATGCGACGCCTGGGGCACCTGCACTCCCGGCCGCCGCGTTGAGCATAGCTGACACGGTATCCTGCCATTCGTTCGACGGGCTATATGCGCAATGGAGTTAGCTTAACATATTACGGCAATGTCCAGATTGAAGAAAAAAGATAAAGATCTGGAGAAGAAAAATAACGTACTGTGTGGAAGTGAGATCGAGGGGGGTCGCGGGGTCGGTCTTCGCCTGGCCGGACAGGTTTGGGGGCTGCGAGCCGGACCTGAGCTTGTTCCCACCCACGCTGAGTGCGATGTCCTCCCGCTTCCTGCCTTTGACGCCATACGGCGAGTTGTCGACGCGTGTGATGATCTCCTTCGCTAGCGGGTCCTAAAGGTCGAGAAAATAAACGTGGAATTAGCGCGAGTGTCTTGGCGCACGTGGGGGTGCTGGGCATGACGACAACAATGAAGCGATGTGCGACTCGATGAGAGAGACTTGCCTTTCCGATGTCGCGCAGAAGCGACTGGGCGCGGTTGTCGTTGGTCGCGAGCATGATACCGAGCAGGGCCTCTGTCTGGTGGAGACGAGCCTCGATGGCGTCAATGTACCCTTTTGGCGGGCCGCGCTTCCGGGACGGGCCCAGGAAAGTGCAGGCTGCGAGCGTGAGCGGACCACGGACGACAGTGAGACATTTGGCTGGACACACACCTGTCCCAAGCATGAGACAGCTCTTGCAGGCCTCGTTGGGCCCACCGCGTTCGCACTTGCACTTTGACTTGCGGCACTGGTCGCAGGCTGGCATGCGCGATTAGATCGGACGGGCGACGACGCGGAGAGACATGCCACCTACCCTTTGAGCTGCGACGGCGGATCTGGCGCTCTGCTGCGGAGGCCGCCGACTGTGGGTATCCACCGACGCCGGTGGGGAGGTCATTGAGGTCGTCGTAGTCGTCGCTGTAGGACATGTGTGGGTGGATGTTGTGTATGTTGTGGGCGAGCCAGTGGGGATGGTGGAACTTGAAGTGGAAGTGGGGCGGGGTTGGGGAGAGATGGGGGGACGGGGTGTCCTCGAGCTTGACTGGGTAGAAGGGTGAGTGGACGGCCATGGCTGATCGCTCGGACGGGACTGACCTGGCGCGTACTTATTGCAAACCGCGCAGAGTGAGCCGTGGTGGTGCAGTCCAAGGTTCAGCTTAGTCAGCACCCTTCCCGCCCTTTTCAAATCGCACACGCTTGGCACTCCTCGCGATCGCCGCAGCACAACTCAATTTTTGCAAGATCTCTGCCGATCCAGCATCTTGCTCACACACAACATGGCCCAGGCGCTAACCGGCCCTTAATGGGACCTACAAGCCGGTATCCCCACTCGACACTCCTCTGTACCGGCCCCCCGGATCACCCCAGGGCAATCTTAGATAGCCTACAACATACCTTCGAGAAAGTCGCTGTCGAGCTAGAAAAAAGACATAACGGCACGGTAATGAACATAAGAATCTCTTCATTTACTGCTACTGGGCCCGTTCGCCAGGTGCTACACGAACATACTTACCATGCTGTGCTGCCATGGTCCTCGAGTTCCTCGAAGCCCTACTCCACAGACAACCCCGAAAACCCCAGATGGTTCAACAGCTTTTCTTGTTTTCTTGCGCCCCTTCTCATCTTGAACGACAGAAACACCTCAACATACGGCCCTTTTGTCTGCAAGATAAGTCCCGTAACATAACCCGTCTTCCAACAAATTTCTTGAAACTAAAAGAACCGCCGAACAGCCCAACATTAAACAAATGCATTGCAATCGAGGGAATCTGCTCCAGGCACTATTCAGATTCTACACTAGTATCGCGAATCTAACATCTACCTAACATCGTACCTAGAGGTTAGCTATCTATCTCCCCGTCTCCTCCCCTTCCTAACGCCTCCTTCTCCATCACAGCACAGCAGCGGCTTCTCAAGTTCTGATCCACGTTCCACGTTCTAGCTAGCACGCGCCGCGCCTACGTTAATCCCTGCGATAAGATTTAATATCACTCAGTAACCCGGGGAGATCCTCAGGGCCCATCGCCCAAGTGTACGTTGCCTTTCAACGCGTCGCGTCCAAAATTCCAGCGTTGAAGAGTCCAGAGCTTCCAGGAGCGCATGCAATAGCGAGATTTGCGCCACACAAACGTTCAGGCGCGACAAACAAAGCCACTCTATCACGGCACCTCACCTCGCGAGTCACCGCACCCTCGATCGCTGGCTGCGTGGATGCGGTCTACATGTTCCAAGTGTGTAATCAGACTACAGTGACCTCACCCCGAGTCTTCTAGTGCACAGCGTTTCCTCTTCTCCAGTCACCTCTGATCTTGCCCTCGTTCGTCGCCACACCCTGTCGGACCCTGTTTTCAATTCCTTTCCACCTTCTTTGCGAACGCTTACCTGATTCCTCATCCATCCTGATATCGATTCCAGTCCTGACTGGAGCATCCACTGTGCACACTGACAGCGTGCCCAGAGAGCCCTCCCACTTCGGGCCTGGCTGGAAGCGTGATTAGACGCAGAGACGGAGCAGAATTATTATTGTAAAGAAAACATACCTTTTGGAGAAAGGAACGACATGCCTGACAGGCTCAGTCTTCCGGCCGGCCTCAGTTCTCGATCCTGGGATGACGTTAGATATGGGCACAAGCCGCTAACAAGGATTGGAACTCGGTGCTTGGTGCAGCATCCTTCGGGGGTGATTGCGAGGCGTGCACGATAAGGCTGCCTGCCTTCAGCCAACAGACGGTCCTGCTGACCAGCATTGGAATGTAGGTACCTTTTCCTCGATTCCTATCTCTCTCGAGCTTGACATCCTAACTGTCACCCTCGGAGACCTCTATCAATTTCGATCACAATAACCACTGGCACATGGGCGAACACCACCTCCACCTCAAGCTCCACGAGACCGAGTCGGCGAACAAAACGTCGACATCTCTGTCAAACCTTCGTTCTGTGTTCAAGCTCGCGATCGGACAGGTCGACGTCGACGTAGGTTAGGTGGATATCTACTCCCCATCCACCTCCCACCGTTCGAAATTGAGTCTGATTAGATCGAAGAGTCCTCGACGCGCGTGGGACGGGCCCAGCGCGTCAGTGGCGCCGCGAATCCCGTCCAGAGAAGCAAGGATAGAAATAGACATAGTGAGTAGACTTCCTGGGACGATTGATTGTTCACAGCCTACAGTACATAGGGCGCTCGAAGGAGGAAACGCCTCTCCGAATTGGTATGTAAGATACTGAATATTCAACGAGGCTTAAGCTGCTCGGTTTTGTGGAGGCTGGCGCTGAGGAGCTAGCTTAGAGTCTGTTGCTAATCCAGCGGACCCAGGCGTGAGTTATCTTTGCATGTATGTACTTTGACAGCGTCTTAGAGGCATCCTTCAACCAATTATAAAATCACCAAGGGTGTAGGGCGTCAGCGGCGCCTACCCTCCCCCGGACGCCCTAGTCGCTAGCCACTCAACCACCCAGACCCAACTGCCCGGCGGTCGTTGATTTCCTCTACATACTCAGAATTCCGCAGACAAACCAAAACACCGCCATACCCCTCCGCTCCTACTCCAGTGTTCTTTGTAGCCTGTATGTAGATCTCCAGATCTCGATTTATCCTTTTCCTACCATCCCATCTCCATCTTCGCTGCCGTGTTCGAGTAGAGCCTTCGACTCCACCACCGAAGCGCCTTCCCTCCAGTCCTTCCATACCGTCCTCCGATCGACTGACAAGTGACTAGTGGCTTGGACATGGGGAGCGCCGGGCTCGTGGCTCTGGCTCTGTATTTGCTTCTAGTGGGTTGAGGCCGTCGTCCCCAACAACCGGGAGGGAGTGGGAGAGAGGAGTGTTCGCCGGCGCTTGGTCGTTCGAAAGGCGCTTGTGAGGAAATATTAGACACCGAGGGAATTATTTAAAATTCAAAGACCGAATAACCAAGCCAGGGCACGCGTTTCGCGTTTCGCCTCACCGCTCACGCGCCCAGTGCATACGTACTATAACCAGACGTCTTATCATGACCCCCTCTTGTTCTTTTCAGGTTAACCACCTCGCCAATCTACGCGAATAAACAGATAATCGATCGTGCTCGCCTATCGCTTTCGCTTGCCCCCCTCATACCTTCTCTCGCCTTCTTTTACCTACCCTTCCACCGCCTGCCCTGTGCTCGCGTACAGTGGCTTTCCTTATAAGACAGAAAAAAGACGCGGTGGCGCGGACCGATTTAAATATCCTTCACCTCGAAATAGCCACAGAAAACTGAAAGGTGTGCTAGTGTAGGAAAGGCGAACCGGCCGTGCTTTGTTTTCTGCTCTCGATCCGCCTTGCGTGCGCCATCGAGGGCGACGATCCCTGCCACGGGAGAAGAAGGCGAGCTTATAGACCGTCTGAGACTCGTTTCTGGATGGCAGGCGCCTTCCAGAATCCACCGCCACTGTAATTATACTCTGAAGTCAGTCAGTCAAGTCAGAAGTGGGTTTTTGAATTGGGTAGCTTCCATACTTGCTACACTTGTCTTCAAAGCCAATGCAATGCCTTTGTCCGTGTCCTTGGCCGGCGTTGTGTGGCTGTAAATTGACAGTGGCTCAGAGTGCCTGCTTCTTCGCTGAGCAGACAGGGCGCGGGTCCTGCGCGTCTTGCCCTCTCGTCTCTCGGGGCCCGGGCTAACCTCTGACTCTGGACCTTTTGCCTTACACCTCCTCGAGTACCACCACCGACGATCACTGGTTATTTCAGTAAGGAAGTAACCGAGGAAATTCTTGATTCGTGATTAACTGGAACTGAGCTGGGAACTCGGGGTCGCCTCGACCAAGCGCGTTAAGCGAGCGAGCGGGGATCTATCCGTTCATTTAGAAATCAAGAGAACATATCAAGAGCATATCAATCTCTTTTCTTGTTCTTTACCTCGACCTGGAATAAGGACATGGCGCCAGCGTACTGGCAAGCGCATCCCATGATCTCCGGCGTACCAACTGAGCTGCCTTGCTCCGCCTTGCAGACAGAAGACTGGCTGCCCAGCTACCCAGCTGTGTGGCGGACTCCGAGTATAATTCAGGACGCGCACAGCGCCGGTACATGCGAGCAGTGGCTCTACGATATTAATGGGACGGACTTGGGGCTTGGAATACAGTGGCAGCTGAGTCAACCCACCCGTTCCTTCTCCCAACGCACCTAATAATAGATATAGGCATAAGCACACGCATACGAGTGAGCCTACGCATTGGCATTGGTATGCCAGTAATTTATGGCCGCCAGGCCTTCGAAGTCCGGACTCGGGACGGGGAATCTCCACGTTTCCTCATCTTCCCATACGTCCCATACCCAAATACCTAAAATCATTGCTCAAAACGTAGACTAGCATACGGGGTAAGCCACCACGCGCACGAGCACGCCGTGGGGGGTTAGATAATGCCCATAATGAACTTATGACATAGTTGATTAGCATGACATACGCACCCAATCAGCCTCGAATACTGGATCAGCCTCCGTCCTTCTTCCGCGCAATTTAGCCCACTCGGGGCATGGATCACAATTACTTGGAAGAAGACCAAGGACTCTGTGCCGGAGCGAGAGGGACGGGCTAGACGGGTGGGACGGGCGGCCTTGCGGTGTTCTAAGTATGCTGTGAAGTTCGTACAGGCCTCCTCAAGCTCTGCAGGGCTCCCCAACGCACCAAAATCTCTTGCTCGATGTGTAAGGGGTCCATGTAATAAGATAGTATATTTGGCAAGGGCCCAGATCCCCACCCCGACTGGCGGAACGATGTGTATTTTGCGAAAGCGCTCGGTGAGTCTCCGATATATTGAAATTTCCATTCAGTGTCGCGTATGGAACCCCCGACGCACGCGTACGAGGCGGACCAGTCCGACGGTGCCTCACAATTGACCATCACCATTCAACGCTTCGGTTGGGTGTGGTCAGCATGGGGTACTCAGGATCGCGCCCCCTCTGATCGGATTGGTCACAGACGGGAGGGCCGCCCCTGCGTCGAAGAAAAAAACAAACACATCCCGACATCTCGACGGACCCTACCCGACCCCAACCCTCCAAACCTAAGGATTTCGGCCCTCGTCCCGGTCCAATAGCGCGCGCTCTCTCCTTCTAACGACATTAAGGCGGGGCGACAAGCACGCTAGAAGCACCCGCTCGTCCGAAATTCAATTGATTCAATAAATGCCTGATTAAGCGCGTACTTACCCCGCGACGGACACGCGTCGCGCCTCGCGGGGAGAGAGCCGACTACTCGCTGTGTTTCGGTACTCTACGGTATTTGTACAACAAAGTAGAGATGTGCAGGAGAACATCCGGATCGGCGCGATTCCTTACTGCTGGACTTCCTTTCGCCTCGAGTGCTTGGGATTCTGAGAGAAACCTCCGTCTCATCACGCGTGAGAGCAGGAGCTCGTGGGGGCCCTCCTGTACTGCTCGCGGAGCTCTGGAGGCTAGCTGGGGATAAGAATTTAGATTTGGGGCAGGAACCCCGATGACAGATATGAAAGAAGAAACGCAAAACAAGGCAAGGAAGGCAGAGGATGATGGACGTTCGAATTGTCTGCCAGTAACTTGGTCGTCGCAATTTATGAGGCTGAGTCCCTGAATGTACCAGATTTCAACATGACCATGAAGAACAGCTTCAACGAATAGTCTGTCCGGATTTTTAGTATTTCTTTTTTCGAGAGCGCCTATGCGAGTCTAATGATGATAGGAGAGCGTCTCGTCATGATATTCCCGGACCGGTGTTCCTGAAGCCCGAGTCGGAGGCACAGGGATAGCTTATGGCATGCAGTGCAGATCTCTGACGGAGGGTGGGTGCAAGTTCTCAAAGTTCGTTCTCGAGGACGCCAGGCGAGGCTCTCGAAGACCCTCTTTCTGATGCAGTGCCTCGAACTTCAGCGTGTTCAAAATATCGCAGGCACACTGGCACACGTCCTCTCAGCGAACACAGCTTCCGAGTCGCTTTTGGCACGCTCAACAAACAGATCGAACTCTCGGGCAAGGGAGATAGTGCCATACCGGTGCCAGGTTAACGCAGACTGGGTTCCAATAGTCTCTTCCATTTTTTCATTAAACGCTCAAGGACTGGCTTCCTCTTCTCTTCCACCGGAACATACGAGGAAAGATTGATGGCCTTGAACGGACGGAAGCTGGTGGGCCGCATCTTTCCCAAGTATCGCTCGTCGAACAGCCATGCAGGTCCTGACTCGGATCCCACAAACATGGCGCATGCCGATCTGTCATGCAGAGCTGTATATATTCTCAGGTCGTGCCAAAGCGCGTTGGCGCTCTCGAGTCTCGATCACCCTGGTTCATGATCTTATCATTGTTGACTCTCATGCCGGCTATCGAGGTCTCACAACAGCCCAGGATTCAAAGCCAGTTCCAGCCTCCCGCCGCGTTGGTAAGCAACAGTCGGCCGGTCCGTACACACTGTCGGCGTGGCGCGACCCCTCTAGAGGGAAAGCGAATAGGTTAATTGCGAGCCACATTCTACTCCGAACATCTACTCTACTATGAAATCAAGCTGATCAGGAGAAAGATGTGTATGTTGTACGACGTGTTGTCTTGTTCAGCCACTTCCTTCTTCTTCAATCTCACTATTCCTGGTTATCTCACGACGCGCAACTCTATCTTTTCATTTAACCCTCTTGCCCCCGCTGCCCTTGTTCAGAATGAGGAGACAGCGCGATCGATGAGGTTTTCTACGAGAATTCCGTGCGAGCGCACGGACTTTGGCTTGCTTTTCCTGGCTTAGAGTATTAGGTGATTAGTAACAACAAAAGTTCTGTGCTCCGCTCCCCGATCTCTTCTCGGGTGGAGCCATGTGCCAGTGATACCAAAAAAGGAAGCTGCGCCTCCATGGTTTCAACGGCACGATCGGCGGCAACCTGCTTACGAGAGACCGCGCATCAGTGGAGCGTCGCAAAGTTTTTGTCCAAAAGTCTGTGGTAGAGCCCGAATGCGAGAAATTTAACGAAGAGTTGGCTTTGTATGCGAACAACGAAATATGCTTTTGTTCTTGCGTCAGCGAGGGATTGCACCCGAGCCTTCGCGTGGCGCAGAACCAGACACGAGCGCTAGTGTTCTCACGGAATGCCATCTCCTTCAGGCTTCGACTTCTATACACGGCACTTGCCATTCTGTCTGTCAGAACTTTGATGCCCCAGACCCATACCCACAGTAAAGTTGCTTTGTCGATGCAACTTATGAATGCCGCAATGCCGTCCGACTAATATCCGCCTTCAAAGCTCCAGAACTAAGTACAAACTCAACACCTTCAAGTTGAAGTTTTAGAGTTGCAATACGAGAAGGTGCTTTACGAGATAGATGAGAAAACGGTGGGCCAGGATGAGTAAGTTCCATTTCTTTCTGTAAAGAATATTAATGACGAGAGAGGGCGGGTCGCGTTCATGCAACAAAGATCAGAGTAAGAGCGGAGTATTTACCAGCGATGTTGCTAAAGTCGTTGGGGCGGCCTAGCTCCTCCTAGATGCATATGAACGTCGCACTCCGACAGTATCCACCAATACTCGACTGCCATGGCACTGACGCGCCTTCTGAATTTCTAACCTCACGGCATCTAGTGCCCCGGTCCACGCGAGAACTGTTCCATGAGCGCCCTATACCCTCCTCCCATTGAAAATCGTCGTCCTTAGTCCAGAACGTATCCCAAACAAAGCTTAGGTGAAGATAACAGATGCAGATTTATCGCTATCTGATACCCTGATCGTATAGTACATCCCGTTTTCCAGTCTTCCAGACGTCTATAGAGATAAGCGAGACGTCTATACAGGCACCATGTCTCGTAACACGCAAGATCCTCCTATTTTTCTAGCGCCTGTAGTGATGCGCCCCATCAAAAGAGAGCTCTGTTGATGAGTTTTCTCCTGCCGACGCTGCTGGGCGACAAGGAATATTGAACGTTGCTAAGTATGCTGCACATCCCCCTCTTTCTCGAAGTCAAAAAAAAAAAAAACAAAGAGACGCTATCTCTGGGACGGGACTTAGGATTCAGCAAGGGTCGTGATGTTGTCCCTGCAGAAATAAGCAGCGATTAGCCGTGTCCAATCTGTGCTGCAGAGATGTTGACTTTCCAAGACGGAACCAGGGAGGCGCCCAAGAGGGAGAACAAAGTATCCGGATTAGTGCCTAGAACTGATTGATGGTCAGATCCAAGAATCGGAGGGCGATCTGGTCAAAGTCTCTTGCTCGGTTCCTGTGGCAATATGAACCGGCAAACCGGAGAAACACGAGGATTTCGTCGCCTTTCTTGAGAGCGTTGTACTGTACTACCTCCACAATCCATGCGTACTGTACTGGCCAGGCCTTGGAGTTCGAAAATTTCTTCTTGGTACTCCCACGTAGGCAAGAGCGATGAGCAAGTTTGGAGTCGAAGTGACCATTTCAACAAAGGTGCCATATTCCAGAATTTTCAGCGACGATCCTGTTAAAACAGGAGATAGACATGATGATTTTCGCGACTCAGATGGAAACAAAAAAAACAGATTGCGGGTAAAATTGCACCGTCGATGTTTGCATTCCGATTGCAGGGAGACTGATATAGCATTTGACCACGAGCTAGTATGAAATTTGCTATTGTAGCAATGTAATAATAATGTATAGAGAGTAACACAGACGGAACAGAGGAGAGGTCGCACAAGAGAGGAATACGGAAATGAGGAGTATCGACCGTTCGATGAATCGAAAGCAAGAGAGCTTGAATGAGGAAAAAAAAACAGCGAATACAGAAGCCGAAAGGAGTCGAGAGATTGCCGGAGCAGAGGAATGAAAAGAATAAACAAAATGGAGAGAAAACCGAGGGTCGGCTTCAATGGCCATCGACCATTTGAGCCGTACTCAACTTGGATGGAGGGGGGAGTGGCATGGACGGACCACTAAGCCGGGGCGACGACGCGCCCACAAGGTGCCGCTCTCGATCGACAATCCGATCCCGATCAAGAGCACTACTCCCGCCTCCTCCGTTCATTGTCGGCCTGCCACTATTCGACGGAGGCGCATGTAATGACGACATGAGGGGTGATGCCGTCCGGCTGCTGACTGGGTAAGGACCAGTTCCGTTCTTCATGATCATGCCAGATGGTGGTCCACCTGACGACGTCGTTGTGAGTGATGGAGGGTGATGCCCTGTTGGTGTCGCCGTACGCCCAGGGCCCGAGAGTTTGGGAGATAATGTGTACCCAGCAGCAGCTCCTCCAGAAAGTATTGTAGGCTTACTGTTAGGAACCGGTGATAGAGGCCGTGTTTTTGGACTGCGCAAGAAATTTAAGTATTAGACGATATTGCCCACGCGAGATCTAAAAATAAACGTACCTCGTTACTGGCGACCGATGTGGATTGTGCAAATACGAGGGGCTTTGCGGGGGTCGGACACGACTTGAAGGCAAAGGAGGCGATCCGATCCTATGTAACGATGAAGACGAACTGCTGTTGGCCATGCGAGTCAACGGAGAGGCGTGCGATCCTCCGCTTGCTGGGTATCGATGACCTTGAACTGGAGACCGAGTGTGCCCATCTAGATAACTAGGCGGAGGAGCAGATGGCATACGATACGAAGGGTCTTCTCCTGCCGGAGTATTCCATGAAGGAGGAGCTCCTCGTGGCGAAAAAGCAGAACTGCCTATGCCCGAGCCATTCAGGTGTGAGCTAGAAGAGGCTGGTTGAATAGCGTGACTCGGCGCCATCACGAAAGGTATTGCCATTGGGCGATCCCCGCGATCATCCAGAGGATCCAAAGGAATCATAGGAGGACGAGAGGGTGGTCGCTGTCCGGCGTACATCTTGCTGCGCGCGTCTCTATCTCTCGCATCGCGATCGCGGTCTCGATAGTCTGGTGGAAGATGGTGCGCGTCCTCGGTGCCCTTAAGAGGCCATTGACTAGCGGTGTCTCGGTCCCTGGGGCCTGCGGATGGTTGTGGTGCCTTTCCGCCTGAAGAAAGCATAATGACTTCCGTGGGATGCGGTTGTCCAGGGCCGGAATGCATCGAAGGAGGGCGCGATGCTTCATAATCTCTGGTGGACCTTGGACTGTGCGTGATGGGAGGTGCTCCAGGACCAGAGGTATTAGGAGGGGGCAAGGAGGAAGAAGCATGCTGAGGTCCTTGATGGTGGCGATGAAGGACATGGTGGTGGTGGGGTGCGTGTCGGTGCCCAGAGTGATGGTGATGAGGGTCGACGCCGCCAGATCCTTGAATCGGTGGTGGGCCACCGCCGCTGTGCATGTGCGACGTCCCAGACGTAGGGGGTTGCTGAGACTGACGATGTTGCATGTGCTGATGCTCGCGGGCCCGTTCTCTCTCCAGTTCCTGGTACTCCTTTTCTCGACGCCTGTCGAAATCCCTATCCCGCTGGCTGTCTCGGTCACGTTCGTCTCTATTCCGACTTCTTTCCCTCTCACGCATAGCCCTCTCCCTTTCTTCATCTTCCTGCGCCATTCTCCCATCCCGATCTCCACTCTTCCCACCACTTCCTCCAAGAGGTACATTGATCATGCCCATTCCGTCGCCCATCCGGGTACCGTTGTTCTTGGGATTCGTACTCGACAAACCATTGGGCAATATATGAACAGGCGAGATTGACCTTCGTCCATTCACATTCATGCCTTTCATCGCAGCAGAACTTTGATGGTTGGCCAATCCGTGGCCAGAAGAAGAGGTCGCAGAAGGGTAAGGATTACTAGCAGGTCCTCCAGGGCCAACGCTTGCCTGACTGAAGTACGGATGATGGGGCATAAGCTGGTGTCCACCTCCAGCGTGATTCGGACCTGGAGGTGGACCGATGGTGCTCATCTCATGCTCTGGTGGGTATCCTGGCATCCGGGACGCTTGTTGCAACCTCCCGCCAGGCCCAGAGAAGCTTGAATATGCGTTTGTCGACTCCCTCACGCTTCCAGAGGGACCCTGGGGAAGGGGCCCACCGCTAGTGCCATGAGGGTAGCCTCCCATCGAGTGGTCTCGCATCCTCCCTGAACCCGAAGGAGGTCCGTACCCATCTCCATATTGATCGTAACCCAGCCCATGTTGGTGCATTCCCGGAGGGCCACCCATCATCGACTGTGCTGGAGGCGGGAGGCCACTTCCATTGATGCCCACACTTAGACTGTTGGCAGGTCTGGCTATCCCTAGTCCACTACTAATCCCAAATCCCAATCCTGAGCCGTTGCGTTGAGGAGCAGGAGCGAAATGCTGCAATGGGAAGCCAGATAGATGCGTGTCGTAACCTGACAGTATGCGTCGATTCTGGTAAAGGAATTCCAAGTCGTTCGCGATATCCGTAGATGAGAGTGTTGATATCTCGGGGTAGACCAGGGTTTTCGGATACTGAGAATGGTGTGAGTGATGGTGGTGGGGATCCGATTTGTTCTGTTTGCGCGTTCCGAAGGGGTATGACTTGATAACTTTGCGCAGAGAAGGTGGCGGAAGTAAAGCGACCTGCATGTCTGGGTGAGGTGGAAAGGGAATACGCCGAACTATTCAAAACATTGCATGTAAGTATGCAGTTTTTCAAAAAGAGATAGTGGGCAGACGAACTTGGCTGAGGCCTCTCAACTGCTCTACGGTCCCTCTCGAGCTTTCTGCGTTTGCGATTCGTTTCAGAAATCATGTCGGTTTGCAGCTCTTCCGTGGAGAACTGTGAAATCACAACATCAACTCTAATGGCATCCCATTTCCGTGAATCAAGTACGTACCTTCCACCAACTCCAAACAGCACCCTCGTCCGTCTTTCGACGTTGCGTAGCATTGGCGACCTCGTAAGACCTCTTCCTTGAAGCGAGCTCCAGGCGTTTGTCGCGTCGTTTTGAAAGTTCTTTTTGGAGATGAATCATCTCGGGATGCGTAGCTGAAGAGCACGATCGTAAGCACGAACGCATGAAAGTTATAGTAGACGTACCGCTCTGCACCAACTGCTCCTCCCAAGCCAGTTCTTCCATACTCTCAATGTAGACCATCTCCCGCAACAGAGCGAACTTGAGCTCAATAGCCGCGAGGGCGTCCAGGGCTTCGGCACGGTGTGCGGGCTGGAGCTCGATTTCATGTTCGTCGAGCTCGCCGTCGGGAGAACGCTCTTCTCCTTCGTCGCGCTCTTGTTCCCGTTCCCCTTCAACTTCGGCCTCGGGTGCGTCAGCATCTTGGTCCTGATCTTGGTCCTGGTCCTGGTCCTGTTCCTCGTCGCCTTCAGGCTCAACGACTTCTTCGTCCGCGTCTGATTCCACTTCTGGAGCCTCTTCATCAGCCTCGACATCCGCTTGAGCAGGTTCCTCGTCATCGTGAATGGAGGTCTCCTCTGCTTCTTCAACCTCCTCCTCACCATCTTCGTCCTCATCTTCCTCTTCCTCGTGGTCAGCTTCCTCGCCATCCATGTCGACATCACCATTCTCCATGGATTGGTCTGCAGCCTCCTCCTCAGCATCATCCACCTCCATGTCATCGTCTTCGATAACAGGCTTGTCTGGCGTAGTATCAATCTTCAAGTCAAGTGGTGGAGGAAGACGTCTCTTTGAACCAGATAGATGCCTCATGATCGTACGACGAGGCTTTGGAGCAGGAGACGGGGATCCGAGGGGAGTGGCCTCAGCTGTTGTCGAAGCGGAGATTGGGGGAGGTGGGATCGACGGAATGGCAGAAAGTGCTGCAGCAGAGAGGGACGTAGGCGAAGTCGGGTCAACCGCATCAGCGACAGCTGCGAGGGCAGTCAATGCTGAAGCAGCTGAATTTGACGCGATCGAAGGGCCTTGCAGGGTGCCCTGGGCCTTTGAGGGAGATGGAGGTGGAGGTGGCTGAGGAGCCTCAGACCCAGACTCGGTGTTCTCATTGACGCTTTCGTCTTCAGAATTTGGCATTCCGTTGGTCTTGCTTCGGGGCTTGACGCCATTCTTCTTCTTGGATTTTGCGGCACGTTTCTTCCTGGAGGGGGGATACGAATCGCCGTAGGCGGAGCCGTCATCGTCATCGCCGTTGAGTATAGGTTCAGCCTCTTCGTCGTCCTCATCATCCGGAGCAGGCCGTTGGGAGCGCTTACCAGCTGCCGCTTGTCGTCTGCCTCCGCCACGGACCTTGCCCACGTATGATCGGACGGCGACCCGCCTCTTGCGCCCGCCATCCGCGTCACCACCGGATTCTTCACCATCCTCATCGTCTTCCTCAGCCTCCTCCTCTTCTGGCTCCTCTTCCTCCATGGGCCGAGGAAGGTCCGACTGCTCCTCCTCTTCCTCCTCCTCCTCCTGCTTGTCTTTGTGGGGAGTCGCGGGGGGTGGGCCCTTTGACTCGGCCCACCCCCACATGGGTGCTGGAACGATGCTGCTCCGCTTCCGACGTGGTCCGATTCCACGTCGCGCATTGAGGGTCTGGCGCCTGGTCTGCCTCGGTGAGCTGGGGGCACTGCTGTGCTTGTCATCGTCATCATCCTCAGAGGCTACTGGGATCTCCTTTGAAGATGAATGAGCGGCTGCTGATGCGGCACGCTTGTCCACGGTGGCAGAGCCGTCTTGGTCGTCTTCTGTGAGCTCGGAGAGCTCGGAGTCCTCGTCGATGTTGTTGGGTGGTCGTGCCGGCGGCATAGGACGAGGGGGGGAAACACCGGGTGGCGGGGAGGGTGTGGGAGTGGGAGATGGCGACGAGAGGGAGTCTGTCGAAAGTGTCGAACCCGCCATCGGACACGACGACAAGCAATGATGATTGTTTTGTTCAAAGTTGGTGCGTGCGCGAGAATCCTGCCATTTTCGGCCCTTATTATCTTATCTTATCTCTTCCCGCCGCCAGTCTCCCAATGCATCCCAATGCCCGGAGATGAGAAATGCCATTAACCAAAGAACATGCAGAAGTCTAGGGAGAGTAGATAAAGTGCTAGAAATCACCCAAATCAATTTCAACACTATCTATCAGCGACGCCTCAAACGTGCTCCCAGGTTTCACCGAGACTTTCGCAACGGTTGCAGCAAACAGATCTTCTCCGTTTACAACCGGTGTACCCGGTCTAAATACTCAAGTCAGAGTTTGTCCAGCAGCGGAAGCACAGTTACAGACCTAGGCGTCGACGGCTTCGATCCCAGCTCCTTCAGTTTACGTTCTCGTCGCTTTTTCTCCGCCTCTGCAATCTCTTGCTGTCGGATCGCCTCCAAGTTAGCTTTGCGATTCCGCTCATTGACTCTAGCGAGCATGTCCTCCGTCTCCAGCTTCGGTGGTGTTGTTGGCTTCGCTTCCTCCAACTTGGCCTCGATTTCGGCCACCTCCTCGTAATCTTGACGGCGAATCGCCAGTGTCCGTTGCTGGATGAGCCGTGACCGTTCCAGCGTGCTCAGTCCTGAACCTTTGCTTGTCTGGAGTTGAGCTTTACGCGTCAACATCACGCTGATGTCACCCTGAGCATGACTTGAGGTCAGAATGTCAATCAAGAAAGTTGACTGCTAACCTCCGTCATCGGCTGATTCACCAGCTTCTCCATTTGGGCGACTTTCTTCTCCAGCTGTTGCTTTGTGGGCAACTTCACGTCCTCAGACGTATATGTCTTAACAAGACGATCCCATTCTTTCTGTTCTCAAAGGTGGATGCGTCAGTGTATCCCCAATGAGCTAGAAACGACGGGGTACTCACCTCAATGAAAGGTCCATTTGAGACCTTGTCCATATTGAACGTCCTCATACTCTTTCCGTGCTTCAGTTCAAGTGCCTGATTGGTGGTCTTGTCGTTGATCTTATAAGGCTTCACGAAATCCGATGCGAGATCTGCGAGTCAACAGTTAGAAGATGATCTGAAGGAGTCGATGCCTTGCCAGCTCACTGTTGATTTGACAAATTCTATACACGGGCTGACCGTTCTGCTCCTGGCCAATAAGGTATCGCACCCATGCGTCTATCCACGTTCGTATCACCAGCGAGTCCCTCTTCAGATACAACGAGCACTCACTCGTAACATAATCCTGGAACCAAGGCTTGATAAAATGTTTCGCGAGGTTATCTCTCGTTAGTCGGCACGTCTCCAATGCTTCCATTGTGCATGGAGCGTCCGGTACGTCCTCCTTATTCCCTGACCGGCTCCTCTTGTGAGAGGACTCGTATCCGGAACTGAGGTTGAGCAACCGCTCGTCCTCCTGTTCCGCTTTGGTGATCTGGCCATCCTCCGACTCCTCGTCGGAAATGTCCATATCCTGTGGCGACGAAGAGCGTCCACGCGTTTGTGAAGGCGAATCCTCTGCTCTTGACTACGATGTCAGTTAGCTACAATGTCCTGGAAGTGAGGTCGATAACGAACTCGTTTCTTATCATCCTTCGCCTTCCTCTTCGCCTTCAGCTCATCGAGCTTATGTGCCTTCTCCTTTGTCGCCCCTCGAGCCTGGTGCTGACCTGTGCCCCTTCGTTGAGTATATACTGAGCCCAAGAATGACTGGACGCACGTTTAGCCGCCCTCGAAACACTGTCGTCTGCACTTGCTCCGCCGCCACCCTGTTGCTGCCGGACCATGTCGGCGAGCATCTTCGCGTTCTGAAGGCGCTGCCTCTCCTCGGCACGTTCTTCGAGGATTTGTTCCCGACGGAACTCGGTCATTGAGAGCAGCCTTTTCATCGTTGTGGGTAAATTCAAGTTAAGAGGGAGTAACAAGCAAGGAAAGGAGATGGGATGAGGGCATTGCGTATTTATGGAGACCGAAATGAGTGGGTCGAGTAGATGGCAGGTGCAAGAGAGGCCAGGCCACACAAGCAACGAGACAACCGCATGGACGGGTAACACCGCAGATGTGGGCCA